GGAGGAATGGGTGCCGCCCTTCTCAAGACTCCAGATAAACTCTGCGCTATTCTTGAGGCTCTTGTTAAGAACATTACCCCTGAATTTGAGATTGGAATAAGCGTTAAGATCAGACTCCTCGACACTGCAGCGGAAACAGAGGCGCTCGTTCGCCGTCTTTGTGCGACAGGCATTACAGGACTAACCATCCATTGCCGGACGACACCTATGAGACCCAGAGAACGGGCTATTAGAGGGCAGCTTCGTATGATTGCAGAAGTCTGCCATGAGTATGGCGTTGCCTGCTTGATGAACGGCGACGTTGAGAATAGGGACCAAGGTCTCCAGCTCGCCAAAGAGTTCGGTGCGGACGGTGCGATGATTGCAGTCGCGGCTGAGAAGAACCCAAGCTGCTTCAGGAGTGTAGCTGATGGCGGACTGGCACCTTGGGAAGAAGTTGTCGATCATTATGTGAAGACTGCGATTGATGTTGACAACCGGTTCGGCAACACCAAGTTCCTGCTCTCAAACATGGTCCCTGGAAAGTCAAAATCTTACCAGCCAATGAACCAGTCCAAGAATTATAAGAGCATCTGCGAGGCGCTATCCCTTGAAAAACACCTCGAGTCCGCTCGTATTATAGATAGTAAGCGAGGACTGGATCAGCCCCTGCAGGGGAAAGCTGCAGAGAAGGCCGCAAAGAAGGCTGCAAAGAAGGCCAACGCACAGACTAATACACAGCCGGTGAAGTCAAAAGAAGGAAATGATCAGAAGCGCAAGCGGAGAATGTCTGATAACAGACCTGTGAAGCAGGTGAAGACATCTGAACCCGCACCAGTTGTAACGGCTGTTTAGGAAAAGGGTCGGTTGGACGGTACAAAGGCGAGGGAATGATTAAGGGGTGTACGGTTGAGTTAGAAGCCTTGGATTCGCATTACATGGAGTTAAGGACACAGGCTCAAAGGACAAGAGCTTGGGAACAGAGCATATAGAAAGCTGCCGCATCATTAGGTCATGAATGAATTATAGAGAAAGGACGGCAAGGAATGTTTTCTTTTTCATTAACAAAAAAGGAAAGGAAACCCAGCCTATTCAAAATACATACAGATATTGGTAGCTGGCGCTAAGCAGGACCGGCCATTGATACAAATGAACAGTTTTTGGGAACTCTATTTAATAGTACATTTCATTTCATCTCGCTTTTTGAAATCCTTTATTTGCCCTTCTGGACCCAGCCTTCAACAGCCTCTCGTGCGTCTGTCACTTTTTCGTCGACATAACGGACACCAACCTGGCTATGCGCCTTGGCAAAGCTGACGCTGTTGACGATACTCTCACGCAGGCGGACGTGAGACTCGGCAATAACAGGGAACCTCTGCTCGTACTTCCAGGTGAGGTCGGAGATGTTGCGCATGGTGACAGGGAGAACGGTCCAGCCAGCGCCGATACCCAGGGCGAGGGGGAGCGAAGCGCGAAGGATAATGCTGCGATTGCGAGTAATGATACTGCCGGCCATAGCAGCGACCAGGACGTAAATGGCTCCGGGCATAAGTTGCTCGCCGCTTTCACGGGAGGGAGCCAGTGAAGCGATGGTACTGGTGAAGGATTGCTCGAGATTGAAGGCTGAATCCATGGTCTCGTTGACCTTGTTCTCAGCAGCTACTGCGTACTTGTACAAGGCCAGGCGACCTTTACCGATATGGACGGCCAGCCGCTCAGTAGGAGTAGGCGAGTGATGCCTCTCCTCATCGTCGACCGGCTCAACGGGTGTCTCAGCAACGGGTGGTGGTGTTACAGGTGCGGGATTTGCTGTCGGGATATCGTAATCATCGTAGATGGGTTTCCGCTATAGTGCTGTTAGGAAAATTATTGAAGTCCATTGATGCTCCATGACAAACCTTGAAGTCACTGGGACCTTCGGCGAAAACAGTAGCCGGAGCCAGTGCCATGCCGCCGAGGGCCATGGTCGCCAGCGGTGCCAGGGAGCGCTATACAGATCAATTAGCATGAAGGAGCTTATCTAGAGCTCAGATGTATTACTGACCCGCGAGAACACCACTCGTGAAGCCATTGTGCGCTCAATTGACGAGTGGGTGAGAAAGACGTCACGCGAATTCAAGATGGACGTCGGATGCTCGTGAGCACAATCATCACTGTCGGAAAATCTAGGACGGAGGCTCTATTGGACCACTCAGAGTCCAGCTTGGGGGCGTTGATGGGATGACTAAGATTTTCAATCCCAGTAGTGCAAGAAGGCACAACTCAACCTACCTTCCTTAGGCTGCTAGTTATGGGCGGAAATGCCCTGCTAAAACAAGGAAGGCGACAAGGGACGGATCCGAAGCCGGAAAGCCCGACAAGGCAGGAAAGTCGCTTCTGAAAGTCTTCCTCCGATATCTTCAATTCTTGATCTAAAGTAAAGAATATTAAGCATACCTACCTACCTACCTTATCCCACCCGTGTTTTCACTCCAATTTCTGCTACTCTTCCCCGCCATTGGGAGAGAATACGGGATTATCACTTCGATTGCTGTTGGATCAATTCATGGGTTCGATCTTATCTGCATATTGATAATGCTGAGTTCGAGGGGCAACCGCCTCTGGATCTGTAATAGATGTGTTCGACACACGACCAAACCTCCACAACGGCGATGGAACTCTATTGCCTCCGCAGTAGCCCAGGTTATCTCCCCAAGCACACCAGTCGATCATACCGCGAGCTCGAATCACGATGATACTGTTTTACGCAACTTATTCGACGCCCCCACGGGCAGAACTTTCCCCAAGTTCAGCTTGAAGAAGAGCCAAGGTCTCTTCAAGAACCGATACCTCACCAGCCCTGGTGGCTTCCAGCAGTTCGCTCAGAAGAACCTCGAACGAGCAAAAAATATCGTTAATAAAGTCCTAAGTGCATCCTCCGTACATGAGTACCGTGCGGTGGTCCGCGACCTTGATCGGCTTAGCGATCTATTGTGCCGTGTACTGGACCTCGCAGATTTCGTTCGTATGACGCATCCAGATAGCCGGTTCCAGGAAGCGGCTGCCAACGCATGGGGTATGGTATATCAGTACATGAACCAGCTTAATACCATGACTGGCCTCAGTGATCAGTTAAGTCAGGCGCTATCTATCCCCGAAGTTACAAAGGTGTGGTCGGAAGAAGAGAGAACTGTGGCTTTACAGCTCAAGTTGGACTTCATGAAATCTGCTGTAAATTTGCCAAAAGCTTCACGAGACAGATTCGTGGATTTGTCCTCGCGTATCAGCGAAATAGGATCGGCTTTTGCACAGGGAATGCAGCCAGCAAGAAAACAAATTACCCTTCCGGCTTATAAGTTCTATGGCCTTTACCCAGGCATCGCAGCCACGCTCAAAGTACGACAGAACATCACGCTACCCACTCTGAGCTCAGATGCAATAGGAGCACTTCAAAGTGTGCATGACGAGGAGACTCGCAAAGAAATTTACCTGGCCCAACGAACCGCGTCTCGGGAGACTGTTATGTACCTCGAGGCAATGTTAAAGCTGAGAGGTGAGCTCGCAGAGCTTGCAGGTTTCGAAAGTTATGGTCACATGGCCCTGAAGGACCGCATGATGGCCAAGACTCCTGCGTCTGTAATGGAGTTTCTCCTTGCTCTAAGAGATAACAACACACCGGTAGTCCAGGCCGAACTGCAAGAACTGGTTTTGAAGAAGCGAGACAGACTCAACCTTCCAGACGTCCCACTCCAAGCCTGGGACAAAGATTTTTATATGGAGAAAATCAGAGTTGACCTGAGGTCTAGACAGCGACAAGAAGATCAGCTCAACGCTTTTTTTTCTGTTGGGACTGTCATACAAGGCCTATCGAGACTCTTTGATCGGCTTTATGGTATCCGTCTTGTGTTGCGGGAGACTCTTCCTGGTGAGACATGGCACCCTGAAGTGAAACGACTTGATGTTGTCACTGATAAGGGGGAACTAATTGCTGTTCTCTATTGCGATTTGTTTCATCGCCCACAAAAGTCCGGCAATCCCGCTCATTTTACAGTCAGATGTTCCCGGGAGATTCTCCCCGAGGAAATAGCAGAGGTCGCTGCTGATCATGACAGCAGTGGGCCAAGTTTCGAGTCACCCGAGATGGCAGCCAACGATGGCATGGAGACTTCCTCCGCGGACGGTGTACTGAAGCAACTGCCTACTATTGCACTTGTCTGTGATTTTCAGCCAAGTGAGAACTCTAAGGAGCCCTCTTTGCTATCCTATCAATCTGTCGAGACCCTGTTCCACGAAATGGGCCATGCTATTCACTCTGTTCTTGCACGAACTAGCTTCCAGAATGTCTCTGGGACTCGTTGTGCGACCGACTTTGCTGAGCTGCCATCGACACTTATGGAGCACTTCGCTGCTGATCCTACTGTCCTATCTCTCTTTGCACGTCACTGGAAGTCGGACCGACCTTTACCTTACGAACTCGTTGCTGAAAGAATCCGGTTGACTAAACGATTCGAAGGCTTGGAAACAGAGAACCAGATCATTCTTGCAATGGTAGACCAGGCCTACCATGCCTCAACTATGCGGGATGCAGAGTTTGACTCAACCGCTGTTTTCCATGATATCAAGGCTCGCTTTGCCCATGGTCCTCGAGATCCGCCAAATACTTGCTGGCAGGGATTCTTTGGCCACCTGCATAGTTACGGAAGTACCTACTATAGTTATCTCTTTGACCGTGTACTCGCCGAGCGTGTTTGGCGTGTTGTGTTCAAGGCTGGTGAGAATGGAGGTGCCATCAATCGCGAAAACGGAGAGCGGTTGAAGGAGAACCTGCTAAAATGGGGAGGCGGCAGGGACCCTTGGACTTGTCTCGCCGACACGCTTCAGGATGAGAGACTCGCACCTGGTGACGAGAAATCCATGGCCTTGGTTGGGAGCTGGGGAATAAAGGATGACCACCACCCATAGGAACATAGAAATCATATACGAATCATCAAAAGTAATCAAGTAGATCAAAGCATGCAGATGCAAAGAGGCCGTCACACGCAGTAGAAGACAAGTAGAGCCAAGAATCCGTGCCAGAATGGCAATGGCAATAGGTAGTCATGGTTCTTGATTTATTATTCTCAAAGATGACCTTCAATCGCTAATTCAAAATGACGTGTCGCTCTTTCGCCCAAAAGTTCCTAGTACGCCAGCCTGTGACACCCATAACTGGGTGGGTATCCAATGCAGAATAAAGACAAAAACAAAAAAAAAAAAAAACAGAAACAACAATTGCATGCCAAACGTTCCAAAGCGCTACGCCATGTCTATCGAGACGCCCCTTGTAAAAGAGTATATATGACAAGTAAATAGGTTTAATGAGTGTGGCGGTAGGGATGTGCTCCATGATGAGGAAGAAGGCGGTCGTCGTAGAGAGGTCATAAGTCATATGCCACCAAATATCGTACAGCTAAGGTAGGTATTCTTGGATAAGAGAGATATGTGTGATCGGGGAAGTTAGTTTCTGGAGCCCCTCGATGGTGCAACGTGCTCCGTGAAGAGGACGTAACTGGTTATATCACCCGATGAACCTGCTGTGAAGACTTCTGAGTGCCCCGACCCATAGTGAGTTGTGACAGGGAAAGCGTTCGTGCCGCCTTGGTTTGCGCCAGATCTTCCTTGTCCAGATCTTCACCGAACGCTCCGAAGCTATGTCCCTCTTCGCGAGGGGTTTCAAAAGTGTCAGAGTATTCGCTCTCGTCTCCATGGCCGGTTCCAATACCCGAGTCCTCGGGGTCGATATGTCGACTTTGCGATCTTGTCATGATCGTCAAGGATGTGAGATTATCGTCGTCATCGTCGTGGTCAAACGCAGATCTGTCACCGAAGGATTTGGCTGTCGGGGGCGGATCGAATCCGCTATTCGTGTTTACCGAATGGGACAAGATGCTCAGTTGGTGGCCAAGCGTCTTGACCTGAGTCTCTAGAGCTTCTCGTGCTGAGCGTTCGGTATGAATCAGGGCAAGGAGTGTTGTATAATGGTCCGTGGTAAAGATCTCGGGGGTGTTCTTAAGAAGGCTCGGGAGACTAGCTGCACCACGAATTGTTGCAGTCGAGGTGGGACGGTCTTTGTTGCCGTCACTCAGAATAGCCGAAGAATGCGGATCAAGCAACACGCTTCCCCTCTGGCCTGCTTTTGAATAATTCGGGTGGCCGCTGGAACGACCGAAGCTCTTTCTATGGTCCCATCTGCTTCGATCAGCCTGATGATCTGGAAAATCCGTGTTGGTTTGACCACCAATCGGGATTGGGGGCGCAGGTCGATCTGGTGGTCCCTGGTGTGGCTGCCAGCCTGGAGCAGCATCACACATTCGGTCGAGAGCCTGCTCCAACCGATAGACTCGAGATTCGAGATTGTTTATCCGGGTTTCTAGGTTTGCTGCATGTGTGATTTTCATGCCTCCCACCTGCTTCATGTCTGCAAAGGATCCAAAATTGAAAGGCTCTGCCTGTGTTTGTTTTGGAGCGTCTTCTACTTGCTGGGCCTGTTCGATTTCTTCTATGGCGATGCCTTCTCCTTCTGCGGGGTCTGAAGACACTGGGGACATGAAGGTTGGGCCGTAACTCTCCCTCCAATATTTAATCTCATCACTGCGTCGACGAGTATGGCCATAGCTTTCATCTGGTAGCCCCGATAAGCTCCGCGATCTTCGGCGTACACCAGGGAGGTCGCTGGTGATTGCACGGCCAATCTCGTGAGCGTTGTCGTCGCTCTGGTCTTGCCGACTCTCCCGGCCATGGCTACTAGCAGGTCGCGGTGAAAGGCCCGCCAAGTTGTACTCACGCAACCTGGTTGCACTTATCCGAGCGTGCGATAGACCAAAGTCAGCGCTCAGTGAGTTGCGCGCGCTCTCGATGGCGCGAACATCTTCTGGGCGAATAGAGTGGGATCTTAACGCCCGATCAAATTCAGTGATGGGCAGGGAAGCTGATCGCTTGGATTCTGCTCCTGGGAAAGGTCGAGTCCGTGACCTGGGAGCTGACCTGTCCCTGTGGCTTAAACTAGGCACCGAGTCTTGGCCATCTTCACCCGTTGATCGACGGTATGGCCCGGGGCGCATTGGCGTGGAGCCGGTTTCTGAATCGGTATTGTTGGAACTGTCGTTGCCGCTTGATTTCTTTTTTCGATTAAAAAGCTTCCCCAAAGCGCCTCGGAGAGTTGACTGCTTCCGTTGAGGGCGCTCCTTGTCCCTTGTGTCCGCGCTGACGAAGGAATGCCGCACATTGTTAGATGGTTCAGCCTTTTGCAAGCGACTTATTGTGCCGGGCTGTCGAGCATGCAACGAGGACCTCGGCTCTTCCCTGAAAGCGTGAGGTCCATTTCGACGATGCTCTGGGAACGTGGGAGATCTGAAATCGTTGCGCGATAGGTGGGGCTCAGTCTGGGATTGTTTGAATTCACCCTGGACAGGCGTAGCCATGTTGGTACCTGGGTTGCGAATTGGGAACTCGTCGTCCAAAGAAGTCGAAATAGGGACAGGCCCAGATATCCTGCCGCGGATATTGGACTGCTGTATATCAACAGGCTGAGCAGTGGGAGCAGTGTTGGCTGCTGATCTCCACGGCTTCTTCATGTTGGAAACGTGAAGGAGGACAGCAAGCTGCGGATCGAATAGAGAAGTAAAAATATGACAAAAGGGTCTTAAGCGAAGGTAACAGAATGGAATTTCCAAGTAAAAGCGGTCAGAGATAGACAGATGACATGCCCTGGCGCATATTCATGAAGGAGTGCTCTCGTAAAACAGGCTCACAATCCGTGCGCTCATCTATACAAGGGCAGCCTGGCCTATCATCCGGTTGATGAGCTTGGTTTCTTTGCGTCAAGGGCGCATCAAGACACGGCGTGAAACAGCCAAACGAGTGTGAGAAGAAAGGAGGGAGTTGGTTGACAGCTTATGGCATCGCGGGAAAAAGTCGCCCTTGCCGTCCGAAAAGGGCGAGCAGGAATCCAGAGACTGGAGAGGAGGAAGAACGGGAGGACGAGAGGGTTTGAAACAAATACATACAGCACAGTACACATGGGCTTGGAGCGGTCCGAGTGGGTGGGCGACTGGCACCTATTAATGTCGGCTCAGCAGGATAGACATAGACATGAGACGCACGCCATGCGAAACCGCGCTTGATGGTGCGGGACAGGGACCATTTGCGGGTTCTTGAAGCGCGACGAGACGTTCAATGCCACGCTGGATGGCAAGGAGGGACGAAAGGGGGGGCCTTGTAAGGCATGTCAAGCTGACAAGGGCCCTGACGGGGGAGGGGAATGAGATACAGACAGCACCTACAGTCCACTGGTTCAGTAGTGTCTGGTAGACACAGACCATTCATACATAGCTCGAGCGGTGAATTGGATCAGGGTGATGAATGGGCAAGCCGTCTGGATTCCCAATGCTCCCAAACGTTGCGTGGAGCCATAGCGGGGAGACTGTAGCTTTGCCATCCGTGTCGTGTATAGCCTGAGAGCCAGCAGAACCGATCTCAAAGAGCTCTTTGGTATTAGACTAGACAGGGGTCGTTCACCTGCACCTGTCGTTGCACCCTCTCCTGCAGACCCTTGTCGAGCAGACGGACGAAGCAGAATTGAGAACAACGGACATACATAGGACTCGGGTCGATGCACCGCACCGCACCGCACCGCACCGCTGAGAACTTCAGTTGAAGCCAAGTCCATGTCACGACAAGACAAGACAAGGGTGATGCCTCAAGATCGAAACGCACGAGCCCATCAAGATGACAAGACTGTCGTTGCCAAGGATGGGTGCTGAATTCCATCGACTGGGGAGGTAACACGACAATGGCCTCGATAGAGGCTTCAACGGTCTGGGATCTGGGTATCTTGCCTCGTGGCTCGAGGCCGGGTACAGGGCATTCCGGGGCATTGTTGAGACAGGGGCTCCCTGTATGTTTCTCTCGCGTAGCTAAGGTAAGTTGCGGAACGTGTCTGCATCCATACATACAAGAAAGGCACAGCAGAATTGAGCAGGTTCACAATGTTACCTCAGTAGAGAACAAGACGACAGATTGAGTACCTAACTAGTAGTTATTGGTTTGCGAGACCATCGTGCCATTGCTTGGGTTGCAATTTGAGCGGCATGCGCCGCCTCCTAAATAAGAATCCTAAATAAGAAGAGACGGGTGCCCTGAGAGGCAAAAGGTGGAAATGAAGGCCGACACGATACACGCTGTCGATACTAGCAATGACAGTGCATGAAGTATGAGATGAAAATAGAGCTCATGGCGTTGCGGGTGGAACACTCATGGGCAACCGATCATCCGCTGACGTGGGAAATGGTAGACACCCTTACAGCTGATACTGCCCATCATTCATGCAAGATGCCTCAGATTTGTCTTGAAACCTTGATTGATTACCTTATTTCTCTTTCTAGACCAAGAACATTACAATCTACACCACCCACGACAGCACAGCCATCTCGTCCTCAGCTTTTGATATCGACAGTCTCTATCCGTGCCAGGACAAGCACTAGACTCCCGCTATCTGCGGCCCCATGCGATCTAACGAAGCACGACAGAGCCTCTAACCACTTAGCGTCCGGGGCCTTAAGCGGCCCAGCTCGACTTGTTTGCATAGCGTTAGGGCCACCGCAAAAAGCAACCATTAGTCTCTTACTCTGAACTCCAACCGCAGCGCCACATCCCTCAAGTCAAAGCCCAGCTGTTGGAGATCTGGGTCGTGATTTGGCAGGTCATACATACTGGCACTACTCCGTACATACAGAGTACAGGCGAGACGACACCACTCGAATACAGTTTCACATAGCTCGACTTCATCACCAGCTATTCCCTGTGATCAGTTGGCGTCCATACCCTACAACAAGATATCGACGTATGCGACATTATACCCACAGATACCTAGGGTTGGGTAAACCTCTTGAGGGGCACGCTCGCCTTCCTGAAGTGCCCTTCTGCATTAGACCTACATTCCTCCTCTGGGAATCCTCTACATCACTTCCTCAGCTGTTCAGGTGTGGACCAGAACTCACAAACAACGGTGATCATCCTCCACAAGATCGACCCTGATCAGACGGGTCTATCTCATGTCAGCCGTTTTAACATGGGCGATGTCTGAGAGACAGGGAGCCAATCAAATCATTGACCAACCAAGGCATCGATTCGACATCTTATTCATCAGCTGCATGTCCGTTTCCATCTGCAAATTGCTTTCCAAATATTCATCCTTATGTATCTCGTACTGTCTTCTCTGCATCATAGAAGCGGTATTATTACGGTAGAGTTTGATCATATCTGCTGTGTAACAATCGATGCCCTCTTTTTAAATCTCAGAGTCTGTCAAATCTAGAGACACTTCCTGACAACTGACGTCGTATGCTGTTGAGCCAGGGTTCCCTGAAACTGACACGACGGCGCTTTTTCATCGTTAACTACATGCTGCCAAGCCGGAGCGTATGATGTCTCCAACTAAAGAGACCTTTCCTAAATTCCAAGAAACTCGTTGGAATGTCGGGTTTACTTTGAGGGGGTTTCTTACCGCCCTTGCAGACTCAGGGGCACGCACCGTGACTCCTGATGGCTAAATCAATAATTCAGTAGATGTGATCGGGATGGACTGGACTAGGTAGTTACTCAGAAACAATGCCTTATAGTGTTTTCGGCAAATTTTACAAGATCCGCTTCCTGGTGCTCTACGCGAGTGGGAAGGAAACGGACAGGGAATAATTGTCCCCCACGGTTCGGTACAGTCCCACAACGAGTGAGCGACCTGAAACATCGCCGGGATGTCGACAATGACCACCATCGCAACCCCGTTTCTTGAGTAACTATCCCAGCAGCTTTCACCTTTCCCGACCATCTCGAACAACGCATGGGTTCGCACGAATCGAATAGGTCCTGGCCCGACTAGGAAAGGACTAGTTGCCAGCTCTTCTATGTATGTATGGATATGTTCTCTATCTTTGTCACTCGAGCCATCAATCGTGGGAGCTGCAAGCTACTGCAGGTGCTGTTTCAGGAGAAGCTGAGGTCAATCGTTCTGGTCAATCCTCCGTCCATCGTTAAAAGCAGCGTGGCAGTTTTGATCTGACAGCTGTTACGCAGTCGACCATATCGGCCGAAAGATTTAGGACGAGTTTCAGACCCCATTGCCCTACCTACTGAATATCGACGACAAGCATGTCGACTGGAAGCGAGACGGTGGAAGCTTTCAGTTCCGGTTAATCGTGCGTTAAGCTAGATGCATCTGGGTATCGCAGGTCGGCGTTGTCTTCGAGATACTGCATCCATTTCTTCAAGAAGCTGCCTCCCCTGTGAAACAGGCACGTTAATAATGTCTCGTCTCAGGTGAACGGCTGGAACAGTCTGCGCAGCACTTGTCAAACCAGCGGCTGCAGCTTCGAGGCCCAAGGGTCCAAGTGCACTGTATTATCGCTTACCTCTGAATTGTCTCCGAGTCTCCGATAACCGTCAAAGAACGCTTCGGACGTGTCATTGCGACTAGATACACGTGTATTAGTCAAACTGATATTGGATGTCCGGATGGCCCGAATCATAACGGTAACCACCGGGATGTCACCTCACCATTGAGACGGCGCTTCTCGCCGAGGAATCCAACTTCGCCTTCGGAGTTGCTTCGAACAAGGCTCACGATTACGGCCTCCTTTTCACGACCCTGAAAGCCGTCAACACTGCCGAGTTCGATGCCCGGGAACTTGTCTTTCAGCGGAGCTAGTATGGCGAGCTTATTGTCCACTCACTGTCAGCATACGTCTCACTCTACATTTTTGGACGTACCTGGGCATTGTAAGGTGTCACAACAGCTATGTCTTCTGGAAGGACCCCGGCACCCACGAGTTGCCTCACGTGCTGTTGTACAAGAGCAGCCTCCATCTCGTTGCTCTTACTGTCACCATGCAAACCTGCTCTGCCCTTTCTAGGAGTGTCCTTGTCGTCCTCCTCGTTCTTTTCGGGAAAGTCACCTCCCTGTGTATCTATGAAGATGACAGGTTCATTGGTGTCCTCGTTGTCCTGGACCTCATATTCAAGATCTTTCAGGAGGCGATGTTTCACCGCATCAGCAGCGATCAACTTGGAGTCGTACAGTTCATCAGAAGGGAACCGCATAATACTCTCGTGCATTCGATACTGCGTGGTTAGCATGCGTTTGATGGAGGGCCCATGCAATGCCAGCAGTCTGTCAAACAGGGTGATCTCAAGCGTGGTACCCTTTGTGACTGCTGCGCCATCTTTGACTGGCGCCTTAACCTTTGCATTGCTTGATTTGATGGTTGGCGGGAGCTGCAGATGGTCACCGGCACAGACAACCTTCTTAGCAGATACGAGAGGGACCCAACACTGGGCTTCAAGGGCTTGGCTGGCCTCATCAATGATAACAACATCAAACTCATCGTTCCGCAACTGATAGCCTCCTGCCCCATGCAGTGTTGCCAGAAGGACCTTGCTACCGCCAATGAGTGTACTGACACAGCGACGTTCTCGTTCACGAAACTCTTTTCTCAGTTCTTTGAGGTCGGTGTAGATTGCTTTGCGCTCCTTGCCGCTTTTCGTCTTTTTGATTGAGGCCTGCTTGGTGTCCATTTCTGTCCTAATGTCTTTCACAATAGCACCCGCTTCTGATGTTTGCGTGAGTACGTCGAGCGAGTGGTCAACCACGGAAGGCAGCAAACGAGCGGGATGGCCCAGACGAAGGATCGGGATCTTGTGAGGAGCTAGTCGCTCGACGATGTTGTCAACAGAAATGTTGGAAGGCCCGCAGACAAGAATTCTTTGACCCAGTTTGGTCATCTGGAGAATCAGCTCGATTAGAGTATGAGTTTTGCCAGTCTATACATAAACACGTGAGCAAGTATTTTCCACTCCAGTATAAGTCACTCACTCCCGGAGGCCCATGAATCAATGCTACTTCTCGAGATAGCAAAGCGAACCGAATTGCATTCTTTTGTGAGTCGTTGAGCGTTGGATCAAACCACTCGAGATCGCCCACGTTTTCATCTTTAGATAAGTCTTCGGCAACTGGCGATGGGCTCGACAAGCCGAAGAGAACTCTGATGAAACCAGAATATTCCGACTCTTTCATCTTGTTTAGCTTCTCCATCGCCCAGTTCATTCTTCAAAGGAGATGGTTAATGGTGTGATCGCTGTCCATTATGAAGGTGATGACTCAACATACCTCTTGTATGTCACTTCGTCTGCCAATTTGACAGCCCATACTCTACCCGAGAAGCCAACTTCTTCCTTCCCCTCATCAATCGCAACAGCAACCCATCCTCTGCTCACTCTGGTAACAACACCTCTCGCTCCCTTCTTCTCCAAATCCTTTACTTCACGCTTTTTGGCGCTTCCCGCCGGCTGCTCAGCGACAAGAACGATGTCTCCGGTGCGCAAGCCATGCTCAGGTAATTCATCAGGCGAGCCCGTGGCGGCATGCGGAGAGAGCTCAAGAACTGTTCGGCCTCCGAGACCCGTACGTTGACCCGAGACAACAAGGTTTGTGAGAGCAAGGCCAGCTCGTTGAAGGGCTGTCGGGCTGTGGTTGGAGATGAGGGTGCTTGTCTCGTTGATCTCTGTCTGAAGTTCTTGTTCAAGAAGGGCGAGTTGGGTGGTGGCAAAGGTGGGAATGTCGACTGGCTCTCTTTTGACAGTCATCGTCACTGACCTTTCTTTGTGTGGTTAAGTAAAACTTGGTGAGGTTACAGATGTAAGTGTAAGATCAGAATACGAGGTGGGATTGGATGTTTGGTGGGGGAGCTTCCATGATTAGACCCCGCCATAACCCGCTCTGACGTTAGTTGTCTGACTACCTACTACTTACTACCTTGGTACCTACGTCGGGCGAAGTCATGATGCTTCATATCATGAGAGCTCAAACACACCCAATTACCTATAAAACAATACTGACAGTAATTGGTGTCTCTCACTTCAGATATTTGTATATACGCCAACCTATAAGAATATTCATACAAACAGAGCTCAACACTCAAATACTCCTGTGGTATCAAGTCATGATATAACCCCCCATAAATGCGCCGCGTCAAAACCAAACCTCTTGCCATAAGCAGAAACATTATCGCTCCAGCGCTAACAATGTAGTACTAGATGTGATCTTAAGTAATGTCAGAGTACACTACAAGTCGAGTCAAAAATTATAGCTCATGCTCAGACGGGTGGATAGCAATCACTACCACAAGAGAGACAACCATAATCGCCAAAGCAACAAACGCAACAATCATGATTGTACCACGACTAGCAGGAAACTTGCCCTGCATGACCCAGTGCTGAGATTGAAAATAGCGTTTGTAGCCAAGGAAGAGAATCAATATACTGATACCGAGGAACGTGGTGCCAAGCGGCTTGCCCATGTGTCGTAATGTCTGGGTGTTGCTCCGCGAGTTATTGCCATGCTCGCTTTCGAGAGACGTATTGAGGCGAAAGAGCTGTGTCACTGCTATCCCTATGGATGCAAAACTAAGAGATGTGCGTAGCCATGCCAGAAATGTTCGTTCTTGGAGGTTGTTAGATTGTTAACCCGAAGTACCAAGGGCGAAGCTTACCGATGGCGAGGTGATCTCGGGCAACGCTGCCTTTATTCTCCAGCTCTATCGACTGAAACTTCTCTGCCTGGGTCTGCCACCACGACGTATTACCACTCTCTGAGCTGGCTTGTCGGGCCGTCTCAGGGTTCTGGGCAGCGCCATTGTTTTGTTGGGAAGATGGTCGCTGGCGTAAGGATGGTTTACGGATCTGCGGGGCCGAGGTCGCGGTACTTGTAACATTGAGCGAGTTGTAATTGAGAGGCGGCGTATGGGATATGAATCCAGTAGCCTCGTCGGCGCTGCTGTCCTCGTTGACAGGGCTCGGCCTGAGCGACGAGTTGGGCGGGAGGATGGGACTGCCGGCGGGCCGGGGTGAGAGATGGGTAGGAGAGGGACCAGCCATTGAATCGGCGCGTTCACGAGCGTTCTGTTGTGCGTAAAAGTCGTTCTTGTTAGCGCTCACTCAACATTGGGGTACTCAGGCGAGGGATACTGAGAGGAAGCGAAAGAGAAGAACAGCGAGGAGGAGTAGAGCCAAAAGAGCACGCGAGATTCGGATGATCTTTCGGAGGCTAAGGTCTGGATGTCGAGCAGGGGGCCGGCAGTTTCCCAGACGCCACAAAGACCATCTTTGTACGGACGGCGAGATAGTCGACCACATGCATGTTGGTATCTACCGATACCAGCCTGAAGTGCTAGTTATCGGGCTTGCAAGGAATAGCTGCCAGCCCGCATGACATGCAAAGAACAGAACAGAACACATGAGGCTGGTTGAAAAGAACATGACCGTCCCGCACAATGTCTCATGAATCACCCGTGCCGTGTCTTTGTCTCACTCACTTCCATTTACAAGAACGGGAGGATACACACCTCAAGTATCTCATTTATGCGTGCATTTGAAGATGAATGCCGTCCTAGTTGGAATCCAACACTAGATGCTCGTCGGACGGGGCCATTCGCATTTGAATCTGCATTGGCATCTGCATCTAGAGCATTCTCGGCCATCACGATCGATTGGCAAAGGTCAAGGGTCCTGGTGAGAATAGAACGCGGCTATAGGTACTGCGACACAGCGTTAGGAACAGGCGGAACAGACGGAACAGTTCTAGTCCGATATGTCGAGAGTTGCGTGCGTGCATGCGTGTTTTCTAACGTTGACAAGGTTACTGTAAAGTCAAAGAACATTTGAGGTCAAGACAAGCTTAGTCTGAGGTCCTAGTATCTACTACGCAGTAGCCCCCTGCAGTGGGGTTGTGGCAGTGGAGGCGCTCCGCACTCTTCAGCGGCTGTAGCATCTGTATCTTCATTGGATGATACCAAATTAAGCAGAAGCACGTCATGGTGCTAAGGAAACAGAATGACGACGGTGAGACCAAGGCTATCGAGGTCTGAATACCTTCACTTTGGCATATTGAACTAGTCCTTAACAGCTTAGATGCTTTTTTATTATAGTGAATTTTTATAAATTAAAGTCTTTTATATATATTTCTTTTCTTCCTAAAAGATTTATTAATTAAGATATATAAGCATCTGCAGAACTGCGAGTACTGGATATGCTCCCGATGTAACAAGCACTATCTAACGTCGATGAGGGATGAGCATGAGGTTGCATGCCTTGAAGAACGGCCAGCGCGTTGCAACTACTGCCGCAAGACTGGGCAACATAAGGAGATTTCTCAGCACGAAACTGAATGCAATACTCGGATCTGTCCAGGCTGCAGGCACCTCAAAGTTGACACAATTGCGGCACATTGGGCAAAATGCACAAAGATGCTCTGTTCTAGCGGCTTCTATATAGTTTTGAGCGCAACGGGCCTCATAACTGTCCAAAGCAGCTTTGTCCAATCTGTCTCCGTCGTTTCTCTCGGGGATGTGAGGATGAACACCTAAGAGAGTGTGAAGGATACAAGAAGTTTGACTCTCTTCATTCAAAGAAAGAGTCGGATCGTGCTACCAGGTCAATTTTATCGCAGAATTTTCGATTTCCTCTCTTCGAAGGTTGCGCTAAAACCCTCACAACACATTCATTATTGATTTCGAGTGTATCTGCTCAGACGATGGGCCACTACCCCTTCCGGTAGCTATATTCGATGCTTTTGAGCGACAGGTTGTCCCCCCCCCACGGTCATAGATCATGAGATGACAGTTGGGGAACTCCGGCAAAAGATCAGCCTTTCAAAATTTCACCAAGCTCGCCGCCCGTTCGCTTCTGTTAGGGTGATTCAAAGGTTTCAGCCTGGCCGTTAGGAAGACAGAATGATAGGTCTGACGTGTCATGCAATTGCAGACCATATACGGAAGCATATCAACGTAAGTGAAACATTCGCCTTCTCTACCGCTTTCTTTTATTTGCTTTTTACTCATCTAACTTGCCTTCTCCCTAGGAACATGGGCCCGTAGAAGCCTGCATTAGTTGGGCAAGGACTCAACTCGATATCCGATGCTTGAATTACATTCTCAAGACTGCGGGCGCCGAAGATCTGCTGATTCCTCAATGGAAATTTAGCGATCAACCACTGGGATGGTATCATACTATCCGGCGTCAAGTGAAAATTGACGCAAGAGTGCTGTCTTTGCAACTCTCGAAGCTCTACGGGACCCTGTTCCCTGAGGATCGGAGGCTGACCTTGAATGCCCACGACGCCGGGGCTGATGTGACAATGACCATTCGATTAGTCAAGGCATACCTGCTGAGGGCCTTCGGCATACCTCTCTTCCTGGGAAAATTGATTTCCACTCCTCCTTAGCTGATTGTGGCGCGAAGGGATGGGAATTGGACGTTGGGAAGTTGCTTGGCCTTCTCGAAAAGGCAACCCCTGCTATTGCCCTAAGAAAAGCCAACGATGACGAGATCAGCCAAAGTGGCATCGATGAGCTTTTGGACGACGACGAGGAGATTTGGGAGGATTTCTCAGACGATGAATCAGCGGGGGATCTCTTCATGAGATTTGAGGAGAAGCATACATTGGATAACTCCGTGGACGGTTCGAATTAAAGATGCCTTTCAGCTATGGACGAAGGCACCTTCACCTCGAACATCTCCCCTCATGTCCAGTTCGTCTACAGATGTTTTGTTCGAGTTTCTTGAAGCAGGTATCTTGTCGTGCTCATTTATTTGACATGTCTAGCCTCTCAAAACATATCTCTTTCCACAGAATGAAGCGCAATTCGTGATGTCCATCCCAAATTCCCTTACTCCACCCTCATCTTGCACCGGGCCATAAGACCTCTAATCTAAGATAGCATGGAGTTCCTGAATCTGCTGCAGCACGGCTGATCGACTAGTACCGCCCCTGGCCGATTTCGCCTCAACACTCGACTCATATTCGAATGCCTTCACAATGTCCGCTGTGAATCGAGAATCGATGGCTTGCAGTTGCTCCAGGGTTAGTTTATCCATCGGGGTTTCCGTATTTTCCGATAATGCAACAACGCGTCCAGAAATGTGATGAGCTTCCCTAAAAGGACATCCGTTTCGCACCAGCCACTCCGCGACATCAGTGGCAAGCATCGTCTTATCCAGGGCAGCCAACATCCGCTCAGGCCGCACGGTCATAGTGGCGATGACCCCGTTGGCGATGCCCAGACTGTCCAAAACAGTTTGGACCGAATCCAGCATGGGTTCCCATCCCTCCTGAAGGTCCTTGTTGTAGCAAGTTGGCAATCCTTTCACGCTCTATCAGGTATCTGTTAGTGGCTGCTCTTGATCCGCTCCTGATCACTCATGGGCTGATATGTCTGTATTCGAACTCACCATCATCAGCCCAGCCATTTGGCCGAAAGCACGACCTGACTTGCCGCGCAAGAGTTCCAAACTGTCGGCGTTCTTCTTATTCGGCATTAAACTGGACGCGAATTAGAGTCTTATGGGATTGCCTGGGAGTCGCGATGGATACAACGAACCTGCTGCCGGTACTATAAAGATCTGACAAACGACAAAACCCGAACTCGGAAGTGGAGTATAATATGAGATCTTCAGCCCACCTGCTGATATGGCTGGTGAATATCGAGTTCCAGGTTAGGAACTCGATGATGAAGTCACGGTCGCCTGAAGTGTTCATGGAGTTCAGAGTGATTCCGCTGAAACCAAGCTCCGCGGCTATTGCATCTCGATCGATGCCAAACACATTACCAGCTAATGCACCACATCCAAGTGGGCTAAGGTTGACCCTTTCGAAGACCTGGCGCAATCGCTCGAGATCCTGCTTGAACGAAGCAGCATGTGACATTATCCACTGACCCCAGCGAACTGGCTGCGCGCGTTGTAAGTGGGTGTAGCCGGGCATGAGGTAGTCGCTATGGATGTTACTCAGTAAGGGGCTTTGTTCGGATGCAGTGCCAGGCTTACATTTCAGCTTCGGCGCGTTTGGTGAGGACTTGTAGGAAAGCAACGAGTTGGCTGTCGATTTCACGGATGCGGTCACGTAGCCACATGCGCATATCACAAACGACCTGCTCGTTGCGGCTGCGACCTGTATGCAGCTTGCCAGCGGTGTCCTTTCCGATAAGCTCTCCCAATCGACGCTCGTTTGCAGTATGAATCTGATTCATTGTGTTAGCCTCGGGAGGTTAGGTGGCGTGGGCCAGCGTCTCACGTCTTCATCATTCGGCATAATAGCGAAGGTTCCCTGCTTCCATTCTTCCATCACTTCAAGCAGACCATGCTCGATCATCTTAAATTCGTCTTCGGTAATGATACCAACCTTTGAGTTGGCCCTGGCGAAAGCAATCGATCCAAGAACGTCCTCTCTATAGAGAGCCTTATCGTATATAATAGAGGCATTATACTTATGCATAAGCGGATCAATCCCACCTGGGCATCGCAAGGTTAGTATACTGGATCCGAAGCTTGTGTCCGGGGACAATTGAACCTGTAAACCTGCCACCCCAGAGCATATTGGTTGCCGGGGCGTCCGTCTTCTTTTCCGCCATGTTGGAGTATTTGTTCTCGGCGCTCGTCGCGATCGTCGCGTTTGTTAGCTCGTTGCGATTTCAAGCTCGATAGAACTGATAGAAGCAATTGACGTTCAAATTAAGGGACGTGAGTCAATTTGAATAATGTTGCTTGACTAAAAAGGTCGAAAACGAGGGCGGGGCTAATCAAGTTCGAAAGTGTTACGGGTGTCCCACTTCCTGTCTTATCTGTTATCGCGAGCCCCAGTTCATCTGGTAAATAATCAGGTGATGATAATGATGCGGCCACGAATTATGTTAAACCGCAGGAGCCAAATTGGCAGTGTATTTTTATAAAAGTTGCTGCTTTTCTTAAAATAAATAGGTTACTTAAATAATCACCTCTTTTTTAAAATAATATTATGAATAAAATATAAAGTTTATAAGTTAGCCTTAAAAGGTATATCTAAGTATCTTTAAAGTTTAATATAGTTTAAATATTTATTACCTCTTAGGAGGTAAAGCTTTACTATGGTATATAACTGACTGATAGACCCCCTGACCAACGGCCTACTCGAAGTTTGTGGCGAACTTGGCATTCTAGTTCTTGCTTATTGTAAGGACTCTACTCCAATATCCCAGGGATTGACATGATCACTGACACAAAAGTCTAGCACCCCTCGGACGAGGTTTCCTCGAGGCAAGATCAGGCCTGTCGAGGATCTTCCAGAGAATGACATGCGTGCCAAGATCCACCCACGCTGGCAAGGCGACAACTTCCGCAAGAATTCCCAGCTAGTTGATGATATCGAAGCCCTTGCAAAGAAGAAGGGATGCACAGTGAGCCAGATCGCCATCAACTGGCTCTTATCACTCTCTCGTCGCCCGGGGATGTCTACGATCGTGCCTATCCCTGGCTCTACCAAGCCCGACCGTATCCGAGAGAACGCGACAATCATCGATCTTACAGACGAGGACTTGCGCGATATCGACAGGCTACTTGCATCTTTTACGCCTGCCAGTGACAGATATCCTCCTCAACACATGAAATACGTCAGTGCTTAGGAACAAGTATTGCCGAATAGGATTATGGTGCAGATTGGAGGCGACAGATCGGGCAGTATTGGCTGTGTATTTTGTAAACTAGTTAAACACCATCGTTTCAACTTGCTAGACAAGGAGCTGCCTCCGAGACTTGGCTTGGCCCAACATATTTGCCTGTTGTACAAAGTTGGGTGTGGAAAAGAGGGGATTGGAGATAGAAGACGTTTTGAAAGTAGTATATTTTTGTAAATGCATTCATATGATCAGTCATAAAGTCATGATTCTCGTATGAAGGTCGTTTCAAACAAGCCCACAATAGCAACACTTTGTCCATCAGACGACCAGATTGACCGGCACGGGATAAGTGCAACTTCGCATTTATCTCCAAGGTTGTTCCATATGGAAACAATTTGAGCCGCATCTGCATACACCAAAGTCAATTTGGATTGAACCGTTTCTGGCCCATGAGGGTGGAGTTGATGAAGTGATTCCTGCATGATTTTGCACATATCGATCTTCAAGCTATCCAAGGAAGCGGAATGAGGCCTGTCAGCATGAGAATATGCTGCTGTACTGTAGATTACAGTAGCACTTGCGGTTGTGACGACTGAATGCCATGTTTTCCAGCCTGGAAGCGTGAGCTCAGGCAAGCAACACATCAAAAAACTCGCCTCTTCAATTTTCGAAAGACCGTTGTGAGCGTGCCACTCCACAGTAGCCTGCCGTGGCAGCTCTTCCACTTCAGCAGCAAACATAGGCGGGATACAAGTCTCAGGCTCATTCTGTTGACGTAAAGTCAGTGCCTCCCAGTCCGGAAGGGTCTTTCGGGTTGTCTTGTCATCGTTACCAAGCGACATGTAAGCAGGGTTGTATTTCAAGTCCCAAAGATCAGGACCGTTATCACCATCCCCCTCCTCATCGGGGGATCCGTGTGCTTGTTTCCAAGCATACCCTGCCAGCTGGGCGCTGCGCTGGATCTCGGACGAGTTGGCGCGGGGGAAGTAAGCAACTGAGCTTGTCCACCACTGAATCTTCATCTCCTGACCAACTCGCCACAAATGTTGCAGAGATAGGACAATTTGAAGCTCGTGTGACTTCTCAGATGTGGAAGGGAGGAGCATTGTTGCTGGAATCAAGGGTATCTGACCGGCAATGGAGATGCACCGAAGACCTGTAGGCTGGTCTTGAGCTGTCACAGGCACGTCTATCGCCTGACTGTAGGGGCCAATGTTTGCAGGTGCCCAGTATGACCTGGACTGGACATGGAGACCATTGCGGTCCCGTATCGCTTTAGGTGTAGGAGCAGCTAGGGAGATGGCAATATTCACACCAGCCGGTAGGAGGTCACCACAGGAAATGGTCACTCGCGACGGTGGGTTCGGCCTGGTGAATATCTTGCCGTACTCGCCATTAACCTTAGGAAAGTCTGACATGCGCCTTAAGACGACGATGGTACTTGTGACTTGAGAGAGTTGAACACCAGCCCCTGACGCCAAATCTCTGATCTTCTCTACGACCTGGATGGTTTCATCTTGTATCGGCATTTCACCCAACCCGAGGTCTGGAAGTACAGACCAACGCAAAACCTCGCTATCAGCAGTGAAGGTCCCTGCATCTTGGGATAGTGACGTCAACCTCCTTGAAATGGCAGAAGCCTTTGCGGTTTTCAACTCGTTCAAGGATTGCGGCAGGTCGCCAAATACAGTCTTGAAGTGAGGATCGAGGAGATTGGGGATCCGAACTGCTGGTTTGGCTGCAGCATCATGCTTGTCTTCGAACCGTGCACCACCCAACATAAGCCATGAGCAACCGCCACCTTCACGCACTATCCTACGCCCCTGTTCTGGGACAACAATTCTCTTCTTGAACACGGAAGATGGGCCATCCAGGACGAGCGTCTCAAATTCACCACCTTCTCCTAGGGCTGCCGCACCTTGAGCTGAGCCAAACTTGCGTAATGCATTCTTGACACGACTCGAGCCTGCTTCGCTTGACACCCGTTCCCAGAGATGGTTCTCGTCTAGTCCAGCACTGGCAACTTTGATGATCCGTGCCTCTAATCCAACATTGGCCATATCAATCAACAACTGGGTATCGGCTGAGATGGCTGCGGATGGGGGTGGCAAGACTGGATACTGCCATAGGTAGGCCAGGGGCACAAGACCTAGGCGCAGTGCTATTGACTCAACACGGGTGCGCTGGTAGGTGGAGAGGATGGCACCGGCGCATACAGCATTAGCCTCTGGATGGCGGGCAATGATGGACTGTAACAAGGGAAGCATGGACTCCGTCTCGTCACTCTCCTGGACCTTGTCCTGGGCATTAGCCGTGGCATCGTAGTCCCTCTCGTGGCGGACCGCACGTCCAGTGATGGGTAGCCGATATAGCGGCAGGCCAGTTGCATCGGCGTACAGGGGGAGGACTTCGTGCCCGACTGTTTGGTACATGAAACTATTGAGGTCCGTGTCGGAAGATTCCCCGGAGCCCTGGCCTTGCCGAAGGCTGTCATGATCCCCTGTGGCAGGATCAGGCGGCTGGGGTGTCCAGGTACCCGGATCGATGCGCTGGAAGCCCACGGGAGATGAGAGATCCGAAGGTGTCTGGAGATTGGTCTCTGGTTCAGCCTTGGTGGCGCCTTCCTGGCGGAACGGTGATTGTCCGCCTGAAATAGCTGAACTTGAGTCTGGTGCTGGTCCTGGGAACAGGTTTGCAAGAGCCACGATCTGATGGCCGTGCTCGAGACAGTGGATCAGGCTGAAGAAGCTATCTTTGCCCCCCGAGATAAGAGCAATGACATTGAGCTTTTCAGAAGACATGGCTGATAGAACAGTGGCCGTTGACCAGGCACTGCTTTACGGAAGTTGTACCCAGTCAGGCAGGCAGCTAGAGGCTGGGAAATGAGACCTGGAGGATAGTTCGACCTCCAATTTAGCAATTATTCTAAAGACGGGGTGGAAGGCTTGAAGAAAGCCTCTGGCGTACTTTTAATTAGGAGCGGACATTTGATGTGGTGTAGTGTAGCGGAGTTTGGTGGTGAATTGGGATGAGGTGTGTGGTGCAAGAGAAGATGTTGATAGCGCCAAGCTAATTCATTTGGTAGTATATGTTTTAGGCTGGTTTCTCTGTGGGCCCCTGGGCTTCCAACCATTAAGCTTGACTACGAATTTTGCGATACTGAAGCTTTTGTTAGCCTGTGAGCTACTACTCCATGAAAGGCATGAGAAAGTCAGTCCACCATGTTTCATCTTGGGTTTGGCTGAACTAAAACAAAATAAACAAGTGCCCTCTCGGATGAACCAACCACGCTTTTAGTCTACCAACCCAAGACCTTATCTTTTCCCCGAGACCTCGACTTGACCAGCCGGACCCAATGTCAATGTTTGGAAAGGAAAGGCGTCAAATTGTCAATATCAGCCGGGGAAATGGCAATTAGTGACATTCAACCGTTACAGTCCCATCCCATGTACACAGTCATTTCCTCACCTCCTCGTCTCTATCTCATCTCCGCCTCAGGGTCCTCTTTGTATTGGACCTAGTGACGGGGAGTCGACCCGGCAATGAAGATCATCCGAAGACGGTACGAGATGGGAATCCAGGGTCTCTGGTTCTGTATCAAGTTTTAGGTCAACGATATGGATTCCATGTACATCACCTACTCCCGTCGCGAGTAAGGTAATCGATCAGTCCCACCTACAGACTGCGCTATCCAGAGATTTTCAAAACCGACACCGGCGCCAACACGGACAGCACGGACAGGGTCTTCGTCCCTGAGCGCCCAAGGCGCCACACGAGATCGCCGATCCGAACTGGACTTTTCTATTCCGACCTAGTCTCGACTGAAAGATCCGTCGACAAAAGAGGAACAGACTACGGAGAGGCAGGTAGGTAGCCAGCCAGCCAGAGATATAGTAGTTACATCAAGAGCTCCTCCGGGAGGGAATCATGGCTAAGCTGTTGACGCGCCAGTGGCTGAGCCAGGTTTCACACAAGGTCCCGTGGGTCATACCATCAGTCTTTAGAAGGTTGACATAGTTCTTAGTTGAGGTTTCGGAGGATGAAGTTACAATTAAGTAGCAGCAATGAGGAGTGTCATGTCAAGTTAAACAAGTCAAGGTACTGTCAAGCCGCTGCTCCAAAGAAAGATATCACAGGCAAGATGAACGAGATATGTGGCAGCATTGTGTAAATTGTTGATCAATAGACCAAACTTCTAAATTGTACATGAATTGTTGTGAGGATGAGCGTCTGTCAATGACTGTGACCGGCACACTACTGTACTCGACATCTCTAAAAATCCAGCAACAGGCAAACGACAGACAAAGAATCAGAGTAAACACAAGAATATGGAAGAAGAAAGAAGAAAAAAGACAGACGCCTTCACCTTCATCTCCCACTGCTCTCAAGTGATACCGTCGTCCCGGCGAGCCTTCAGTTCCAGCTTCCAGCCGCACAGGATGATTACAACGAGTGTAAAGAACGGCAAGCCGCCAAGTTTTTATGGTGGTCGTTGTCGTTGGCAAACTCATCCATCACGATTCTGATGTGAGGTGAGGAGCCGCTCCCAAATGTTCTCAAAACCAAGTAATTTTTCCCCTCTCGCGCCAGTTGTGTCCATTGAATAAAGTCACCAGAAAGCCAAGTTCAACCAGCTGTGTCGCACAGTTGACTTTGGCGATGCATTGCAATTCTTCAAAAACAAGAAATCGATGAAATCAAATGTCCTCCCTAGTGTCGTGATGCGTAGCGAGGCTGTGGATATTGTTGATACAGGTATGGTGACGATGTGTAAATGCATTCATTATCGCTTGCACTGTTTTGTGTGAAGACTCCCTTTTACCCAAGGTTGTAACCTAAATGGAAAAATGTTCCGTGACCCAAATGCCATCGTCAAAATTGAGCGGATGGCCGAAGAAGAAGAAGGTCGTCAGCGTCGTATCGGGCATATGTCAAGATAATCGACTAGCTTTCTTGAGCATTTTGAATGATGTATGATTGATGGACCATTTAGTCAGAGCGCTTGCGCTTCTTCTTGCCCTGGTCGCTGCCCTCATCAGAGGACATTTCACTTGCACTGCCAGGAATCTCAGAGGCAATCTGGAACAGGACCTTGCCGTAGTTGCTGTAATCTTCGGCCGTAGGAGGGATCATGGAGGCATCATATGCGTGTGAGTCGTCATCAATGAGGTTCATGACGATGGCGCCGCTACCATGGGTTCGAGCATGCTGAGCCAGGTTGTCGCTTCTGGAGAACTTCTTGCCGCACTCGTTGCACTCGAAAGGCTTCTCTTGGGTGTGCAGAGAACGGTAGTGGCGCTTGAGGTGTTCCTGGCGGCGGAAGCGGCGGTTGCAGAGATCACAGACAAAGGTCTTTGAAGGGTCCTCGGTAAGGGACTGCTTACGACCGCGGCGGTTTGCAGGAGCGGGGAGAGGAGCAGGGGAACCCTCTGAGCCAGATGAGGCACCAGAGTCGCTAGCTTCAGCAGCCTGGTTGGAAGACTCCTGAGTGTTACCAGAGTCTGTGGCGGAGGCAGCCATGTTCATGACAGGGCCAGCGGTGCTCTCCTTGACGTGAGTCTTCTTGGTACGCTTGTCCTTGTGGCAGTCCTCGGACGCACAGGAGACTGGAGGGCTGGGATGAGAGGGAAACTGGAAGGCCTCGTTGTCGTCAAATGAAAGGTCCTCGTCGCCGATGAAGCTGCCGTGGCCAAGGGAAACAACCGAGGAGCCAGTGCAAGCCCGAGGTCGGGTGATGTCAGCAGAAGCAGTAGCAGGCTGCTCAGAGAGATTGACGAGGCTGTTGACGAAATCGTCCTCAGACTCGAAATCAGAAAAGTCTTCAAAGGTGGGGAGGCCGTGGGGAACAGTAGGGTTGAAGTCAAAAGACTGAGCAGCAATCTTGGGCTCAACCTTGATCTCGTCGAGAGCGAATTCAGGGGCTAGGGTGCTGTTGATGGCACCAGTACCGACAGTCAGATTCCTTGGGTCGCAGAAGTCGACGTCCAAATCCGGTGTAGAGACGGAGCGGGCATAAGGTGCGGGTGAGGGAGACAGAGACGGGGTGGACACGAGGTCGCTGGCGGTGTTGCTAAGAGAGGGAACCTTGCCGAGTTGAGATTGAAGGTACACTATCATTGCACAGTTAGTCTCCATCAGGTCATTCCCGTGTTTGCTCCACCGCTCAGGTACTGGGACAGCGCACTGCAGGTCTGCGCCTCAAAAGGTGATTGGGCCGAGATAGCGATAGCCAACGTCAGCACCACCATCTTTCCCGCTACCAGGCCCAAAAATAGGCTCAAGCCGAGCTTGCGGCACAATACCATTGTACGATCCGGTAATTGGAGGCTTTGAGATAAAAGTAAACTTACCAGGTGTCATTGGGGGAGATCCGCAGTTGGACCAGTCGAGTACTGCAGTCTCAACAGGCTCGAGAGCCTCCTTGAAGCCATCGATACCATCCAGTCCAGAAAACATGGGGTTCATCGGGGTCTGGAGCACCTCGCAGGCGCTGGGGCTGCCAATGGTACTGCCAGAGGTCGACAGAGGTGGTGTCGAAGGAAAGTACGAGTTCTCGTACAGCTCATTCTCCAACAAAATGGCGGGCTTATGCGACATGGGCTGTGGCGAGGCAGTAGGAGTCATGACGGCTGGGCCATTGCTGTACAGAGTGGGGGGCTGAGAGTTGCTGGCTGAGCTGGGTCGCGAGTAGACTGGAGTTGAAGGCAGTGTAGGAACCATGGGATACATATGCATTTGTTGCTGAGCAAAGTGTTGTCGCATATCATGCTTGGACTCAGGGTTGTAGAAGTAGAAGGGAGCTTGGCCGACGGCCTGGGGCATCATTGTGGAATCCATTTCTATACAAGACTGTCATGTCAGCCAAATCTCTATCGTCTGGTATTTGCAGGATTCCACAAACCTTTAGAGTTGGCTGTGGTGTTAGCGGGTTGGAGGGTTTAGATATTAAGTTGGTATTGGTGTATGTATAGTTTGCTTGACTGGCAATCGGCCTAATGAAGGTGTGGTGTTCGGTTCCTTTTGTGGTGTTCCAAAGAGTGGACAACGAGTTGAGACTCGGTATTAGGTGCGTGGATTGGGGACGTTCTTGTTGTACATGAAAGGTCTGAAGTCTAGTCCAAGGTAGTTGAAGCAAGCACAAGAGATTTATCAAGTATATCGAGAGTGCCGCAAGAGGTGGTTATAATGAATGTGAGGGACTCTCGAGGAACGAGGATATCCAGCAAATAAGAACGATTCACAAAAGAAGGAAGAACTTGGTATAAAAGAGAAGAGAGTATTACAGAGATCCGACGCGGTTGTCGATCATACCTTTCGATGAGGAGGGAAACGAAGGATGGACAAGCACGGGGACGTGGAGTGATAAGTACTGACGACGAGGACTGGCGTATTCACACCAGATGTGCTCGATAGGCAGTCAGTTAGAAAACCCTCCATGTCGTGTCTCAATCACCAAGCCAGGGTCAGAGAGCTGTGGATCTTGATCCACCACCACCACATCCCATCCTCTGGATCCACCACCCTCACTCTTTGGTTCAAAGGCCTGTCACTCGCAATCTGTCCCACGCCCACACACGCCCTCAAGGGCCCAGCGGCGGACCAGACGGCAGAGTGCCCCCAGGCCCCTGTCAAAGCACCCAAGTCATGTCTGGGGCAAGGGAAACATGAGGTGCGGGCCTGGGCATCCCTGGTCGTCTTCAACTTAAGCCCATGGGCATACTAAGCATGGCAGTCTTGCCAGTACGGGCCATGGGGCCACGGCTCCCCATCCACACCACTATGGCGCAGCCACTGGCTTTTCTAATTCTGGACGGTACCTCGAGGCTATCCGTCGCCGGATGGCCCGCCGCGGTATGAGAGTAGCCCCCGAAGCCTATCCAGTCCCAACTTTGTACACCAATGCAACAACCCATGCGCCGACTGAATAACGAGCTCGGCCATAAAGTAGTGGATAAGGTATGGATGTTCATGTGGATGCTTGTATGGAAGGATGGGATGGCACGAAAAATCAAAAGCTTGCAATAGAGGGTCCTCGGTCGCTTGTGCAAGACCTGTGCGAGTGTGCACAAGTCCCATGTCTTGTCTCTGGTGTCTCGTTCTTCTGTAGTCTGTCATATTTTTCCCTTTTTGACTATTTGTTGGTTGGCTTGCGTACGCGCTTGGTGTGTGATGTGTGTGTTCATCACCCACAAACCCGAGTCCAGCATAGCATAATCCAGCCCTCCGACGAACGGAATGAATACCACAGCCGCCATTAATGATGAGCACATCGCAATGCACATTTCTCACATCCCTCGTCTTATCCCTTCCATTTGTTTGGGCTCCCATCAACCAGTGGGGTCCCGAGGATGGCAGACACGCCGCGAGTTATGCGATGACCCTGGACAAAGTGCGCGCCATGGTGCAATACCACTCGCCTTGAGCGGCCTCCCTACCCCCAGGTGGCACGCAAACCGCAAACCGCGTCACAGAAACTGCATAATCCCGTTCACTGATAGGATAGTGCCTTGGCGAGTCGCCATGCATCAAGATGCATTAGACTCGCCGCGCCTCATTGTAACAGAATAATAAATAACTTGTATGCTAAGTTCATAATGAGGATTGGGCACGTCCATAATGGGCCCTGGCCGTGCACAACTCCAAAACTGTCCACTCGGAACAACGTTGTGCACCTCCTCATGTCCGCTTTTGCCATTACACAGTCGACGGCGCCGATATGCACGCTTCCATTCGCCGGGCTATGGTATCACCTCCACCCGATGCATCTCTGGATGTGCTATGTAAGGTACAGGCGACGCTTGCTTCATTTCCAGACCTGTTAGGTTGGCTGATCACCTCGGCGCGGTCTCTGGCAGACTACTCGACTCTGTGGAGCGTTCGACGTCACCCATCCCGTCAAAGCAGCCGTCGTTGTTTCATCCTGGTAGTCCAAGGTTAGAAGGAGCCTGTGGTGATGACTGGCCGCTTCGGTCTCTGGTTGGACACAAGCTCGTAAGTATAGATGACGATATGGAGCGAGATGCCTCGTTGGTGGACGGCTTGGTCAATCATGGTTGAATATAGCTGGAAGTTTGAAATAACGAGTGAAAGCCAGACCTTTGATGACACAATAGGTCGGTAGTCCTTGAGAGAAACGGGCGCCTGATTGATTTTTGGCCGAACTTATCCGTTGCTGTTTTGCTGTTTTTTTCCGAGATCCAAGTCTCTGATATGATTGCTTATTGCTAGGCATCTTTGAGTTCCTGGTTGGTTCTTTTCTCTACAGTGATTACCTCGCCTTGCCTATCAGTTCGCATGTCTTGCTTGACTCGCATCATGCACCGCAATGCTGTAACAGCTCGTTGTCAGCATGTAAAGATACCCATCTCGGTCAAAATCCATCCTGTGCTTCAGGACGAGCCAAGTTACCATCTCAATATAAAAGCGATGCCACTAAATTCGACAACTTGGGGTTGAAGAGACAAGCAATCGTCGTGTGGGGTCACTAAACTGGTCCGCGCTGTACCCAAAAGTGTTATCGGTGCCCAGAATAGTCAATAGGTTGGCTTGGGAATGCCACACAGCCCCGTTGAGATGAGAATTAATTTTATGCGGCAAGCCCGGTTGCGCTCTTTGACGTCTCATCACCCAATACCTCTGCATAAAAACTGGACGGGACGGAGCGCCAGCGGCACCTACCCAGTTAGGTCAAGCTGCTACCGAGGGGTACGAGGTGATGGATAGCAACGACTCACTAATGCAACTTTAGCATCTCGTACCTGAACTGAGCTGAACTTACATTATTCTCTGTAACACCAGCATACATATGACCCAGTATGTTGGCGCTGCGCGCGCCAGTTGAGTCGTGGATGAGAACACCTAGTGGGCGATCTATTGCGTATAGCGTATGACGATGGGCGACAGCGAAGCTGGAGCTGCATTGCGTAAGTGCTATGCCCTTCAGGTACCAGGAACGTCGACTGCTGCACTGCAGGCACAGCTTTCCGTCCTTTCGAATTACGTTGTGCAGGACACAGCTGTATCAGGGTGGGGGTGTTTATCCATGCTTAATCGAAGGTATCGTTGGCCACTGTTCTACGAAGCTTCTCTCCATTATGCTGTTGGGGCTACCTATATGGAAGGGTTCAATATCGTTGCTTCGGTCATGCGATCGCCAACTAGGTAGGAACCTACTCTTACCTAAGGTAAGTGATAATTGGTATCTGCCTTCCGGAGGATAGAGTAATTTGACATGTTCAAACAAGGATAAGCATGACCCAGCCAACCGTCCTTTGTAGTGATAGGCTGTCAATTGGCCCAAGGGTCCAAAGGAAGCAACGACGGCTTCTAAATGTAACGTCAGAGAAGCATCCCAGCTTCCACGTCCCAGGATAAGGGCTGGTCGGTACCCGGACTGTCAGAATCCTACCCAGCAAACCCAAAGTCCTGAATGTCCACATCCATCTCATCCCGTCACTGCGTACAATCCATGACCCTGGAGACTGACGTCCGGCCCCCAACCCGACCAATTGTCAACAACTTCCCGTCCCTTCTTGGGAAGGTTCTATGCGATCGAGTCTTGGCTTCTTGCTTCGTCCCGCCTGGCCTGGGCGTTCAAATGCGCCTGTTCGCTGTCTGGACCTTGCCCAGGCTGCCTCTATTACTCCAGTTGTCTCTTCAACCACTATCCGTACTCAGTAGCTATGTACGGTCCACCTCAATGCCCCAATCATTTGCGGTCTAAGAGCACTATGGACATCTAAATACGCCACAGATTCAGCTCCCCTGCTCCCCCAATCGCCATGGGCGCACGAACAAGCCAGTGCACGCTGGGTAGTGCAGCTCGGTCATCTGTGCCATACTGCAATAGGCTGTTGGCAACGACATCGAGTCAAGCAACTTCATATCAGGAACAACAGTCACAATGGCACCGCGGCCAATGACTTACGACAGTATGTAACTACCACACTCATGCTTGTTGTAACCGTGATGGTCAAAGAGCCAGAATTGACTCGCCTAGAACGGTGCCTTCCTGTTCCAGCTTGCTGGATATAGTTCGTCTCACCATTGCGCCCACAGCGAGTCAGAATAGGTATCAGATCAGGCAGGCCGCATGGTGAAAACCGCTCAGATCGAGATCTGCACTAACACGGACGATTCTAATATGGTGTTCGGGAACACTATGGTTTCGATTCCCTGATGCGTCCGGCATTCTCTCTCGTGCCAAAGCGTCTGTCATCCCAACTTTGACCTCCTCTCAAGGGTTCGGTCGTCCTCAATGTTCATGGCATCTACATGAAATGATGAACGGTCGCCTCTTCCCGCAACCCAAGCATCTGCGCAGCAGCAAAAGCTCCATTTAGATCATATGAATCCTCAACGGGAAGCCGGGACCAGGGTCCCTTTTCCCGTCGGTATCCAAATTGAATGAGAGAAATTTCGCCTAATGTCTTACTTCAACTAGAATATGAAAAGGGCAGCCGAGCAGTAATTTGAGCTCTCTAGCAAATCAAGCACCAAGCGACTGCTATGGCAGAAAGCACCCTGTTAGTATCCGTACATACATGGTTTCCAATACTCTGGGACACCTGGCCCCGGACGGAAATGTCCCCGAATTGTTACAGACTCCAAACGGAGCAATTGCCAGGTTGCTTATATGAGGCTCCATGACCACAGGTCAATACATACAGAACCATGCGATAAACCGCCCCAGAATCCGGCTTTGATTTAGCCTCGGTCGGAAGCTCGACGTTCCAGAAGGTCCCAAACCTTCGGTGCGGAACCCTTCAATCGTCAAACTTATCTTGGACAAGTGAAACACTTTGGTGATCAATACTGTACACGATAAATGAGTGTACTCCAACGCACACTCGTTCTTGGCATTGACAATAGCTCGTGAGATGTCCTCCAAGCTTGTCTCGCCTTCTTACGGCTTCCGTTGGATGTCTCTGATACGAATGTTTCTACCCGTGTTTCCGCCTCACTATCTAAAAGTCAGCCGTGGTTTGACCCACCATACTCGATCATCTCCTCTCGTCAAGGACGCGACGTTACGGACCAGCGTAGTGGATAACTAATAATTTCTAACCTTGCCTATTATGAACGGCATGACCGAATTGTGACCGTCCGCCGATGCCAGGCTAGAGCTTCGGGTGGTGTCCCATTGGCCATCATAAGGGTATTCCTCAAACCTGAAACCCTAGCTGATGCACAAAGTCGCTGTGCTGACTGTGGTGCTATGCTTTGGGGTTGTATTAGCCAGGAACATTTCATACGAGGATGGCATTATGTGGAATAGTGCATGGGTCACTTGCTCAAATAAGCACATTGGACGCCTCCCAACGCACAATCAAGGCACAAATCGACTTCTCATTTCCTGATGCAAGCCACATATGCACAAGCACCTGAGCTCGCACATGCACAGGAGGATCCATATTCCTGATGTTTTAGCCCAAAGATGAACTCGGTCTTGTGTCCCTAGGTCAGTACTTGTGCGTGCTTATGCATACGAGCGCCCGCAGGGTGTACGTCTGTAGGTACTCCGTACAAGTCTCGGTCCTCCAAATGCAGAGCCATACAGACCTTCTCGCACGTCTCAATGAACTATTCTCAGCAAAGACACTTACCCATGCCAAATTCCTGAAGATCTTCACCACTAAACCCGTCATTATCCTTCTGCCGATTCGAAGCTGCCACAGACTTTGGGCTATGATCGTATACATTTGTTTCGTTTGATCAATTCCTCCAGGTGTCTCCCACAGTACTTGGGGTTCTCCTCATTCCCTCAATGTTCTTGATAAACCGAGCATTTCATCTTTCCTGTCAGGTAGTAGTCATCCATGAAAATGGCCTCCAACAGCCGGGCAACTAACGATTCTGGGGTGCTTGCTAGGTCCTCAAGGATCCGTTGACAGTTCGGGTCAGCTCTTGTGGGCAAGTTCGTGTCGTTAGTAGGGCGACCCCCTCGTTGGCCCATGTCAACTTATTGGTGGCAACTCTTGGTACCTTGCATGACAACGTTCCAAACTGATGCAGAAACATAACAGACAGGGCTTTTTTTCCAAGCGACCGCCACCGTTATGCAGGAACAAGAACAAGAAAAGCCAATTGTGGCTGTCACACAAACAGTTTCCTAGCAAACCGTTTTGATAGAGTGTATGGCTTTGTGCCGCGAACAAACATATTCAGACCTCTCAGATTGCAAAAGAACAAGGTCCTGCCTTTGCCTAAGGCGTCGCATCGTATATATTCCTAGATCACATTGAATTATAGCTCACCAGAAAGAGATCACCAACTGCGTCAACCAGCTATGTACAAGACAGCGAAATTGACAGGGTTTATTTCAACATGGCTGTTCATGGTTTCTGGCCCAGCTTAAAAGATTTCTCAGCGCACCATTGTGGCCCATCTTGAGCGATGACCCCAGAAATGCAAACAGTAGTCACCATAGGCCACTTGCAAACATGATATCAGTGGCAAGCGACTACGTTGAAGAGTTTTGGGCTATTGGGCCGCCCGTCAGTCTATGCTCGCTCGAGTTATCAGCTCCACTGATCCTCTTTGTGGGCCTTTTGCAGACTCTCTTCACCTTACAGGTCTCTGTAAGAACGTGCTCTGAAGCTATCGACACCGCCGTCGTGCAGAGACCACAAGATGGTACAGGCCCTGAACATTGAGGGCATCGACAGCTCCATCGTCTTGTTAGTGGCAGGCTCTGGTCTCGCGGAGCCGGGTGTCGACATCCCTGGTGCAGCAGCGGATGTGCAAGCTTGGCCGAGTTGGATATCAGTGGGAGCTAACCACTTTCGAGAGCGAGGCAAAAGAGAGGATCCGACGTGTTGGATTCGTTTTGTTCCGCGAGCCACCAACTACGCCTAACCACCCCAGACTGTAGGCAATCTGAATCCGTGTCCGCGGCTGCCAGGGCTTGCGAGAGAGCGTTCTCGCATTGAGAATCCCAAATGCCTTTCCGCCGTGGCACAACATTCTGAATATGTATTTCCTCAATGAACAAAACTAATCATTGATATTCGTCTAGAGAAGCGGACATTTCAAGGTGTGCAGTCAATTCTCACAATCAAACCTCTCGACTCATCTGTCAGTACCATCATGAGGTCCCGGCACATCGTCTCTGGGAGGCGAGTTGCTTGGCTTCACCTGGGCCTGGGTCAACCGTACCGTCTAGGAGTGGATGGGACCCTGATGGGCGGTAGAACAAGGGGTGTCCCTGGCGGTTCCACTCCGTCAGGGGATCCCCTGTTTCGAGATGGACTGGCGGGACTCGTTGGAGATTTGGCAACGGCCCGGATAGGTAGCCGTGTGGCCAGCCAGTCTCGTTGATAAGGTCCCCGGAGACTTAGGCTGTAATAATCCCTGTCCTCCGGCCTTTGGGACGCTCCCCGGATTTCAGCCCGGCCAAATACAGTCTCGAACGAATCAATATGCTGGTTGTTCAGCCCGGACCCTTCCTACTGGCATGATTCTGGAAGATCACCTCTCAGGACTCAGATTGTTCACAAACAGACAGTGTCTGACTTAGTTTGGTGCTAGCCAGTCCCAAAGAGTGTCGTCGTCCCGTGTTAATTGACCGGAGTCAAATCTATAGTTCAGCTTGATGAAAATCATGAGTTAATGCTAGTGGCTACGTGTGAACGACCCGTCCAGGCCATCTCATGGTTCTCGTCTTTGCTAAAAGGTGGTGTCGTCGTGGCAAACCTCTTGGGCTGGCAGATGTTCGGTGTGAGACGATGCCTGAATTATCAGAGGGTAGTAAGAGCATGTCAGATACTGATCAACAACGTTTGTCTTACGTCCCCAGGCCCAGGACACCCGGCAATCCAACGCGTTCATGCACCCAGCATGAGAATTAGTGGGGTTACCTTGTCACACCCGCGGCTCTTCAAACCAAACTCGCAGACTGGCCTTTGACTGGAGAAGTGGCTGGCTAGACCCGTGATGCAGAATCGGACGTGCCTGACTGGTGATAATTGTACATGGGCGGTTCGATTTGACTGTTCCGTCAATGAAAGTCGATATGAATGGTTGGCCCACTCAACCGCGAGTCATCTCAAGAGCGTGATACCACAGAGATAAAATGAGGAACCGTCTGTGTGGAGGACTGGAGAAAGTTCAAAATCAGCTGGTGGCCGGGGCACCCCTGGCTGGATGGTAACCGGAACCAACGCTAACAATACTTACCTTGTCCAAGACGACTGGCCATTCCGCCGACCATGTCCTTGGGACTTCTCGAAGGTTTCACATCGCACCCCAGCATCGCGAAGGATCATACCTCGACGCTCGAGAAGATGAACTGGTAGTCGGATTGAGTTCCTATCAATCCATGTTGACGATCTACTACGGTATGGAGCGGGAGGTCAAGAGCCTCGGTCCATACGAGTCAAAGCAAGTTTCTTTGTGGTTTGTTTGATGCAAGACATTTTGCATTGCTGTTGATGGAGCACTTTGAGCTTCACCATCGAGCACAACATCCACCTAATGGGAATAGATCCTTCCGGGGTACGTGTGATACGAGCGAGATACAAAGGCCAAAACGAAACAGCGATTCTGCCTCAACCCTATCCAGCAAGCCTTTGGTCTTTGGTACAGTCTACAATGCTAGTACGGCCTGTCAATGTGAGTAGTCTGGTGGCCTTCCCGTCAACCTTATCAACCAACACCGCACGGTCTTGGGCATGCCCTCGATGAAAGCTGCCAAACTACCAACCCACGTGGAACAGGCTTGAGATGCTGTCGGGGTCAATGGCGGACCTTGGGCTCCGTGCGTGACTTGAATCTACTGCAATGAATTGAATGTAATTGGGATGCATGCTTCATGAGACCCTCGGTATGGATCGAGAGGTTGGATTGCCTACCTACTAAGTCAACCAGCCTCACTTTGTTGGACTATTATTTGATGTTGCACCTGCAGAGGGTCCGCAATTTCGCAGCGTTATGGTTGATAAACCAAACGAACGCGAAGCTCGACTACCTATGCATTAGTGTGCAGCAATCACTGAATAGCTCGATACCTCGCACAAGAGGCAATGGTTTAGCTTGCGATGCAATGTACTGTATTGCAATGATCAGCAACAATAAGGAAGAAGTAAATTTTTCAAGGATGTGAGAAGACGGGAACGGACCCCGGTGGCATCTCTTTTCATGTGACAACTACCGACAATTGGAAAGAAAAAAGAAAATCTCAGCGCCTGGTGGTTTCACGCTCAAGGATTGATACTTTGCTACCACCATAGCCTAGCCCACAAGCATGAGAAAAAGCAAAGCAAAGAGAAACGGCTCGTCACCTCATTGCAAGCCTTTCCTGTTTGCCTCTGTCTCTATCTGTACATACCTCCCTCTTCTCACTTCTCACACCGCATGGAAGGGCAGTGTCTGTCTCAGGTATGGGTGTACCTGGAGTGGGTGGAAGATTGATTGCCTTGCCTCTGAGTCTGAGCCCGTCCGTCCGTCCCACCCCTGGCGAGCAAGCATATGAATCTAGGATTCTCTCTTTCTTATTATGCGTCTATGCGTTGACGGCTCGCCTCCGTCAGAGTCAATAGGTGCCTGTGCGTAATGGGTCTTTACGAACGTTTTTATGCCTTTGCCTGGTTCTCTGAGACGAAGCGGAGGCTCAATACGACGGTGCAATTCAAATCGAATCTGGCGAAACCCGAATATTTCAAAATAGCATGATGACTTGGGGATATTCATGGACGAACTATACCAGTCTCGGGATAAGATGGCAAGCTCTTTAATTATCGTTTGTCACTGATGGATATATCCATCCATTGATGCGCACGGCAGCTCCGGGCCAACCCGTATGAGATGAACGGACGTGCGGTCCGCAGGAGTCCGATTGATGAGTCTAAGAGCAACGGCTCAATGCCCAGACTAAGTTTAATGATGCCGATAGATGAGATGGTGTGTCATTTCGGCATAACAGTCTATCATTATTACCTATCTGTAATGATTGCGAGCGAGCGGGCTGCAGTGCAGATACAGATACAGAGTACCAATTCATCAACTTTGAACCCCCACTCAGCAGGTTGGTTGGAAGGATTCAGTTATGGCTTCACCATGTTTGCCTACCGAGAACTGATCGGCTAATTATTTGCTTTGTCTTGTCCTGTCCTGTTCTGCCTGCGCTGCTCTGTCCTGTCCTGGTTCGTCGTCTCTTTGCTTTTTACTCTCTCATTTCTGTGGCCTCTTTTCCCCCATCTAACGATTTTTAGTATTCTTTCTTTTTTCCCTCTCTATGTCATGTTTTCCTATGTCATCATATGATGTGATACATTACATATGACTTATGCGAGGGCCCATTTGCCATTCTCATGGTTGTGCACCTTAGACCTATCATGTCACGACCAACGAGTCTTGCCTAGATGAAGCGGTCACGGATCACGGACTGTGTCTAATGCATGTCGCATGCCCGGAAAATGTCAGGTTTGGCCTCAACAGTGTGGGTTGAGGGACAAGTAACGCAACATGACACGAGGCCGAGACAAAGGTTTAGATTTGCTCAGCTGAAGATGAAACGATCGAGCCAATGACGAGGGGACAAAAAAGCGTTAGAGATATCCGAGTGGATGTCTGAAACATGTCGAATAAGTAAGTGTTTGACGTCAAATACTGGAGTTCAGTGACACAGATGTATCAATGATACGGATTTGGGTTTTCAATATCAACTTTTGCATGCCTCCACAGTTTACACAACATGTCGAGCTTTGTCAACTAGCCGATGAGCAAACTGACTTGGATCTACCAAGCCAAGCAGCTTCGTCTTCATACATGATTAGTTCCATAACCTGCAGACAAAGCAACCACGGGCAGTTGGCTTCGGAGTGCTCTGTGGGGTTAGGGCATGCAGGATTCGAGAAGTGGTGAGGACGATATGCGAGGGTGGGGAATCGACTGTCTCTCACTGCGGGATAAGCAGTAGGGGAGAGGAATATCCCCGAATGGCCTCATGTGGCGGCGAGGCACGGAAGGAGAAGCAAGGGATCACGGTGAATCGATCGGGATCAAGGAGGGGGAGGGTTCTGTACCGTTGGGAATGTTTATGCCCACCAGACGCGACGTACGGTAGAGTGGCGGTCACTTGTGATATATGCGAGGGATAACATAAAAGGTCTTTTGAAAAAGGTTTCACGGCGGATCTGGGGATGCTGATTGGGTGCTGCCTTTGTTGACAGGTCGTGAATCAGATTTTGGACCTGCATCTGCTTGGTCAGCTCGACTGCGAGGGCAGCGTTTGTGCAGTGAAATGTTGTCATGATGCTCCATAACAGACGCATAATGGAGTTGGCATATAGATACCTATCATGGACACGAACGGAATGGAATTGATCATCTATCTGTCGTCAGATGGGATGGCTCTAGTGTAGGGTGAGTGTGGCTCCGCCCTTCGTTTTTCTTTTCTCTATGTCTTTTCTGGCTCACTTGCATTCTCTTTGCTTATCTGTCTCGCCCATGAGCTTAGACTCGACCCAGTTTAGCACCTGTAGGTAAGTAGTTTTTGAAGGGAAGCAAAGTTTATGTTGATGCGGGGGTCTTACTGATTTGGTTTTTTCCTCGTCAACTTTCTTATTTTACGTCTTCCCCCACTTGCTGGGTGGTCAAAATGTCGGTGACTCGATTGCCTGCCGTCGGTGTAGGTGATGGATGCACTTCTATGTATGTCATCCCAATCGCGATGACTTCCCAGATGGATGGTGTAGGGTACTTCACATCGACGGACGAGCGATTCGTACCATTCCAGCAAATTCTGAGGCAGAGAGGTGGAAGATGGTATGGAGGCTTATATGCGAGTGATGACGGTGCCAGAGATGATGCAAGGGCTGATCTGCGACATGGCTTACACGTGTTGGTCTTGGATCTGGTCTGGATAGAGTGGTTGTGGCTGTACGCTTTATGCGAGGGCGCGCATTTTAGAGTGTTTCGTGAGACAAAAGATCTAGCCCTAACATGCCAGTAGATTGACGATCGATTCTGATTGAGTGATGGCGATTTAGACTTCAGTAAGGGATGTTTCGTTGCATGCCGTTGCGAGGATCGAGATCAGTGCGAGACCAGTCTAGATGACCCTCGATGGTGTTGCGCAGCTTGTATTTCAAGATTTGCGTAGTTGATATGTGCGGGAGATATTGTCCTACTTATCTGAAACAAACACCTTTTCGTCTTCTTGACGTTGTACAAGTTGAGGTCGAGTCGGGCACTGAGAATGCGACATTGACATCACGACCTTGAATTAGCGGAGTGTTTTGTATATTGAAATGGATCATGGCGAGATTTTTGGTGTGAACTTGACGTTTCACCAAATAACTTCTGTTGATTGTTTGGTGTCGAGAACTCGGTGAGTACAAAAAGTTACATGTTATTAGTCTTACAGGCCTAGAAATAGTGAGGACCCTAACACATATACCATGCCGATGCTATACAAGCCTGTTGAAGATTGACGACGTCAAATACTCCAAGTCAGCAACGTTTAACCCGTATACCATCCAGACTCTTATCATGTCAAGTGGTGATATGAGCTCATGTCCAGGCACCACCACGGTATAGGGTAATCAAAGTTTCAACAACGGTGCCAGGATCCCGTAGCGCCACACGGGCCGGGCCAGCCCAGCCACCCGATTTCCCAGCCACCCGGCAACGCGGAATTGGGTACAGCACTAATATCCCAATATCTATCTACAAGAAACGCTCCCAGCCTCCCAATTGATCATCCTCGGGCGCCAAAACAACCAAGGACGGGGCCAATTGCCATTACGCGGCAGCCCAAGAAGAAACCGGAAAACGGTGAGCGTTGAATTTCCAATGCCAAGCGTGTGACGTGACGTGTCTTGCTCGTAATATTTCACTTTTTAGTCTTGAACGGGAACCTGCATCTTCACCACTTCTTCCTCCCCTTACACCAACAATCACCATAAGCCTCGAGTCTATTCCCCTGTGCTACTACACATTATCGAGTACTGATACAACGATACCCGAGACAAGTTGAAGAACAGAGTAATACTCACATTGACGACGTTGGCTTTTAGAAGCCACTTGCTCACCGTACATATCACACCATACCATACCATACCTACCCACCACAGCACATACAGCCCAACATGAGATGGATATCCAGAGTCTCGGCCGCAGCCGCAGTGCTGCTTGCTACTGCAGTCTCAGCCCAGACATGGAGTAAATGCAATCCTCTCCAGAACAGTACGCACACTTTATCAACCAGTCAACCCCTCATCCCACTAACCAGACACTTATAGGCAACTGTCCCAGCGACGATGCCCTCGGCATGAGCATCGACATCGACTTCTCCAAAGGCGAGGTAAACTCCTTCGCAGCCTCTGGATCGCCTAAATACGACAGCGAGGGCGTCTCCTTCACCGTCGCCCGCGCCAATGACGCGCCGCAGCTTGCATCCCTCTTCTACATCATGTTCGGCCGTGTCGAGATCACGATGAAGGCTGCTCCCGGAGCCGGTATCGTATCGTCGCTCGTTCTCCAGTCCGACGTGCTCGACGAGATCGACATTGAATGGCTCGGCTCCGATAATGACGAGATCCAGTCAAACTACTTCGGAAAGGGCCAGACGACCTCGTACAACCGCGGCGAGTTTCACGACGTGACAAATACGCAGGGCGAGTGGATTACATATACCATCGACTGGACCAAGGACCGTATCGTCTGGATGGCTGGCGGCACTGTCGTTCGAACCCTCAACGCTGGCGACGCCGAGGATAATCAATACCCTCAAACTCCGATGCAAGTCAAGTTCGGCGCCTGGGCTGGTGGTGACCCCAATACAAACTCCGCAGGCACCGTCAAATGGGCCCGTGGACCAACAGACTACTCCAAAGGTCCCTTCACCATGAAAGTCAAGAGTGTCGTTGTCACGGACTACTCAACTGGTGACGAGTACAAATACAAGGACACATCTGGCTCCTGGCAGTCAATTGAATCTGTCGGCGGTGAGATCAACGGCAACGAAAACGGCGATGCCATGACCGTCACTGCTACCGCCCAAGGAACCGTCGCTACAGCGGATGGAAACGTTCCTGTCGGAGGTATCGCCGAGGACGGAAGTCCCGCTACAGCTACACAGACGGGATGGCCCTGGACCGGCTCCCGACCTTCTGGCGGAGCTATCCCTGAAGGCTGGAGGCTCAACGCCAAGGGGAAAATCATTCCCGCCGAGAACAGCGCCTTCGTTCTTCAGCCTTTACATAACGTTATTGCTGTTATGCCCTTCTTGGCCGGCATTATGGCATTTGCTGGTCGTTTCTTCTAGAGAAGAAACACCTTGACTTCACTTCACGGTATATGACCTATATATTACGATTCGACAGCATATATTGTCTTGGGTTTTGGCCCATGTACATTGTCCGGCATATGATGACCTCTAGACAACACCGCGAGTATGTATGGATGTGATTCCTTATTTACATGGCAAGGTTGGTTGGCGTTTCTGGAACTGGGGCACTTAGTTGCAATTGGTTGGTATTTGGGTTTGACATATTGCTCTTAGCGACGGCGCAATGCATTTGGTTGTAAAGAATAGACGCATGGCAAACATTAGATAGACAGGCGGTGTATAATGAAAGAATCAACATATATATTTTACGAGGACCAATGTACACTCCAAGATGGAACACACATTCTTCTCGTCATACAAATGTTGAAAAAAATAGCACTGGTAAATATAGTTATCAGGATCGTGCCCGTCTCGTCCATGCTTGAGCGTTAGCAGAGCCATGGATGGAGTCAACCCCTCTCCAGAGGCCACCAAAACTCCAGCAACATGCGAAGTGCTTGTTCTATAGGTATGATTTCTATGATACTAAAATCTCTGCCGCCAATAATCCCCTTGAATGCTCCGAGCAACCCATCTCGGCGCCTGCGAGTTCGTTGTCTGCGTTCTGCGTTCTACGGCCGTTCACCCTGCACCCGGAAAGCACATCGCGAGCTCGCGCTTCGCTCGGTGTGCTTTCTCCTCTTGTCTCCTTGATCTTGCCCTTGCTCATGTCGAAAGCAACATCCGAGTATTCTTACAAAACCTCCAAAGAAAAAAAAAAGCAAGCAAATTAGTATAAAAGCAACAGAACCAAAAGCCTCCCGCAATTTTCTTTTTATACGCCAACACCCTCACGGAGAACTTAGAAGGTCCAGTCATCCTCATCCTCAACAGACTTGATGGCCCATCGGAACTTGTCACGAAGAGTCTTGGAAAAGAACTTTTCGATAGGAACGTCGAACTTCTTGGAGAAGACCACTGTGAGGCGAGGATCAATGTAGTTCTATGAATAACAAGTCAGTCAAAGATCTTCAACGGGTTTTCGGTGGTACTCACGATCTTGGAGGTGCCGAGGGCTACCTCCTTGTTGCCATCACGATCCTGGGCCTGAAGCTCCAGTGTCTTGATGCGCTCATCAAACTTGTCCACAGCCTTTAGAAGCTTGTCGACAGTAACGCCTCTGCCTTCAGCCTCGACCTTCTTGGTCTTGTTCTCTTTTTTGAACTTGGCCTCCATCTCCTTGACAGCCTGAAGACGTTCTTTGAGCTCCTTCTCGGGGAGAGGCTTTTCTTTGTCCGCCTTGCGCTTTTCGTTGTCCTTCTCGAATTTCTTGGTGATCTTTGTACGCTGCTCCTCAAGTAAGAATTGCTGGTGCTCCTTGACCCACTCGTCATCTAAGTCCTCATCCCTCTCGAACCAGGCGGCACCCTTCTTCTTCTTGTAACCAGATTCAATATCGAGAATCATCATCTTTGTTCGCCATTGCTGGTAGCGGAGGCCTTTAATCTAGAAAAGAATCAGTATCTGGAGTGGTCGACTTAGGCACAAGTCAGACTTACCCTGTCACCAAGCTTGGCCATTTGCTGCTCGTGCCCAGCACCCACGGTTCGCTTATGGTTGCACAGAACGGCAACCTCGCGGTTGCAGTCATTGTACAACTTTACTTTTTCAGCAACTGTGCCGCGAGAGCGAGGATCCGAAGCGAGCTTCCTGAGCAGTTCTGACATTGTCCAGGAAGCGTTGTAAGTACGGAAAACCTTGGCGGTCAGACCCTTCATGTAGCCGGTCAAATGCCTATTCAACTGAGAGGTCTATAATTCCGTCAGCAACTAACTTCTTATACAAAGGACAGGGAAATAAAAGAAAAGAAAAGAAAAGAAAAGAAAAGAAACTGACGTTGAGGCGGTCGAAGAGATCATCTCCCGTAGTCTTGGGCGCCTTCTTGAAAAGCTTGAGGTTCTTAAAGACCTGAGGCTCAACAATGGCAGTCTCTCTATATGGAATACTGTCCTTTCCGAGGAAATCGAATGTAACCTTGTTAGGAGGCTCAAGTGTGATATGCTCGTACTTGAGAGAGCAACAACCCACAGTGTCGGCCTCGTTTTCTGTGTCTTTCTCGTTACCAGCTCGAAGTGCCATTTTGTCGATCAGATACATGGCGGTGGCTCGTTGACGATCTGCCATCACTTCACTCTTAAGCTCCTTGGTGTAGTCCTTGCGAATCTTGTCAATGTGCTTTTTGAGTTCCCGGGCCTTCTCAAACTTCTTGAAGTCACTCTGACCTTTGATATCGCTATCAGCTCCAAGCATCACATACTTGTAGTTTTGGTTGATATTCTCCTGCCACATGGCTAACCAGGTTGCCTTTTGGTCGTGCTGCACAGCTTTCCACTTGTGTCCCTTGGGAGGCTCTGGGACCTTGGCACCCTTGCCGATGTTGATGGTGATTTGTTCGGGTTGGACACGCTGCTTGACTTTACCGGTTTTGGGATGTTCACCACGTCCACGGAACAAGCTGGGAGGTTCGACTCTGAAGTTGCCAACCTTCTGCTTTCTACCATCCCATAAACAGTGAGTGAAGGGGGCTTCGAGGGCATCCTTCTTCGCCTTCGCAGCCTCCCTCTCTTCCTTGGTCATGTTTTTGGACTTGTTCTGTTCGACCTTCTCGCTCCAATATGCGTAAATTTTGTCGAAGTTGCACTTTTCAAGCGATTTGACAGCGACCTTCTTTCCCTGCGCATCTGTAACACCGTACTTGTCGCAGTATTCTTTAAAATCTTCAAAGAAGTTTTTGCGGAAAACAGGGTTCTCTAGGTGATGGGAGGATGCAGGAGTCATCATGGCAACCCAAAAGGTGGCAACCTCCTCAACCTCGGGAGCAAGAGTAACTGGTTGTCCATCGTAGAGCATCTTGACGTTCTTGGGCAAAGGCTCGTAATCAGGTGGGAAAAGAACGCCATTGTGCTCAAGAGTTGTCCACTTAATATCGTCGTTTTCCTTCTTTGGTGCGTTCCACCAAGCATACTCCTCTTCGTCCTCACTCTCGCTGGCCTTCTTGGATTCTGCCTTGACGGCCTTCTTGGCAGATGAGGTGGGTTTAGCCTTGGCCTTCTTGGAGATAGGCGCATCCGAATCTGACTCCTCTTTCTTGACACCATTCGACTTCCGCTTCGCAGCAGTTCCGTTAGATCGACGCTTACTCGCTGAGGATTTCGCAAGTGGAACATCGTCGTCGGACTCATCCTTGACAGCTTTCTTTGTCGCAGGCTTCTTGGTTCTTTCTTTGGCTCGGATCACCTTGGCTTGCTTCTCAGCTTCCTTCTCCATGTCACGCTTCTTTTGCGCGAGCTTCACACTAAGGGGCTCGTCATCGTCGCCAGAGGACTCGGGCAAAGCAGTCTCGTCGTAGGAAGGGGGAAGTTTCTTTCCTCGGGCCCTTGCGATGGGTTCATCGTCGGAGTCGGATTCGGGAACTCTGTTGGCTTGCTTCTTTTGCCGCTTGGCCTGCGATAGCATCGTCAGCATACCTGGCCCCACAGGAAGGGTTTTCCTGTGTCATGAATACGAACCAGAGGGGCAGCATCATCACTAGACTCATCGTCCTTGTAGTTGACCTTGCTGATAGAGGTACGCGATTTACGTTTGCTAGCTCCGTTGGTAGCCGGTTCATCGATGTCCATTGCGTCTTCAAGAGGACCATTGCGAACCGACAGACCAGCCATCTTAGCAGCCTGCTTGGGCACTGGCTGATCCAGAGCATCATCTTCGGCGCGAGAAATCTTAGACGAGGAGACTGTAGGGATTCCATGTGTTAGAACAGAGACCAGCAAAAGCATGCGCGTGGTAGGTGTTGTAGCTAAACTTTGTTTTGAAAACGCCAACGTGATGAGGACGCATGAGCGCGCGAACAAAACCCAGCAAAGCAGCATGATAATTGACAAAAAAAACACAACTCACGTCTATGGCCGTTGGCCCTCGCAAGAGGGCGATCGTCGTCAGAGCTGTAACTCATGGTTGTGAAGTTCAAGGCAAGTTTCCGTTCCGTGGCTGGTCGCCTACCAAAGTACAATGAGGTCAGGGACTGGGATTGAAGATGCGAAAGCGTGACAGAACGAAGAACAGGCCTCTGCAAACGGAGGAAAAACGTAATATCGAAGAAAAAAGCGCGAGGAAATGATCCCCTCAACGCCTTGTGTAGGAGAAGAGGGTGCGTTTGACGATATTCACGAAAGCTGGAGAGGAGGGAATCAGCAACAATGGGATTGGGGAGAATAAGTCGAGAGGCGGCGTTGCTGCTTTCTTTAAGGCCAAGACCAAGACAGGCCCGGACCCGGCGACGGAAAGGCGAGGCGAGAAAGGACTGGACCTACGAGGCACCTGAGTGAAAAGACAGGCAGAGTGAGTGTGGGCACTGCAGCGCTGGCTCTCAGTGGTTCAGCCAAGTGTTGCGCAGCAGTTGCAGCGACTCAGTAATGGGGCTAAAAGCAGAATTCTTTATGTGATTGGATAGGGGAGAGTTAACACAGAGGATGAAAACTGGGGGGCCTAAAGAGCTTTGTTTGCCTTAGTCATGCATGCAGTAAGAAAAAAGGAAGCGGGGCGATTGCGGCTTAAGTGGAGCTTTGAAGACTGCATCACGTGACTGCACCAAATCATTACTGGAGCTCACTGTGTCTGGACAAGCACAACGCCTAGAAGTTCCGGTCGGCTACCTAATTTACCCGGGAAAATAGCGAGAGCAAACCTGAATGCTTTAGTCCGCAGCGACCAATACACCTCATATTCCGACCTTACACGACCCCATCTCCATCAATTGAGCCGTATATCGCGATCAATTGGGCCACCGTTGGCAGAGGCTCTTTCTCTACGTCCTATCCCTCAGTCACGATGTTGTCACGAGCCGCCAGACCAGCTCTTCGAGCAGCCGCCGCAGCTAATGCTCGGTAAGTTTCTCTCCTCCCTCAGTTCCGTCTCCCCTTGAGTATCCAGTGGCTCTCTCTCGGCTGTCGGGAAGTCCAAGAATTTGTTTGCCGGTTGAGCACTTCAACCCTCGACCATCGGCCACATCATCACAAGTACATACGCCCGCCCAATATCGACCGAGTTGCAATAAAATTATGAGAGGCAATTGAATGCTCTGAGGGGAATATCTCAACATCATCATCACCAATAATCGTCCGAAAAAAACAAAAGAGAAGGAAAATGCTGATGACGTCCTTTTTCGCGCTTCCAGGGCCGCTGCCGTCCCCAGCTCCGCTGCCACCTATGCGACTCTCCGTGAGATCGAGGACCGTCTCAAGTCCATCCGAAACATCGAGAAGATCACAAACACCATGAAGATTGTCGCCTCCACCAAGCTCACCCGAGCCCAGCGCGCCATGAACGACTCTCGCAAGTACGGTCAGACCTCTAATGAGGTCTACGAGTCCGCTGAGACCAAGGCCCTCGAGACTGAGGACAAGAAGACCCTCATCATCGTCTGCTCTTCCGACAAGGGTCTCTGCGGTGGTATTCACTCTGGTCTGTCCCGATATGTCCGCCGACTTCACGCCGAGCAGCCTGGCTTCGACCTCGTCCTCATTGGTGAGAAGGCCAAGGCTCAGCTCTCACGAACCAACGCCTCAGCTATCCAGCTGAGCTTCGCTGGTATTGGCAAGGATGTTCCCACCTTTGCCGACGCCCAGGCCATTGCCGACCAGGTTATTCAGCTTCCTACTGAGTACACCGACATCAAGATTCTGTACAACAGCTTCGTTAACGCTCAGACCTACGAGGCTTCCATGATTGAGGCATTTTCCGAGGAGGCTATCCAGCAGTCCCGTGAGTTTCCCTGGATGTGAAAGTTATCGTCAATATGTCTAACTCTCAATCATAGCCAACTTCTCTGCCTTCGAGGTTGACGAGGAGGTTCTTGGCAACCTCCGCGAGTACAGTCTTGCCAACTCCCTCTACTGGGCTCTTGCTGAGGGCCACGCCTGCGAGCAGTCTGCCCGACGAAACGCTATGGACGTAAGTATCACTAGGTTGTGGCTTTCATGGCTGGTACTGACAATTCCCGCAGAACGCCTCTAAGAACGCTGGTGAGATGATCAACAAGTACCAGATTCTCTTCAACCGTACTCGACAGGCCGTCATTACCGGAGAACTGGTTGAGATTATCACTGGTGCTACTGCCTCTGCGGACATGTAAGGAGTGGGAGAACAAGATGGGGTGTAATGCTTCCCTTTGTAACAAATGTCATCGGGCTACCATCCATGTATGGTTTCCCCCATTGTATCAAAGCCTTCAATAAATTCCTTAGTAGCCCATGCAGTCAATGTACGGCAGTCCAAAAAAAAAACACAGAACAAACACTGCCTCTCGATGGCTGTTAGCGGAAGTAAGGATTTCGATGGTAAAAAACTTAGATAAATTCAAGTATAAGTTATAAGTCAACCCCCCTCATCTGAAAACGCCGAACACCGATACCATTATATTTTGAGAACGATCAACAACCAAAACGAAGTAATCTCTCAAGTGTAGTCACAGAAACCAGAAACGCCATCAACACCCAATCGAGAGGGTATGGAATGCGTCGAAACAAATCTCAGAACCCAATGTCACTGTCCTCCGCATAACTGATGTGTCTCGTCCTGCGATGTTTGCTGGAACTCTCGTGAGGAACCTCTGCTATCTTGGCGGTACCAAAGGGATTCTCTTTCTCGTAAGCTGTTCGCAGCGCAGCGGCCTCCTGATCCCATCGTTCGGTGGCCCGGGTCCATGCCTGAACAGCTTCAGCGTACCCGCGCTTTTGCTCCGTTGCCTGGTCTTCATATGGCTTGCGTTCCTCAGACGAAGCGTCCTTCCACATCTTACTAGTCATGATCCGGACTTCGTTGGGGACAGCACGCCCACCTTTGCCTGGTTTCCGATTCTCCTCACACTTCTTCCTCGCAACGTCGAATAGATCTTTGCTATAAAGTATATACGCATTACCCGCAACTTTAGCCGGACGAGAGGGTCGGTCCCCGAGTTTCGATTGTATATAGGTCTGAATCTCGTTTTCATAGGCCTGGAGTCGTGCTGGTTGCTGATCTTGGGCAGGCTCCTTACGCTTGCGCAGCAGCACAGAATCTCGAGGCAGAATCAACGGTGTCGGGACCTCAATGGGGCCGATCAAGGTCTCCAACACTTCAGAAGCTGCCCTTAGACCGGACAGATACGCCCCATGAACCGTGGCTGGGTGCGTACCAATGGTGTGTTCACCAGCAAAGAAGAGGTTTCCGACAGGTCTGGCCATGACATCGTAGTCTTCCGGCTGCATCCCAGGAGCAGCAGAAGAATAACTACCTCGGGCGAATCGATCTGAACCCCAGCGGGTGACCATGGCCTCTACAGGATAGGGAACATCCTGGCCAAAGACGCTGCGTAGTACTTCCGTTGCTTCAGCCACAAGGCTGTCGTTACTTGAATGTTCTGTCTCAAAACCAGCCTCACCTGCCATCAAAGCAATGAGACATGGAAGACCTGTTGTGTTGGATACGTTGAACCATTGAAAGAAGCGACCACGATTCGCGGCATAGTCTTTTTGTGAGGTACTAAGCCGGTTTGAAGACTCCCTCAAGACGCCGAAGATATGTCTGTCATGGTCCCAGAAAATCTTATCGTACACTAGAACAACCTTGTTCAGAATGCCGAATCCAAGTCGCTCAACGACATCAGTCTTCCATGATGGAAGAGGTGGGTTGAAGACGATATTGTTCTGTTTTAAAACACCGAGCGGAATAGTGCAAACCACGGCATCAGCATCCACTACTGAGCCGTCTTCGCATTCAATCGCAGCTGACGCCATGCCCTCTCCAGTATGGTAGGATATGCTCTTGACCGGGAATTTAGTCTTGAGGTCAAGTGAGCTCGGGCAGTGAACCAAGCCACGAGCCACACTTTGGTAACCGCCCACGACCATTGTATGGCTTCCCTCCCATTCATTGCCTGCATCAATGTCCCACAATGGGAGGCTCAGGTTGTGTAAGCTTGTAGCGTTACTGTACTCCAAATTGGCAATGTGCCAGTTGATCAGTCGGTGATCCTGGGCATTCAGCCCAATGATTTGTTTGTACTGGGAAATGGCGTTATCAAGAACAGATCCCAAGGTTGCCCCCTCTTCATTCACTGCCGATGTTAAATCGATGTTCTCTCCGTCGGCTGAGTCTCGTATTGTCCAGCCCATCAATTTTGCTTTGTCGGAGGCTTTAGTAGTCGCGGGAGTGCCAGGCTCCATATGAACCCGACCCGTGAGCTTGTCTGACGATATTGGTATCAGGTTGACCTTTGCTGGGATGTTCTGTTGTGCCACTGGTGGTGCATCTTGCTGTGCAGCAGCAGCCTCTTCTTCCTGAAACATTGTCTTGCTACCGTCTCCAGGACTATCACGCCCCTCTTCGATGAGGTCTCGTCTACCTTCAATAAGCTTTGCAAGTTGATTCTTATGCTTGTATTCACTGACTCGGTCTAAACAGTCATTGTAAAGTTTTTCAACGAGCTGATCGCGCACAGGGTCAACTGCTCTTCCACTGTTGTCGTAGATTGTAGTATCGGCTGTCAGTGCATGATAAGGAAGTCCCAATTGTCCACGAAGCAGGATGTTAATAGGGTTTCCCCGGTCGAACCCAGTGATGATCATGCCGCCCATTTCCGCAGTGTGTCGCTTGCCTTCAAAAGCTGGTGATTTTTCTTTTGGTTTGGTCTGGAACTCGCGAGAGTATACTCTTCCTCCAACGCGGGCTCGTCCTTCCAGCACAACCACTCGAGGCGCAGGCTCGCCTCGTTCATGGAAGCGATCAGCAAATTGCCTGAACAACCCCTCAAGCTGTCTAGCGCAGCCCAGTCCGGAGATACCAGCACCTATGACAGCGATTGTCTTTTGTCTCTTGACAACCGGCGCAACAGTATCGTCTGTCTCAGCTTCGGAGAGTCGCACACATCCGTAGTTGATATAGCCTCGACGAACAAGCCAATCATAGCAAACACTCGCTGCATCGAACCAGCGAGCGTTGGCACACCCAACCGCTTCTAGCCGGGTCACACCGATCCAAGGGTGTTGGAACCATAACCGTATGATACCATTTCTAATATTGAGATATGTTGTAACTTGCGTATAAGATATGTGATGACGGAGGAGGTGATATTCCTCCGGATGTAAAGCGTATGGGTTGAGCCGGCTTGACTCGGCGGCCGAAACACATTCTGACGCATATTGGTATGCTGACATATCAGTTGGTACCGAAGCCTTCGGTCTGATGTTGAAGTTATAGCGTTCGGCATCATGAGAAGGCGATTGTTGATGGGACAGTGGCTGCTCGTCGATTGAAAGGTCTTGGTCTTGGTCTTCTTCTTGTGCACCATCAGTATCGACTGGCGTAGGGGTAGTAGCCTTACTCGACACCGTCGAAGGTATCGATGAGAGGTCTGATAGTTCTGTGAGATTCGAGGGAAGAGAGCCTATGGCGTCCTCTATAGTAGATACCCGAAATGGCGTTGGGTCATCGTCGTTTTGAGGAGGCTCCTCCCTGCGCACAGTTAGAAACTGTTGGGTTTGAAAGGCTCTGTCGAGTCATTGAGCACGTAAAGTTGAGGCATTAGACCACTCACTCGGCATAACTTTTGATGCTTGACAATTCATCGTCAGACTCAACGTGACTAGCGTTGTCGATATCCATATCTTCAGTCCACACGACAATCTCTGGCGCAATTTCAGAGGCTATTTCTGTCGAAGTTTGTCGCGACTGAGGCACCGAAACTACATCAGGAGTGATTGGAGGTGATATACGGCCTGGGGGATTCGACATAACAATAGTGTCGGACGGAGTCAGCGAATCAATGGCGTCCTTATCGTCTAAGTCCCTCTTCCTAATGCCAATCCCCTTACGGAAGCTCTGCCCAAAGTCTGACCCCATAGCGGCGTTGGTTTCGAAGGTTTTCCTCGGGTATTGGTCTGTCTGAAATTGCGGCCGCTACTGTCTGGCGGAAGGAAGAGTATTGTTAAGAGCCGAATGAAATGAGGAAAGTTGCATTATGCGGAAGAACTGAAGAAAACTCGGGACCCTACTGAATAGTCAGCTTGTTTGTATATGGAATTTAGAGGACATGTATAAAATGACCAACCTTTCAAACTCGTTCGATGTCGAGGATTAATGAGTATGGTACTAAGGTAGGCAGTGAGAAGATTTGAGTGGATAGACTCGTTACAGCAACATGCTTTTTCTCGATATCGACTCTTTGGACAATTTCTAGTCCATGGTTGGTTCAGCGTGAGTTATTTCAGAAGACAACTCAGTTGTCAAAGACTGTCTCCTTTGCCTTAGAGGAACTTGCCATCCATCGTCAGCCATTCAGCCCCTCAGAATAAGGAAAGCAACCTTTAAGTTCAATCACGTGCGGCGCTACGGTCAAATCAGACGCCTCCAACAGGTGGGTCTATAGTCCATTCAGACGACATTCAAGTTCTTAACTTGTATTAATGAGCTTCATTTTTAAGGTATTCACCATCATGTTGTTAGGGTCTGAAACAATCTATCAAAGAATTAGCTCTGTGCTTGCACGCCGTAACTTATTTATGTACTCCGTATCTTGCTCAAATCATCCATACGCCATCGAAATGCGCCAAACCAGGTAACCAGTACTTGACAATATTCTAGGTATCATACATATGCTGACATTGGATGTCAGGTCGTTGAAACGGGTACACTCTCCTTCGCAAACGATTCTTTTTCGATCGCGGATTCCATCATTTTGTTTCCGTTGATGATTGACGTTGTGCAAATTACAATATTTCTCCGTCCTGTCGGGGCAATGTCAGATTCCGTTTCAGAGCAACCCTGGCGGCTGTGAGAGTGCTTACCTTCTTCCTGCTTTGCAATAAACCTTAAAGCAGCAATCTCGGTGAAAGTGATGCCGCCGACGAACACAACAAAGACAGTCTGCTTGTTGCCACTTCCAGAGAGCAATGCCCGCGCTTTGACAGCCTTATCCTCACCCTTCTGGTGCTCATAAAACGTCTGCCCACGAACGTGTTTGACAGCTTCATCGAACCCTTGCCATCCTTGCGTGCCGACGCCTGGGGGCGCTCCCGCTGCGTTGGCGCTGTTTCCCTTAGTCACCGAAAGCAGATATTGCTTCTGCAGAATGCATTGAACGAGGCGAATCGAAAGAGGAGCATAGCCACTGTACACATAGGATATATCGTTTGGATCGTCCTCTTGAACCTCATCAACGATGAGCCGAAGCTGCTTGCGAAGATACGTATAATTCGTCTTGCTTCCCGTTGGGCCGGCGTTGTTGCCTGGGATGGGGATCATTCCAGCCAGAGGTGACGACTTGGACAGAAAGAGCTGTAGTTTCTCTAGGTTGCTAAGCGTGAGGAGATGCTGGTAGCCGTAGCCTTCCAGAATGAGTCGCCTGAATTCATCAAATTCCTTAGGTCTTATGCCCCCAGATATGCACGAGTAGATACACAGTAATCTTAGAGTTTGCGCAATAGGAGCGTCTCGCGCTATTAATTCTTCGATGCCATCGAACTGGCTTGACGGATCAGCCCCAGCAGCGAGATTTTGCTGAACCTCCAAAAGACCCTTGAACTGGTCTGTCCGGGTATGTTTAATGATCTCCTCCGCGAGGCCTGTGTGTATTCTCGCACTCTGCTGTTCTTGTTGGTATCCTGGCAATTGACTGACAAAGTCTTTGAGTTCCGCAATAGTCTTTGTTTTGTGTTTACTTTCGTAATCGCTTTGCACCTTCTGCAGCCGCCTCGCAACTTTGTTGAGGAGGCTTCCAACGATCGCAAAGTTGGCGTCACGTAATTGTTCATAAAGCTTGTCGCTCGAGTCCAACTGGATCGTTCGTTTCCGGCTTTGTGAAGTTGCAGCCGAGGCCTGTGCCGGTGCACCGACAACTGTTGTGTCGACTTTGGTCTGATTGTTGTGGATCTCGAAGACTTCATCAATGAGTCCCTCGTATGTCAGTTGAGTGAGCAAGGGTGTAACAAAGTCAACTTCGCGATCGATGATAATTACGCTCTCATTGGTTGTGCTAGGCGTCAACCCAATCTTGTTGGCTTCTGACGTATCTTCACCAGCAAGAAGCTCCTGGCGCATGCGAGAAAGCAAGTCAGCAACGCGCTTTGCGTTATCACCCTTCCCTATCACTCGCGGGAATAGGCCATGGTTTCTTTGAATCTCCATAAGGGCTTTGGCCATAAGGAAGTTGGGTGTAACGTCTTTGGATAGGTACAGGTTGCGGAATGAGTCGTCGAGCTCGAGGGACAGAACATCCTTCTCCAGAGGGAAGAATGATAGCGGCAATTCCGCAATGTTGACATCGCCTAATACACCGGCCTCTTCTAGAAGCTTGTCGGAGACGAGGGTTCTGCGAGGGACCCAGAATATGTGAAAGTCGTGCCCGGTTTGGCTTTCGCGCTGAATACGCTTAATTTGAGCTAGGAGGGGGTCAGAGTGCAATTTCGATATCGCAAAATGGCAACTGACCAGCTATAGCTTCAGCATGGCGGCCGCATTCGCCACGAGAAATAAAGACGACATTGCGCTGGCTGGTATCGGCATTGTCATTCTCTAGAATGAAGAACTTATCTACTCCATATTCTTGAAGGACGGCAACTTTGACTATAGTCCCGATTGGGCCGACGAGGCTTTGGTCTAGAACGACATTCTTCTTCCCGCGAACCTACATAGAAGTACGGTGTGAGTTGAGTTCGCTGGATGCATGAATCAGATAGCTATCGGCTTGAGTGAAGCTGGCGGGGCAAGGCGGTGGGAACGTACGCCTTCGAGGAGATACAACAGATCCTTTCTCGCCTTGTTGCGAATCTGCTCGACGTTGAATTCTATCCGGGGAGCCATGGGATCGGCTGAACGCGTTTGCGCGGGGTTAGCGAGAGAAACTCAAGAGGGAGTGAGGTGAGTGAGCTCAGTTGCTGCGATAGCTTCGGGTCAAGTGGATGGATCAGGGTGCGGAATGATGGAGCTCTATAAGGTTGCGGATGACGGCAGTGAAGTGGGGGGGCTCTGGAGCTGCTGCATCAGCCACTGCAGCAACGCTTCATTGGTGGGGCCGACGTATAATTGAAGTCAGGCCTAAATTGGTTCGGGTTAATCTTACTGATTTAAAGAGTATCAAGAGTTTAAGGTGATGGATAATTACAAGATGTACAGTATACTGTAGTACATAAGCAGATATATGTGACAGAAAGCGGCCGTCTTTTTCTCTGTCGCGGGATATATGTATATGAAGACGCTAATTAACCTCTCACTTCAGTTGATGGAGTCATTAGCAACAAGTATGAAAGATGCATGGCTTGGCAGAGAAACAAATGTCTAGCAGATTCTCATCATCATCATAAGCAACTAGAAATATCATACACCTGGCCATTGTGTTCTGCGGAGACCATCTTCCGCCCCCTTCATGATATTCATCATTGAGCCATGTTGACTGTGTACTAGATATGCTTGTGCCCAGCCTCAGCCTGAGGCATGCAAATGCGCAGTCTCAACAACTGTGTTCCGTCGGTAAATGCAAATGCTATATCCCATACGCTGATCTCCTGCCACGACCAGATGGTGTGCCCTGAACGCCAAATGAATGCTATTAATATCCCGAGTCCTCATGCATTCGTCTGCACATGACGATACCGCATCGTCCCGTTCACACGGTGTTATCGTGGTAGAGGAACTCGATGTCTCGGGGCCGTTGCTTATTGCCTCGCACGAAGTCCTCATCGCCAGGAGGTCGCTCATTTTTATCATTGCTCGTCAACATGCTTTGGATGCTCATGCATACGCTCGAAACGCTCTGGACGGGACTCCAACCCTGTTGACCTAAAAGATCGAGACAGATGATGCCGTTGGAGTATATGTGAGGATGCATAGGAATGGGCCGATCGGCTTGCTTGTCAAAAGTGACCTCGGGGGGCTCTATACCGTGTTGTTAGTATATGAACCATGTACGAGCATTGCAGGAATATGGCGAATTCATTCACGGACCTATGGGATACATCTTGGGGAAGTGGAACTTGAGCCGGTAGATTTGGTCCTTGTAAAGCGGATTGTCGTCGAGAACCTGGATATCAACAAACCAGTCGCCAGCAACACTGTCGTTGCGTTCTATCAATGTGATACCAGGGGGCATTCCATCCTTATGAATCTGCGGGGCACAAGAGCGTCAGTCGAGTCCACGATGCGCTGATGAAGGGATATGAAGAACCAACCTTGCCCAGCTCCTTAACCAAACGCCTATCCCGCGTGGCTCCAGCCATCGTCGATGAAGTTGAATTGTTCCCTTGGTGTTTAGATTAATTAACGTGCGAAGTAAAAGAAGCGTGGCGGAGGATCAGATGTAGGTGAAAGGTTTCGAACAAGTGTTAGGCGTGGTTTGGTGGAACAGTCAAACACTGGGCAAGGAGGGGCCGTTTGCGCTGCGCCCACAATCGAGAACCCCCCATCATCCATGGTAGTGGAAAGAAGGGCCCAGTCAATGGGTCTGAGGACAGCCGGACTCGGGAATGCCTACCTGGGTATGATTGGTTCAAAACATACTGAAACATTTCCTTTACTGCAAGGCATTGCAGAGTCTGTTGTTTGCAGACTTCTATAATAGAACTCAAGGTGTTTGTCAGCATTGTAATGTTGGCCTTTCCCATCACTGTGGACTATCTAATACATCATATTCTTTTCTGATGTAGCGCCCAGGGTCAACCATGCCCCAGTCTTGGAGATCGACAACAAGTGTCAAGACATGGACCAGAGTTAACTGAGCTAGGCCCATAAACTGATTCGTGTTGTGCTATTGGGTGAACTTATACGGCTATGCTTGATTTTCTTCGATCGACTTGTCCCATTAGTATCTGAATGAGACTATGAAGCTATTAGAGTGCGGATCGAGGGTTTATTCTTTATCGTTAGTCTCTACCTGTCATATTAACTCTGATTTCGGTTGTTTAACCTTGGCCTGGTCACTGTACAGAGGACCATTGTACCACGTAAGTCGATGTTACTTTTGCAAAGCCAATGGGAGTTACACAGGTTTTGACTATACCTTCCAGCCCAGGTTAAATAAAATTCAATTTAGAGATTTCTGAATATATTATGTGTCATAGATGGTCCCAACAATGTTGCGTCTTTTGTTAATACCGCATGTTTTGTTAGTAATAAAAGACATCCATTATGTGTTCAGCTTACAGTGAGCAGCTAATCGCTGATGGCTTTAGCTTACGGACAATCACGCTGATAAGATATAACCCTATCCAGTCACTTTCCTTCGCTGCCCAAATGGATGGCCAGCCAGCAGGTTGCGCATGAGAATTGATGATGTCCAGCTTCGAGGCGAGACGATCAAGTTGACGGTTCTGAATACCATCCGCTAACCTACTGAGGCCTCCATACTTCAGGGCATGCGAACGTTAATAGCACGCAAGGCATAGCAGCCTGTGAAATACCAACAACGCTCGTAAGCAGCCTCATAGGGCTGGGTGCATTGAGAGGCAACCTGCCCCCACCTTGGAAAGGATGGAAGCAATCAATTACGATGATACTCCTTCCTGCAGTTTTGTTCTGCTCAGCCACGAACCTAAGCGAAAACTTGACGATTGCTTCCAGGAATGGGTATATCATGATCCACAAAGACTCAGCCTCACCTGCAATTACCGGTATTGCAGGTGCGGTTTCTTCCCTGTCAGCATCCATCAGATGGATCCGGCGATGCCTTCAGCCCAGGGATTGTAAATGCCTGAGCCACACTCCTTAACCTGCAACCAACCACAGCCATTCATCGTGGTGAGGGGAGGCAGGAAAACTTAGGACATTTATCCTAAGTGATAAAAAAAACTGATCTAAAAGCTTCCCTAAGTCTACACGAAATTTGCCTAAATATTTTTATCACTTAGGATAGAGGTCCCAAGTTTTCTTGCTCCCTCACGGGTGGCAACCCGCTAGCGGACGGAGCTCTCTGCTCAGGTTCTGGCTGGGGTGGGCTGCTGACAGCCCCAGGGCCCCCAGGTCTGCCCCGTCAGTCGTCAGTGGAGGGTCCCGTAGCTAAGTTAGTAGGTAGGTGTCGCAAGCTAATTAACAAGGACCTCCTCCTCGTCCCGTCCGTCTTCGTCGCCTACTTTCTCTTCTTACATAACTCTCGTTATCCCAGAGGCTTCATCCTCTCAGACTTGCTGTAACACTCTTTGGGTCTGAGACCGAATTGTCGCGCGGGTACGGATCATCTCGTCTTATCAGCAAAGACAGACTCGATCTTGTCTTCGTTTCCCCTCCAGCTTACCATCTCCAAAACCCAAACGGGTCGCTTTCTACCCCGCCAAAACTGCCGCCATGAGTTGTAAGTTGCGACTATTCACAGCCTCATTCCCCTCCCCGCTCTGGCGGTTCGGCCTTTGCGTCTGGTGTTGTACTTTCAAGAGCCCGTCCTGTTGCTTGATTCTCCTCCTACAAACCTTTGCTCCACCCTGAATTATATGCTGACCACGGTCGTCATGTGTAGTCGCCGGCATGTTGAACAGGCTTCATGGCCAACCCGAGAGCTACGATAAGAAGTGCGCCCGAAATCCCCTGACCTCGATCACAAATCCGATGATTCCTAACAAATGCTTTCTACTGTAGAGCTAAGTACAGGTTTGGTCGAACACTCGGAGCTGGAACATATGGAGTCGTCAGGGAGGCTGATGGCCCAACTGGCAAGGTTGCCGTCAAGATAATCCTCAAACGAAATGTGAAGGGAAACGAACAGATGGTCTATGACGAGCTCGAGATGCTCCAGAAACTCAAGCATCCTCACATTGTCAAGTTTGTTGACTGGTTCGAGTCGAGAGTAAGCTCATCCAACCCCAAATCTCCATCCCGATCCCCGCTCAGGTCAAGTTCTTGGAATCCTGGCCCAGTTCACTGCCCCTCCTCTCGGTTTCCCACATGTCATGTTGCTCACCTTTTCCGCGTCTTCAGGACAAGTTTTATATCGTGACACAGCTTGCTACCGGCGGTGAGCTCTTCGATCGCATTTGCGAGCAGGGCAAGTTCACTGAGAAGGATGCCGCTGAGACTATTAAGCAAATTCTACTTGCTGTCGATTTCCTTCACAAGAACAACATTGTTCACAGAGGTACAGTGCTTCAAACAGCACATCCCTGGACACCAACTAACCCAATTTTCAGATCTCAAGCCCGAGAACCTCCTTTACCTCAGCAAAGATCCCGATTCTGACCTTGTCTTGGCCGACTTCGGTATTGCCAAGATGCTCGACGGAAAGGGCGAGTCTCTCAAGACCATGGCTGGCTCTTTCGGTTATGCTGCCCCCGAGGTGATGCGCAAGGAAGGTCATGGAAAGCCTGTGGATATGTGGTCCATGGGTGTCATCACTTACACTTTGCTCTGTGGTTACTCGCCTTTCCGCAGTGAGAACCTCCAGGACCTTATCCGGGAGTGCACTGAGAACTCGGTTGTCTTCCACGAGCGATACTGGAAGGACGTCAGCAACGATGCAAAAGACTTCATCTTGCATCTGATCAACCCAGATGCTGATCAGCGTTGGACCAGCGAGGTAGAACATCACTGTCGTCACGAGCGGAAATGCTTGAGCTAACTTCGCGATACAGGAAGCTTTGGGTCATATCTGGCTCACCGGAAAGAACGCTACCGACTACAACTTGTTGCCCGAGATCAAGTCTTTCCGCGCCAGAAGCCGATTCAGGCGCATCATCGAGAAGATCAAGCTCCAAGCACGTATCGAGAAGCTCAAGGCTATGGAGGAGGACCCGGAGAACTCGGATCTTTCAGCTATCTTCTCCGAGGTCGCCAGAGCAAAGCTCGCCGACGACAAGGAGGAGAAAGAAGTTCTCCGTGTCACTCAAGAGGTCGAAAAGGATGCCAAGCGTCGAAGTTTCCAGGCTTAATAAATATATCGAGGATTCCAATCAATTGCAGACATGTTCACATATATTGGACAGCACCACGGTGGGCGACCTTAGTATAATGCCGAGATGAATGGCAACCTGAGTCCTCGCAAGATGCACGAAAGAAGGGCAATAGCACGGATGGGAAAGACGAGTCAGAATTGGTCGCAAAGGGTGATGCGACTCCTTGGGTTGAAAGCGTTGTTTTTTGGTTTCGGAAATATTCTTTGGGTCTAAAAAAATGGGAATTGAATGCCTCCGTTAACCCAAGCGAATTCCATGTTTTTCACTCAGATCATAGTGCAGAGTAGATAAATGCTCTATATTCGGTAGCCTCCCAGTTGACCAACAATCTTGTGTGGTCTTCCCCTGACTTCTCTGTCCTAACAAGCTAAAGATCCAGTCTTTGGTGTGCTAATACAAGTGACCATCATTATTCTATCCCGAACCACGCGCCAAGCGTATCCTTGGAACCTGTTGCATGATCTCTCCTCGTGATATCATTTACATCTCATAAGCATACATACATGATGAAAGGAGCATCCGTCCACTTTCATTCTCATAAACATTGGGTCGACAAAGTATAACCGATTGGCGACTGCAATGAGTATAGTTTAGTCGTTCATGTCTGCCGAAGCACTCTCGCGAAGTTCGGCATACCGACGCGCGTCGAATCGCTTGCGTTCCCAGCCTTTTGCACGGAGTCGCTCTATCCGTGCCTGTAGCTCCGGTGAACGCGTCTTGTCAGCGTTCGGCGTAGCGGACACAGAAGTGACCATGTTCACAGTGGTAGGCGACGGGGGTGTGTCTTCATACGGGGGGGTAGTGTGCTGTTGGCCGAGCTCTGTCTCGATGAAGTTGAGGTGTCGAAAGACTTGGCGCTGCAGGCTCGTGAGGAGGGCACTGTAGCGGTGAACAGAGCGAGCATGGCGGAAGGGATCAAGCTCTGCGTCTGTAGAAGGGGAGACCTCGTTTTGTGCTGAGCGCGGAGTGAGGATTGACCGAGGCGCCTGAGTCAATGACCGCAGAGGTACTAGCACAGCAGAAGAATCTCCCGCAGAAAGCTCTGGGGATATTGAACGAGCAGGTCCTAAAAAGCTGCCTAGGCCAAGCGTTGGTGAGTCCGGACGTTCGAGAAGCTCCACGGGCACATCGCTGAAAGTCACTCGCTTCTTCTTACGCTTGGAAGTGGGCACGCTTTGAATCGATGAGATAGATGATGCCGGAGATATACCGTGAGACGAAGTCCATGTTGACGATACGTGGGAGCTCACAGAGCTATCGGCAGAGTGGAGGCTTGGCAGTGTTGTAGTAGTGCCAGACGGTCTTCTCAGTAATGCTGGACCAACTGTTGAGTCTGCAGCATTGATGAGTGTTGAGGCACGTTGATAATGGTCACGAGCCTGGTTGAGGAGTGTGGTTCGTGCTGGGGCGGCCTGATGAAGTGCACGAGCAAGCATCTCTTGTGAGTTGGCTGCGTAAAAGTGAAGATATATGAGATATGCTGGCTCAACGATGCTCTGGTTCTCATTAGAACTGTTTTACCACCGTTAATGAAAGACAACTTACGAAATCTTTGAGATTGTCCAGGATTTCACTGCAGCGGGTTGCACAAGGACGATAACGGCGGTTGAGATATTCTCTCTTGACATCCGAAATCACCTTTGCCCACTCGGTGGAAGTGTAAGGCAGGACATGTAGAGTCTCTGACAGAGCCTGGGGAAGCCATTCTGGCGAGTTAGTCTCTGTGACTGAAGCACGACATGTCTCCATCCGTGGCGACATGGACAGTGATGATGTTCGTGAAGGCCAAGGCGACGAAGTGGCTGTATGAATTGGTTGAGGCAGCAAAGCAGCCATGGTGACAAGTGACAATCTTCAGTGTAGGTAGCCCGAAGGCTCGTGTCTGGGGTTATGGTCGTGGTCTAGAGGCAGAGTGGATGGAGGGCTGTTCTGGGGGCGTTACAATATAAGAGCCCGGACTGAGAGCGGCGGCGCGCGTGGCGTGGCCAAGGTTTGTGTGGCCAATATGCCAATATTTTGTTACCAAGATGGTGCCTTATCAGCTCAGCTCCTCGTGGTCAGTCTCATGAGTGTGTGCGAACTGGGGACCAAGTATGACAGAACACTAAAGGTTTTATGACGTGAAAGTGTCTTTGATGGTCTCCCCTGGCAGGTAGGGGCAAAGAGAGACAATTCTGAGTCGTCCCATAAATTGATTGGTAAGACAACGAAGGTATCGAAAAAGAAGAAAAAAATAGTTCCGTGAAACGAAGTGTAAGTGAGAGCCCAAGGTTGTAAGAGCCCAAGGTTGTAAGAGCTGTAAAGCGAATTCTTGACAACTCGTCGAGATAGTAAAGACAAATATCAAAGCCTCTGAAGCAGATTGATGAGTTCCTTCACGTTGAAAAGACAAAAACAAGTCGAAAATATTGAAAATCGTGCGATGATGGTGGTTGCAGGTAGTTAAGAGATGGACTGGAATTCAAGATATCCGAAAGCGGTTGGTGTTGAGCATATAAACGCCACATCGATGAACCATCTAGCCAGTGCCAAAGTTGTCCAGGTGACAAGCACAAATCAAATATTATAGCGTCGATACTACTCCGTCGTCGGGAATACCGATCTCTGGGCAATGAAGATCATTGCTGGGCTAGGTCTCGTCCTTTGTGTCAGCGGCGCCGAGCTCTTCGCTGGTTGCCCGGCGGTTTCGAGATAGTTCTGAGAACGATGATGCCTTTGAGTCGTTTTTGGTCAGACACTACGAAAGATCGAGGTCCCAGCGTAGGGCAAATAGCATGGCAGAAAAGAACAAAGGGTAGCGAAATCGGCTTAAAGTGGACAGTGTGTGAGTTGTGAAGTTGAGACGTGACGGCCAAGAGTGTCTGTCTGTCATACATCGGTCCTCGGGCCAACAGACACTAACACAGATATAAGCACAACTTGACATGGGCTCACATAACACACACGATCCGGGGATGACAGGTTCAACCTCAATATCAGCCCTCGCCCTTGTTTGAAGAGAAGGGTTGATCTTCCTTCTTGAGACCCTGTTCAGCTACTCATGTGTTGGGCCATGCCCTGACTGCATGGTTCGTGTCCGGTTGACATTGCACCACTCCAAGGGCCTTTCCATACTCTCATTTCCTACCCCTACTACTTAGTAATGAGGAAACCTTCACAAGAAGAGCAGAGTGGTCCCACGATCTTGTGGGAACCAATTAAGCCAAACTGGGGATGGAGGTGCCGCGCCGGCTGCGCGAGCCTCAGACCCTTCCGTGGTCCGGCCCAGGGGACCCACCGGGCCGTCTCTTGTCGCGTCGTCCTCACTCTTGCTTCGCTCTTTTCTCCTTCCCTCCCTAGTAGTCGTACTTGGGCTGATAGGCTGGCCAAGAAAAGAAACCTACCTATCTTCAAGGAAGCACCATACTCCTCTATAGACGGGACAGGTGGAAAAGAAGATGCAAAGAGGGGGGGAGGTGAATGAAACATTATCACACAACACAGAGCAAAAGATACACGCAGTCGAACTGCACTTGCAGTCACTCGATTCGGCTTTGTCGGCCTTGTGGCGTGAACGACAAACGCCAGTGTCTCGGTTCCAGAAGGTCGGGATCCTGAGGCCGTCTAAATAGGCACCTGAACCAAACTTCAGAGTTCCCCTTCTGATGCAGGGGTGGTCATCAGGTGGCAGCAGAAACTTAAGCTCCCTCCCGAATTGATTGACGCTGGTTGCGACTGCAGTTTCGCCTGATGCAATGGTCACTGGCGGATGCGGCTGTTGATCCGCCATGTACTGGATGCGTGCGACCCGGTACCTGCGTCTCTGGTTGAATAAGGCTCTCTAGGCTTGTGCCGTTATGGTAGTCTCTCCAGTCCCTGTGTTTGTCTTTGTTTCAACTTCGGGGTCGCCATCCAAGCCTCTCTGCTCGAGAACGTCGGCTGGAGCCGTAAGCGGGGAGGGATTGGTCGCGGCCTGACTTCCAATTCATTCCGTAAATGGGGGATTATCTCTTTGCTCACAAGACGTGCGCAGTCTCCATTGTTGCCCGTTCGTGGTAACGTTCTCAAAAGCCCCAGCGTTGGAGGCTGGATGCTTTTCACCAGACAGCAGGACCTTAGAGCACCGCCGTGTTGATCGAAAGCACATGGTTGTCATAGTATTTTGTTGTAGAGAGGAACAAACGTGGCTGCGCTAGGCAAAGGCGAAACAGAAAAACAGGCGACTACGATTGGCTTCACGGAACAACGTGTTTCCTCAACTTTGTTACCCATGATTGGCAATAAGTGAAATCATCCATTCATGTGAACAGTGACTTCGTGCGATGATCGTCCTCTCTATTAAGACTTAACGCCACGGCCATCGTTTTAACTGTTTTATTGAGGTTCGTCACAAAGAACTTATGCTGTCGGATTACTGGGAGCTGGCTCTTCCGTTCCTGGAGTCGCTTCGACTGCTGCTGGTGTGGTTTCAGGCTTGGCATCCTCAACCTTTTTCTCCGCATCCTTTACCTCATCGCCCTTGATACCATGGACAACCCTCAGGCCCTCGGCTTGCCTGGTCATCTCGTCAAGCTCCCGCTTGCGTTGAAGCCGAACCTTGATCTCCTTAGCCATGTCGGACATACTGACAAGAATACCCTCCTTCTCGGGATGACCTTCTTGGAGTCCCATCTCCTTAATCTTGACCTTGCCTGACTTGACTTCATCTTCGCCGAGGAAGATAGCAAATGGCACACCGTTCGCCTCGGCGGCCTTGAATTGTGCGGGCAGCTTAGGCTTGACTTTGTAAAGGAACTCTGCCTGTGATAGCACAGTTAGCCTTCTGTTCCGTGGAATAGTAAGATTCGTGGGAAAATGCTCAACCAACCTTGATTCCAGACTCCCACAGCTTGGCACACACTGACATGCGTTCTTTCAAATATCCCTGTCCAAAGGCCATGACATAAACATCGACATCATTGTTACGGACAGCAGCATTCTTCTCAGCGGCCATCTTGGCCTTGGTGATAGAGAAGATCCTGTCAACGCCAAAGGAGATACCGACACAGGGGATTTGGCTCTTGCCAGAGAACATGCCAACAAGGTTGTCGTACCGGCCACCGGCAGCCACACTTCCTACGCCGACTGTGGGGTCATCGGAACGGTCGTCATCCTCAGAACCCTTCTTGCCCTTCTTCTTGGAAGGCTTAGACTCAGCATTCTCCTGCCCAGGTGTGACCTCAGGAGCAGAGCCTTGGGTGACAACCTCGTAGATAAGTCCGGTGTAATAATCGAGGCCTCGAGCCAAGCTGAGGTCGAAAGAAACTCGATCCAGGCAGCCGAAGGCCTCTAGGTACTCGAACAGCAGAGCAAGATCTTCCATTCCCTTCTTCATGGATTCGTTCGCGGCCAAGCTCTCTGTGCTCTGAAGCTTCTGCAGTAGATCCTGCTTGCCCTTGAGAACAACCCACTCTCCGATTCGATCAGCGACCTCACCATCAAGTCCCTTTTCCTCGGTCATCTCCTTTCGCACATCAGCCCAAGGCAGCTTGTCGAGCTTGTCGACGGCCGAGGAAATGGTGCGGATCTTGTCTTCAGGCACTCCACAGACTTGGAAAATACCGTCAAGAATCTTTCGGTGATTCAGCTTGATCGTGTATCCACCATTCCAACCAAGTCCCTCAAAGACTTCTGTAATAATGCGGATGACTTCGGCGTCGGGCAGCATGGGGTCGTAGGTGCCGGCAATATCGAAATCGCACTGGTAGAATTCTCGCATGCGACCTTTGGTCATGGCAGGTTGGTCTCGGCGGTAGACCTTGGCGATGTGATATCTCTTGATGTTTTGAATTTGCTTGTTCATGGCGAGGAAGCGGGCAAAGGGGACTGTCAAGTCATATCGCAGAGAGCAGATCTCACCACCTTGATCAGCAAGGTCGTAGATGAGCTTGCTGTCCTCTCCATATTTTCCAGCGAGAATCTCTCGGAGCTCAAAGACGGGGGTATCGATCGTGACTCCTCCGTGGCGCTTGAAGACTTGGGTGATGGTGTTGAAGATGTGGTCACGGATAACCATATCCTTTCCCTCCCCTTGGCTGGTGTTAAGGAATGTCCTCCGTAGTACGATTGATTCGATCACTTACAGTCCTTTGTACCCTTGGGGGTCTTGAGCTCGAATTTATTCTTGGGCGCCATTTCGAGTGATGTGGGAGACTCTAGAGTGGTGGTGGGGTTTGAAGGGGAAGAGGAAGAAGAAGCGTAGCGGGGCAGGGAAAAGACTGTGATGGAGGGGTCGAGGCTGAGGAACTTTGAATGACGATACCTCCGAGTAAGAGCAAGGCAGGAAGGCGGACACCGACAGGCAGGTGTGGACGACAGTGGTCTTGCCGTAATGCGGCTCAGGGAAAGGGTTTTGATTGGGGCTGATTTTGGCCTCATCTCCTTATCATTTGATGCGAGGACGCGACGCCCTCAGAGGAAATTGAAGCTTTGGAATTCACCACAAAAATGGAGGCCGATGCTCATCATGCGAGCGGCGGGACGGGGATATGCGTCACACTTTGGGTACAGTCCAGCAAGCAAGTCAATCGCGCATAAAACCTTTCCAGTGGGAGAAGCAATTGACTGGCCTGGCCCAGAGAGTTGGTGGGGCATGCCTTACTGATTGTGGCCCAGTTCTGGGGAGCCAACGCTGCACTAATTGGCTTTGATTTATTATCAGATAGGTACTGTAAATTGGGTAGTAAGAAAAAATATATGACTCTGAAGTGTAAGAAAGTTTGGGGAGAAGAGGAAGGATATTGTATGTTTATTCATCTGGGGAAAAGGCTATAAGTATTGTATCGATGCAAGCTCAGAGTTTGTTATGTAGAGCACTGAATTCAGGCCGAAGATAGAGCTATAGGGTAAATATGTATACTCTATAATTTATAATTTAGCAGACATAGATGTCACAGCGATCCAGAACTCGGGGGTTCATGAGAGAGGTTTAAATATATCGGAGTACTTATAGAAGTTGACGAGGCTTGTGCACTTTGCGGATGATCGTAGTGGGAAATCAAGCTACGCCGTCTAAGTCTTCACCTAAAAAGCCACCTGGTATTATCAACATAGTTGCTCATTACAGTAAGGACTAATAGATGTTTACACAAGAAATTATCATAAGAGCTAGTTAATATATGTGTTGCTATTGTCGTTTTGTGAGATGCCTGTGTTATAGGGTAGTCATCTATCTTCCCTTTGTAGTCGAGAAGATACTATAGTGAGTGAACTTTAGATCTTTTTGGAGAAGTTAAATGCAATTTCTCTGAAACTTATTATGTTCGAAGAAGTGATGCTACCATTCAGACTTGTGCAATGCGACAATCTGGCACCCACAATAATTAGGAAATGGGACATCAGCCTCATCCGAAGCCTTCTGAGATTACGGGACGCTCACTTACGCGTCAGATTAAGAGCCATCCTTCCATGGACCCCATGCCCAAAATGGTACGCGAATGGAGGAAAAGAACGCTGCGATGGGATATCTGGCATGCACACCACCAACTCACATTGGATCGGAATCTTGATTCGATCCGAACCCGAAGAGCTTACCCGAAGCGTGGATGGAAATTAGGAACCGGTATCATATCAAGCTGGCGCTATTGGCTGACCTAAGGAATAGGACAGGTCAGTTCACCAAGTCCATGACGGGCATCCAGGCAGACAGACGACTTGTACAGACTCGTGGTTATTGTCTAATCTCATGATGAGAGTTGATAGGGGAGGTAGTTCATTATAAGCGGTTAACCAAGCTTATTTGGGATGATTTCTTGTGTAATTAGTTGCATATCATGCAACTCCCTATCCGCGTACTCGGTCCCTCTTCACAGGCCCTGAGTCAAAACATGGTCTGTGGTGACCAAGCCATTAGCATGCTGACAGACAAGGATTAGTTGATGAAAAGTGTTCAAAAGATCGAGTCCAGTCTCAAACATAGATCTGACTGAATGCACTTGTTTTTCCTGCGCCGTTGATCACCACAGGCACCTTCATTGACCACCGTCAATTTAAGGCCTTTGTCACGTCAAGAATCACCAGTTTCTAATGCCTGCTGGTCTCGTATCTCGTATCAACGACTTCCCAATACGGTAATATACTAAACAAGTCTGGGCTGTACTGTCTTCCTATGAAGTGCATCAGTTGATGTCTGCCTATATCAGCCAACCATCGATTCCTCTTCTCCTTTACTCAGATCACTCTTTTAGCTAATGCGCGACTTTACGAGCCCCCGGTTTCTATGATTGTCCTCATTTGAAATATTGGACCTGCTGTTCAAGACTCCTTACGTGAAGGTGTCTAAGTTTCGTCGCCATCATGACTGTTGATCATCATGACAAAATCGAGAAGCCTACCAACTCTCCTTCCCCAGAGCCTCAAGGCCCATTAACAAAAGATGAAACAGAAGACGAATTACAAGCCAAGGCAAAGGTCCGACCTGAGCGGACAGCAAATTTCAAAGATTACTTGGTGAGTAACCCTCTGAGGGCGCAATGCATTAATGACACTCTTAACATAACTTGTAGCGGATATTCTCCTATGCAACAAAATGGGATTTCTTTGCGTATGCTGCCGGCTTTTTTGCAAGCATTGGAGCAGGGATTGTAAGTTGTTCCAAACCTCGGTATCAAGACAAGATCAGTAGTTAACGCGTCTTTTAGACGCTGCCATTGATGAATGTAGTTTTTGGTAAGCCTATTCATAACTCACAACTCTGAATATGTTCCTGACGACATCACTAGGACAATTTGTTGGCAACTTTACAGAATACTTTATGCCAGGCAGTACAACATCGCGAAGTGAATTCAACAAAAGCATCGATAAGTTGGCGTTGTATATGTTCGCCCTGTTTCTGGGTCGTTTCGTGCTCAACTCTATCAACAAGGTATGATCAACTGTTCACCCAAACCCGTTCTGATCTGACTACCTCTAGTTCGTTTTCCGCATGATAGGCATCAGGCTGTCATCCGCCATCAGACTTCACTACCTACAAAGACTATTCGGCCAATCTATCCATGTCCTCGACTCAATGCCTCCAGGCTATGCCACAGGCACCATCACTTCTACAGCCAATGTCCTGCAGCTAGGCATATCAGAAAAACTTGGCACCTTTGTTGAATACAACTCAACCATTGTAGCTGCGATTATTGTAGCATTCGTCAAGAACTGGTCCCTGACTCTTGTCACATCTTCAATCATCCTATACCTTTTCCTTGTCTTGGGCACATTTCTGCCCATGATACTCAAGGTCAATGCGCTCATCACAAAGGTTGCAGTGCCCTTGCCTTCAAAAACCTCAACTGCTGACCAAGAATTAGGCAGAGGGCAGAGCTGGTGCGGTTGCCAGCGAAGCTTTGGCGAGCGTCAGAATGGTGGCCGCGTGTGGTGCAGAATCACGCATTTCCAGGCGATACGCCCAGTTCGCCGAGGAAACCCGCCAACATGGTAAACTTCTCTCTCCCCTTGTCGGCGGACAACTTGGTTTGATAGTGAGTAACCTGGATGGTGGCTGAACTTGAAGCTGCTGACATGCGTAGTTTTTCGGGTTATATGCTGGTTTCGCCCTTTGTTTTTGGTTTGGCGCAAAGTCCTATTCCGAGGGAAGATTGGACAACGTGGGAGATGTCCTTGTGTGAGTCCGTCCATATGCCAAACGATCCTGTGCTGATAGCCTCAGCGTGTTGCTCTCTGTTATGATTGTCGTACTTTCCCTCGAACGAACATCTACGCCGTTACTGGCCGTTGGAAAAGCCACTGTGGCAGCCTGCGAATTTTTTGTTGTTATCGACGCTCCGCAGCCTGCCAAAGGTACTCTAAAGGAGCCCGAAGTCTCTTCGACACAGGATATCATTTTCGAGGATGTTACCTTCGCTTACCCTAGCCGGCCTCATGTCAAGGTGCTAGATGGCCTGGACTTGCGTATAGAGGCTGGAAAAATCAATGCGATCGTCGGCCCGTCCGGGGGAGGCAAATCGACCATTGTTGGACTCATCCAGAGATGGTATACCTTACAGGATCAACACGTTCTTGCCAAGGTCATTGAGAAAGAGAAAAAAGGGGGTCGTAAGAACAAGAAAGATGAGAGTGATGAGGATGTCGACACCGAAAACGTGGTTGATAATGAGCCTGAAGAATCAGGACCTCCTATCGAAGTCCACGGGCGAATCTTGACAGCAGGCCAATTGTTGGACGACATCGATTTGAAGTGGTGGAGGTCCCAGATAGGCCTTGTCTCGCAGGAGCCATTCTTGTTTAACGATACGATTTATAAGAATGTTGCCTATGGTCTGATTGGAAGTCCATGGGAAAATGAGACCGAGGACAAGAAGAGAGAACTGGTTAGGGAGGCCTGTCGAGAATCTTTCGCCGATGAGTTCATTGATCGACTGCCAGAGGTAAGTTGTGGCCAAACCTTGGCGAAAACCCATCAAGGCTAATATATGCAAAGGGGTTGGACACGCTCGTTGGTGATAGTGGTGCCAAACTCTCCGGTGGACAGAGACAGAGGCTGGCTATTGCACGATCTATCGTGCGAAAACCAAGTATACTTATACTGGATGAGGCCACTAGTGCTATTGATGTTCGTGGTGAAAGGATTGTTCAAGCGGCCCTTGACAGAGCTGCTAAAGACCGGACCACTATCACAATAGCCCATCGACTGTCGACCATCAAGAAAGCAGATCGTATCATCGTATTGAAGAAGGGCAAAGTCGCCGAATCAGGTACACATGACAGTCTCATGACGATCGAGGGCGGAGTCTACTCAGGGCTTGTACATGCACAATCCCTATCGCTTGGAGAACCCACAGATGCAGGAGATGAGTCGGTTGAAACTGAGGATAAGCCTACCCTGGCCAACGTCATGAGTATTGCAGCTCCCGAGGTTGACACGTCCACGGAGGCCTCTAAAGACAAGGCACGGAACTTCTTTACAAGCTTTGGTCGACTGTTCTACGAGTCAAAGAATGTCTGGCCAGCGTTTTTTCTGACTCTATTTGCCGGTGCCTGTGTGGGAGCTGGAGTACCATTACAGGCATGGATCTTTGGGAAAATTATTGTTTCTTTCAACGACATAGGGACTGACTCGGACCTATCCGGGAGCAACTTCTGGTCACTCATGTTCGTCGTCCTGGCTTCAGGAATCGGAATCAGCTACTTTGTAGTTGTCTTCGTGGCCACTCGGATGTCATCCACGATACGCGTGAAATACCAGAAGCAGTATTTTGATGCGGTAATGTTTCAGAAAACATCCTTTTTTGACCATGAAGACCACTCTCATGGAACGATAACGTCCCGACTTGGCCAGGACCCCAAGCAACTTGAAGAGTTGATGGGACTGAACATGGCTAGTGTCTTTGTCGCTCTCTTCAATGTGGTTGGAGCAATATCCATTGCGTTCGCGTTCGCATGGAAACTAGCTCTCGTCTCATGCTGTGTCGTGTTGCCCATAATGATCGTTTCGGCGTACTGGCGCTTCAAATACGAGCTGGCATTCGAGAAGATGAACAATGATGTCTTTGCAGAGAGCTCAAAGTTTGCATCCGAGTCAATAGGAGCATTTAGAACGGTCACTTCGCTGACACTAGAAGATTCAATTTGCCTCCGATATCAGAACTTACTCAACGAACACGTTGTATCAGCATACAGAAAAGCTAGGTGGGTGAGCATACTCTTTGGTTTCTCTGATAGTGCCAGTATGGCATGTCAAGCTCTGAACTTCTGGTGGGGAGGTCGTCTTTTATCAAGACATGAAATTGGTCTAGTTGCTTTTTTCGTCTGTTTTAGTAAGTGAACTTTATGACGTTCTGTATCGAGTAGTGCAGATAAAGACCCAAACGCTTCTGACCCTTACTTACATCTAACAGTGGCAATTACAAATGGAAGCGAGGCAGCCGGGCAAGCCCTTGGCTTTGGACCAAACAGTGCGATGGCTTCTGCAGCTGCGAATCGTATTCTAAACATGAGAGAGAGCAGACCGCGAGACAAGGTCTCTACCTCACAGGAGATCCCAGACACAGATGGTGGAATGTCGATTGAGCTGGAAAACATCGCCTTCAAGTACCCGACTAGGAGCACACCCGTATTCAAAGGATTGAGCCTGAAGATTGAGAAGGGACAGTTTGCTGGCCTCGTAGGCGCCTCAGGCTCAGGAAAGTCATCGATCATTTCATTGTTGGAAAGGTAAGTCGCTTCGACATGCTATTACACTGTACCGTGACTAAAGAAACAGATTTTACGACTTGGATAAGGGCCGAATCCTTCTGAATGGCAAGGATGCTACCGATATCAACTTGTACGAATACCGAAAGTACTTTTCTCTCGTGGCCCAAGAAGCCACCCTCTTCCAGGGCACCATCAGGGAGAATATCTTACTTGGAGTCGACCCCTTAGCAATCACCGATGAGCAACTACACCAAGCGTGCCGTGATGCCTCGATCCACGATTTTATCGTCTCATTGCCGGAGGGCTACAATACAAATATTGGATCACGTGGTGTATCACTTTCAGGTGGTCAGAAGCAGCGCGTGGCGATTGCTCGCGCTCTGATTCGCGACCCAAAAGTCCTACTTCTCGACGAAGCTACGAGCTCCCTTGATTCGGAAAGCGAAAAGCTAGTCCAGTCGGCATTCGAAAGAGCCAGTGAAGGACGCACGATGCTCGTGGTAGCACATCGACTGGCCACAGTGCAGAATGCTGATGTTATCTTTGTATTGGGAGATGGTCAGCTGCTGGAACATGGAAACCATGCAGAGTTATTGAAGAGGCGGGGCGTCTACTGGAATATGGTGAGTATCCTTGCTCGGTGACTGAGATGGCCGGAGTGTGCTGATTGAATATAGTGCCAAAGTCAAGCCTTAGATCGTTAATAACGGGTTGTATTTGGCAATGACCGCGCAGTTGAGGACATTGGTACTCGCCAACCATCAACGGATATATGGAAGCGAGTACAAAATCAAACATGTAAATCGCTCTCTACTCTATATTCTATCCCGGAAAAACAAAGGGCATGAATATAACAAACTCCTGATAACCCGACACCCTGCTCTCGCTCTTTGTAAATGTCTGGAGCCCCGTCGTAGAAGAGATCAAGCAGTGATACGACAAAACATGACTATCATCACATCTTAGTAGTATTGAACATGTCGTCAATCTCACTAAGGATATCTCCCGCATGCGTCATAACAAAATCATGGCTCCCTGGAAGAACTCGCCAGCGGACATGGTGCTCACCACCAACGAGAGATAGTGCATCCCGGCGATAGGAGTCCGGATCAATAATCTCGTCAGATCTAGCTAGTAAAATAGCTGTAGTGCCAGGAGCACGCTTGGACAACTTGGCCCAGGCGTCATGCTGATCGGTCAGGGGTGCAAAGCGAATGCTCGACATGAACGCGGGGACGAAACCATTGTGATGCGTGACCATCCAGCGCACATACTCCATAACACGTTGCTCCAACGGCGTAACGGCCTCACCGGACGCTGGAACCACTTCTGCCTCGGCAACATTGAGTGGTGGCGTAGTGACAGCCTCGATGGGCGTCTTGGGAGGTGGCTTGGCTGAAGCGGCGATAGGCTTCTGAAGACGACTGCGTGTAGCAACGGCCAGAATGCGCTCCGGGACGAGGCCAGAGACGAAGAGGAATCGAGAGACGCGGCCAAAGGAGGCGGCGCGGATTAGACCTGCAGGTGCGAGGAGCACAAGGTCGCGCACGAGGTTGGGAAACACATTGGCAAAGTGAACTGCGATGCCACCGCCGAGAGAATAGCCTACAAGACGGAAGGCGTTTGTACCGGTCCATGCAAGAGGGCTGGAAGCCAAGACGAGAAGCATTTGGGAGACGTAGAGACGGGCATCGTGTGGAATATCTGCGACACCATCGGAGAAACCACGTCCAAAGAGATCCTCGAGAGATATTAGTCAAGCTGGAGAGCCCGAGTAGGTAGTAAGAAGCTTACAAAGAGCATCACACGATAGCCCCGTTTGGCGAGCCCAAGAGCTATAGGCCCAAGAGTGATGCAGGGTGTGCTGATGCCATGCACAAAGAAGACCTTTTCACCATCCTCAGGGCCAAACTCGTAAACACGAATGCTTCCGTACTATGTCCGTGGTCAACATAGTTCTGGGTATTAGGCCGTGAGATAGTGGCTTACTGGGGTTTCGACATCTCGAGCGCCAGGAAACTGATCAGGTTGATAAACAAGATTCTTCAACTTATCAGCATTGGCATTGTCGTACACGCCCGCCTTGAGCGGATTGCGAATGGTTTTCGGGCGCACAGGGTAGAGAAGGGCGCGGGCGATAGCGAGAAAGGCAACAGTTGAGAGAACAGTCGTCGTGATCACGAGGGCCGTTGATGTATCTTGAGCTAACATATTTGTAGAATACTGGATGGTGAGAAGAGCTAAGAGTAAGGTAGAAAGCAAGAGTAGAAGCTGATGGGCTGGCTGGTGAAGGGAAAGGGTGAACACTTGTTCAGCCACTTTGTTAGATTGGTTGATTATGTGTAGCACGTCTGAGTCAACGATGCAGCCACAGCGATAAAGCGGAAATGCCCAGCATGTGATAGCTCCTTTCACCTTTTTGAAAAAAGCCGTGATCGACAGGGACAAGGAATAAAATAAAAGATAAAAAAAGGGTTCCAGCTTTGCAGGTTTGAGGGATAACGTCACCACATGGGCTTTTGAGCTGAGAGCTTGTCTACGTATCAAGTTAGCCCCCGGCCGGCTGAGCCGGAGGTTAAAAATATCCACCTGAAGTACCGATATATACCCCAGAGCATGTCATACCCTCTATTATCATATTTACTATGGGATGGATCTATCTCATTGGATAATAATAAAGCCTGGTATTTTTGTCCATAAAAGTTAACATAAGTACCCAGCATTTAAAGTATCCAGTAGTTTTGGGCATCTCTCTTAGTAAGGTTGCTTTATATTGTATTCTATAGGTAGTTAAGCGTGAGTATTTCAAAATCGTGAATACTATTTCCGACGTACTGCGTCTCTAGACAATTCATCAGTTGTGGCAACTATCTCTGGATGGACTTCATCGAACAAGGTATGTAGTATCCATGGTTGTTTGTTTATGGTAGAGTAGAAAGTCATGCCTTCATTTAGGTGCTTAGGCTACGGTTTATCGCTGTTAGACAACTGGCTGAACTCTATAAAGTCGCTTGTATTCATGATCAACATGTGTAGGTTGCCATGGCTCAGGCTCACTATATTGAGTAGGGTTGAATGAAGCTCTGTCAATGCTGAAAGGATGTACCTTGACCAGTTCAAGGGCATGACTAATATTCTCTATTCGCTTTAGATCCTCCCTTTTGCTGCTGCTGCTGCTGCTGCGCTGAGGAGCTTCACCTACCTATTTCCTGTCTAATCTTGTTCACATGAGCCTAAAGTACTAGGTATGCGGTTATTATTAAGTTCACTTTGGTCCCAGACCAAGAAAATATAACAACTTTTCGTCCTACTATACACATCGCATCATGACAATCCCAGACCCCCTAACCTAACCCTACTGCCCAAGCAACATTTCCCAGTTGCCGTATCAAAATGCTTAGGTTTTCCACAATCGCTGGAGCCATTTTGTTCGCACCACCGAAGTTGGCTAGGAGTATATCATGAGCAGCCTCCATGGTCGTCTTGGGATTCTCAATTGATGCCTCAGTTGCTCCATTGCGTTTGTTCGGTCCTCGAATGACTGGCACGCCTTGTCCCATAGTAACGTACTGCTGCACGCTCATCGCTTCCGGGCCGTCGATGTAGACTTTTTCATGCTGAGAAGACATATCTTGCTGGCTCCCGGCTTTTGTTATCACACCGTACGTCCACAAGGCCAGTGCCGCATGATGTACACCGACGGCGTAGAAGTTTTTCAATTGAGCTGAAGGGAAGAGCTTGGCAAATCGAAGAACTTGGCCAGCGTGCCATAGAGCTGCCCGAGAGTCTACACTTTCGACCCACTGCTGGAGCACAGGAAATGTCCGATGTGCCTGTTCATCCCCCTCTTTTCCTGCGAAGAGCTGCAGGTCGTCCATAGATATATGCAATGCCATCATGAGCTGATTGAGCAACAGGCGTTCTTGGGCTGTGATCTCGGGCCAGTTCATGGTTGTGGTTTTGAAAGTCTGCAAGTCCTGGAGCAGCTGGTGGCGTCGTGCAGCTAGCAGTGAACTGGAACCTTCATAAGTGTCTTGGGTATAAGATCGTGTTCTGCAAGATGAGCAAAGATTTCTATACTCTAGAATCAGGAGCCAAAAGGCCTGGAGATAGATTGCTGCCGAAAATTGTACATCCAAACGATGTCGGTTCTCTGAAAGGAGGTTCAGATCGCGGAATAGATCACCAACTGACGGCGCTCGCTTCATATGTCCAGCCTCTCGTCTCAAGTATGCATCCTTCCAATCCTTTGCTGTCTTTGCGTACCACAGTTCCTTAGATGCAGGTAAAGGAAGGGTGAGTTCGGCGTATGACATAACGGGGTTCGTCAGAGCTGTCATGGACTGTTGGCTATCTCGAAGGAAAAGATGGAACACAAAACTAACGCGGTCAGCATTGATAATAGATAGAAAAGAAAAGAACGTCGCAAATACTTACCGTTTCCATTTCTCCATCTCGACCCATGTCCGCCACTTTTGCTCGAGATTCGCACCCTCATCCGCCGGTGTTACTGAAAGCATTGGATACGAAGACCTCTGGAACTTGCCACGGTATCGCATCATCGTCACGGGGATGTTGACGTGGCACTCTGCAATTTCCATCTTCCGTCGATTGCCGCTCCAAAGACCTGTGTCTTGACCCAGAACAATAGCCTGAATGAGGCCTATGTTGAGGATTTCTTCGTTGTTTTCTTCAAAACGTCTGGGCATAACAATTCCTATTTCAAGGTTAGAGGCAAGAAGAACTGCCGAACTGGTAATACATACGGATGGACTCCTGCAGAGCATAACCGAATTTTCGTAGAGTCGGTATGGGGATCAACACAGCACCAGCAGCTGCCGCTCCCGCAATCCATTCTGGCTCTTGCTCATTGAGCTTGAAGGTCGGGAAATGTATGTAATCCGAGACCTGGTTGGTATGCGAGTTGAGAAATACATGCAACATGGTGTCCAAAAGATCTGCTGAAGGAAAGGACCCTGAGATGCGGCTCGACATTGTATCAGGTTGACAGGCCCCCAAGACCAGTGCTAATACACCATCGCGAGCGGCGAAATCAAGCTTTTGGTCAACGACCCTTCTGAACCCCCCCTTTGAAGCCTGAGCCTGTATACTAGCCACATCTCTTTTCGAAACTGGCAGATTTCCCTGTTCGCCGAAGGCGTTATCGTTAGCTACTGGGTCCCATCGCCATGGAGACACATCCCAGGCTGTGACGAGATTCTGCCGCATATGGTCCATGTCGACGGGACTTTTGGGCGTCTCTTGCTGTACTGGGGCCGAGTTGGCCATCCCGTCTGTATTCCAATGATCCAGCAACCCAAAGTCCATGTCTGATAGTTCCATGTTACTATCATTACAAAAGTTCAATACTGCGAGACCTTGATTTTCTGGGATCCTGGCTGACTGGTCGTACTGCTGTTCGTATAGCACATCCCGAAGAAAATCACAAAAGGGAAGTTGGTCTGTCCCGGCTTGGCTGGAAGATCCAGCCTCTGAGCTGGGTGGTAGATCCCCGGTGTTCGGGGTTGCTGACCGAGAGTGCGCATGGAAGTGAGCATTCTGACCATACAGCGACGGTTGATCGGTAGGGTAAGAAGTCGGGTTAGGAAAGCTGGTGGGAGCGTATTCTGCGGAAGCATTGCTACTATCGTGTTCATCATCGACAGGTGTTTTGGAACGAGCACTGGCAGACAAGTGAACTAGGTTCATGGCTGCAGACGAGCTCGCCTCTGACGAGACGCAGGTCAAGCCGCGACGAACGCATCGTTGACAAGGCTTTTCCTCCTGACACTTGACCCTTGCGGTGGCACAAGCTTTGCAAGCATGGGTAACCCTACCGGTGTTGAGAGAAGTCGTACGCCTCCGTTTCTTGGTGTCGTCGTTCTCATGGTTGGTCTCATGGCGCTTCTTGAGATCAGCACGCGCAAATGTCTTTCCACAAATCGAACAGGCAAATCTACGGCCCAAAGTATGAGTCTGAACATGGCGCTGAAGATGCTCCGGCCTTGAGTAACGTCGTCCACAATGACCACAGGCGTACAGTGCAAGCCCTTTCTCTGGCTTCGCTATCGAGGAAACGCCACCAGCTGAATCTCCTGAGGACGGCACCGGTACAGGCGGGGGAGGGTATGATTGAGATGCAGGGTAAACTGAGGCTGAATCTGAACGTGAAGGATCAATGTTCTGAGAAAGATTCGAGGACGAGGGCGAAGGGCCAGCCATTGCGCAACTCGTTTGAATAGGTAGCAGGCTTTACTAAGCCCGCAACGGTGCTTAATTTGACATTGATGAAGAACGATATATCGAATGAGAGTGACCGAAAAAAGAAGAAAAAGAAAGAAAACAGCGTACAACAAAGCGAGGAATTGAGATATGCGAGTGGTGGGTAGTAGGTAGCAATCAATGCTATAGGGCTGGAAGCGGAACTAACGTGGCGGATTTAGTGACGGATAATAAATTAGCAGGAACTTGAAGCAGGAAACAAATGATTGGCCGTGGGATTTAAAGAGTGTAAAAAGCTTTAAAGAAAGGTGCAAGGATCAGTGACATGGAGCCTAGTCAGGAAATAACAAGAGACCAAGAAGCGACTTTTTCTTAAGTTGTCATGGATCCATTGCTAAAATCCAAAGGTAAAATGTAAATCTTGAACGGTTTTGATGGGGAATGCCCTCATGATATGATTGGGCCCGCAGGATCAAAGCTGAAAGGTCTAGTCCCTTTTCTGGCCAAACTCCGGCATCAGTATCGGAGTCAATCAGCCTACCGCGTCAGATAGTCAAAGCTCTAAAACGCTATCATGGCCTGCTATATCAAAATTTGGGCTACGTCCGATGTCGTCGTCAGCATATGTCGACTGGCCAGGGTCTGGTATGGGGATGGGATATTCCGCAACTGGCTAAGAAATCGAGAGCATACGTACTCTGCTCCATATTCAAGGGAGCCATCGTGAAACTATTACGTCTTGTTCTAGCTGCGTACGTCTTCCTCTGTCTAATTCTGCACTAGACAATCAGACACAGACCCTTATCTGATCGCGAGGTTGAAAAAAGATTCGCCATGATCCATCCATCGTCTGAAACACCAACGCTAACAATTCACCTGAAGCCGACTCAGCCGTGCCAAGACCGTTCCTAATATCATGAGCCTTCTCATCCTGTCCTGGACCTGCATACACACAAGCCCGTCAACGTGTGATGGCGTCAACTGCCCAAGTTCTATTGGTGTAAAATAGATCGACCCCAATGAGACGCGAATGCCTCATTTATCAGTCCACGTAATGCACACAGTAGCGGCGTTTGCTGCTCTCCTGCTTGAGAAAGAGGTCTCATGATGCTTGCATTGGACTATTTTAGAGGTGAAAAAGATATCAAGTCGTTGTTTGGCCTTGCTTTCATTGGCCTGTTTACTCAACATCAGCCCCTTTACTTCGTGTGTTTGTGTAACTTCCGCTATTCGACCACCAGCTATTTGTTCTGTTGCAAGTTTGGCATCACCCCAAGCACCAGTTGAAACACGTCGTCAAATTCTGCACTAACGGCAATGCCATTGCAGATGCCCTGAGAGAGCTCCGATCACGGCGCTGATATCGAGATGCAGAGCATATCGCATAGCCGGCGCTTCTGTGGTGACCTTTCGATTCGTCAAAGGGGTTATTCGTAAGAAATTTGCCTCAATCAACCGAGCATGGAATTGCTTAACGGACGATCCTACAACTTTTGAGAAGCTCATGCATGAGAATAAGTCTAATTGGGTTAAGTTTGCGGGCTTGTTTAACTATGTTCAAAAAGGGTTTGATGAGCAAGGGAGCAAAAGACTAACTATATCATTCACTTCTAGTTATAAACGAAGGCAGGAAACTCGAAATTTACCGCCCAATTTCTATCATGGCCACTGGCTCAATACAATAAGCCATAGGACGCGACGTCTATCAGCATCTCTCATCCATAAAAGTCAAGGCCCCGAATACCAGCAGCCTGTAGAAAGCTGTCACGATTCCTCGGAAGGCCTCAAGGATGAAGGATATCTTTGATTGAATTCCATTGCGTTAGCTTGAGTTAATGATCATTTGAATACACGAAAATTCTTAATGTTGGGCCGCAACCACCCCAGTGGACTTCACTCTCACCGACTAACCGACAACCAGCTTTCAGTGTTACACGGCATAGCTGATGGTTAATCATCTGCTTCATTCGCCAAGATAATATAGTCGGATGGGTCTTTTCTCCCTTGACATGATTTTCAGAGGAGTGCTCAGAAAGGGGCAGAAAACCATTCCCACAAGATGATGCATCAACCTTGGACGCAATCATCGCTTTTGTTTCTTACATATCTGATCCAAACTCACTCGGATTAGGAAGTCTCTCGTGAGAGAGGGTATTTGCGCCGTATTGATAAGATAGAAGTCTTAAGACAGATCATTGGGGGCGATTATCCACCTCAGGGGTATAACTCTGCATTAGCAACCACCAAGCAACCACCAAGGATGCACGCAATTATAATGTTGCACCTTGAAAGTTTACATATGTTTAACTAGGGGATGATATTCATATTAAGAACAACATCTTGTGTCCTCGCCAACTTTTCAAGCATTGCTATATAATTTACCAACAGTTTGGCTGGTGGATAAAGGCAATTGAGAAAATAGGTTGACCCAGTGGCACAAATAACATTATTCAAACGCTTTCGAGCTGCTCCGGCATTGTATTTCGATGTTGATGAATCAAGTCAAGAAGAGAGTTCCGTAGCACCAAGCCTTCTCTGAACTTATCCTCCAAATCTCGTCCAGATACCTTCATTTCCAGGGAGAGTACTTGATACCCATATGAACACCCCGGGACAAATGCAATATTCGCCCGGGACCCCAATAGTTTCGGGGTACGTAACGATTAGAGGTCTATCAGGCTGTGTGCTACTCGAACACCAGGGCTTGCATTTTCGACGCGCTGGACCAAGCTGGATCAGATGATTCAGGGAGCACAAGAACGTCATATCGATTTATCGACGAATAGTACTCACGAGGAGGAAGTTAATGGGTGACAATTAGCGAAGACAGAGCATTGGATGAAAATTGGCCTTGGGATGAGCTATCCTGAGGTATATAGAAAGGAGATATTCTCACTTCATCCTCGAGCTCAACCCAAGAATAACCTTTGAACTTTATATCACAATGACACGTCAAGTAACCAATACCGTTTTTTCATATTTCGAATTTTTATCCTCATTGTTTTCTGTTGCGGCAGATAATACCTTGCCCATACCAAAGCGGTTCATCACCAAGCATAATGACGATGGAAACGCGATATTTGACACGCGACTCAACGATGAGTTACCCGAGACCGTCCTCTCGACACACGTCTTATACCTCGGTTACGTCACTCAAGGGTTTCCAGTTGATCTCGAAGACAATACAGACATAGAGACATATGGGAACTACATTAGCAACTCTCCAGGGCTTGGTGTCCCTGGAGGTTCGGTGCTCCGGTTTGTTGACTTCCCACCCGGTAGATCAGCCATGCATCGGACACTGAGTATAGACTACGGAGTTGTGATTGAGGGTGAGATGGAGTTGGTGCTCGACTCGGGGGAGAATCGTGTGATGAAGCGAGGGGATGTAGCAGTCCAACGTGGGACAAAGCACCAATGGGTCAACACAGGTGAGGAGAAATGGGCTCGAATGGTGTTTGTTCTTCAGGAGAGCAAGCAGCTGGCAGTGAAAAGAGTTAAACTGGAGGAAGATCTGGGGAGCTTGGGCGATGGGTTGAGACCATCCGCCTGAAATAGACTTGACTTGGTGGGTTTGGTTTCAAGGCTGATAGAAGAAGTGCAGATACCTAGAAGGTGAAGGGGTACCTTTCAAGTCGAGGCCACTAACACTATGGGGTAATTAATCACCAATGCCGGGCAAATAAGATGATATTGATTATCAGACGGCGATAAGGGTCCAGATCTGTCCAGACTGCCAGGCAATAAAGTGTGTCCACCTGATACATTTCAAGTTAGCGTGTGAGTGATCAAGTGAGCTGCGATGTGAGAATGAGAGAGAAATGCTTATAGACCTAGCGTTATCCAACCTCCCAAAAGGCCAAATAATGATAACTAGTGAGTGTAAGGTATTTGGAAAGATTGCATAAAACTGATTTGTCTTTATGAGATGTGAAGTAGGTAGGTAGTTCAAGGCCAGCTGAAATAGTACCTACCAACTTGAATAACAAAGGGATCTCTCAAGCCCGCACGTTGAACCCCAGGGGTCAATAAGGCTAGGTTAGAGGTCCCGTCTAGGTAGTTTGATAGGTGATGCAAGGGTGATCGCGTGGGCGAATGATTCCCCCAGCTCCACTTCTTCGGAGCGGGCAGCCCCTCAGATGAGACGGGCCTGCCGCAAGCCCAGTCCTAGCGGACCCGTGGAAGCCCAATGTCAACCCTTTGGACCAACTAAACTTTCTAATAACTTACTCCAATCAACAAATAATTCGGCACGACTTGGTTCGAATCACTTCTAAAACGTTGCTTGTCTTCAGTGCGACGCTACATCATCTTCGCATCATATTTTAATCACCTCAAAAGTACGTTCAACTCGCTACATCTCCGAGACCTGACTCAGTACCTACTTACTATCCTGGCTATCACCGAGCTACCTATCTATCATGCATCATGCGAGTTAGCCTTGAACCAACCATTTTCTAATCGCATCTGATATAGGTTCAAGGAATACCACCGCCGACAAACGCCGCACTCGAACTCGGAATTTCTTCTTTTACCTACACACTCCCACAATACAAAACTCCGGGCCCATCCCCTCGACCGAAATCATCAACCCATGTTGTATTAGACGAGGGCTACACATTTCCAGTCACCCCCCTCGTTAACAACCGAGTCTTAATGAGCTATCATGGCCAGCCCTTCGGGTGCTTCAGGCCAGTTCGCCTCTGAGGCTGCCAGAGACTACAGTGCTCTTGTGTCGAGTAGTTCTCCGAGCTCACATTCGTTGTATAGCGATGACGGCCAACGCGAAATCGACCAGAACGACCAAGACCCAGACCAATATCACCACCAAGATAACGCACAAGATCCAATATGCCCTTGGCGGAATCGTCGCTTCCATCACCAAGAATGTTCGCGATACTTCGACTGCCCATCCCACACCATCGAGCGGAGTCTATCGGAGAGTGGTTCAGGAGACCAAGAATCCACCCATAGCTCGCATCACTCTCGCACTGAGATCGAACGAGATCAGTCTGGAGCACAAACTATTCGCTTATCAAACCAAGAGCTTGCACAAATTGGGATCACTAGAGATAATGTCCCAAGCCCAGACTCGGACCATGCGAACGTTGACAGAGATGCTGCCTATATTACGAGCGATCCTCCATCGAACCAAGCTCCTTTACCCCCCGCAGTTACCCAGGAATCAGGTCAATCTTCGACAGGTACACCACACACTTCACTATCGACATACCCTGTGAGCTACTCTCGTGACACGCGGTTCGAGCAACCTGATTCTCAGAGTGTTGTCCCTAGCAACCCGGATCAGAGAGCTAGGTCCAGCCAACGCATAACCGCACCAAACTCACAAGGGGCTCAACGAGCGCACACAACTCCATCCCGAGAAAGAATGGATGCACCATTACCATCCCCAAGACCTTTGGAAGAGGCACTCCCACCACTTCCGCGCTCTGCTCGCCAGTCAATATCGTCAGATCAGCAACGCCCAAGATGGCAGCCGGATAATGAGGTCACATATTGCCCTATCTGCCATACGCAGTTTAGTTTCTTCATCCGCAAACATCATTGCAGGTAGGTCGAGATATATCCAGACAACATTTGATTATATATGCTTATCGGATCAGGAAATGTGGAAGGGTCGTTTGCAACGCCTGTTCACCGCACAGGATCATCATCCCCCACCAATATATTGTACGACAACCTGGCTCCGAGGCAGCCATCCATCAATCACTGCTTGTTGACGGACTAGGAGCCGGATATTTTGATGTGAATGACATGTCAGGAGGTGAACGGGTGAGGCTTTGCAATCCTTGCGTACCAGATCCGAATACAGCGCCCCCGCAAAGCCCGAGTCCACAAGCAACTCTTTCGCCGCGAACTTCTCACCAGAGGTCACGAAGCAGTATTGGCAATGCCTATGGAGCACTGCAGTCGTCTAATCGACATGGTGCAGTTTTCGCGCCCGGCACCGGTGGCGACCCGTACAGATATCTCTCTCTCAGGACGAGGAGTGTCACAATGGTACTTTGCCTTTCTCTCACTGAATTTTTCCATAAACTGACGTATCACTAGGGCTCGGCGTCATCTGGTTCTTCTCCTGGTCCTACCTATAGAAGACGTAGTGGAGCGCTCCAGTCGCGTTTTGACCGAGTCCAAGCAAGTGGCCAGGCTGCTTCGCCATCTTCATATCCAGATCGCTATAGCTCACTGGGAGAATCATCGACCAGGCAGCGGGAGCTTCCGCCTACGCCACAGATTGCCGAGGAAGATGAATGTCCTGTTTGTCATCGCGAGCTGCCGTCCCAGAGCTTGCCAAATGCTGAGGAACTTCGTCAGTCACATATCACGAAGTGTATCCAGACTCACAGCGCGTATGGAACGTTGGGTGCTGGTGAGGATGGCGGAGCGCCAGCTGTACCCCGGTTGACAGGCATGTATTGTTATTCCGCAACGGAGAAGGATTGCATCGATGATGCAGAGTGCACCATTTGTCTCGAAGAATTCACTGTTGGGGATCAAATGGCACGTTTGGAGTGTCTGTGCAGATTTCATAAACACTGCATCTCGTCTTGGTTCCGTAAACATCCCGGACGATGTCCAGTTCACCAGCATGGCTTGGGTTATTAAGGGAAGAGGCGTTTATTGCATACGAGAATGGCGTAACGGATATAGGACTGGCCACTTTTCAGCATTTTCTTATGTCTTAGATTTGGTTGAGCACTAGCCACTGTGCCTTTGTTCATTGCAGCGTTTGAACTTGAATATGGGTCATGTAGTTGTGCAAGAAGTATTGGATATTTTAATACGATGTGACGAAGAATACAGAAATACTCATGAAATTCACTCCATTGTAAGCCATTGTGTCAATAGCCTGCTTTTAAAGTTGATTCCTTGGTCTTGTCACTGTGTTTGGCTGCATGAGTCTATGCTCGTTGCTATGTAACTCAGTATCCTTACCTATACCAAACTCAAACGTTATAACACAGCCAAAAAAGCTTGGAAGTGACGGGCTACGTAATATATATGCAGGTAAATCAAGGCGTTGGTAGTCTGATGGTCACATCAACGCAAGTCACGTTGGTCTCTGATGGAGCATGAAGAGTTCACATCTTACAATCATGCAATGCTTGAACTTACGAAGACTCTTGATATCCCAATGATATAGTGAAAGAGAGGTCGAATAAACATGCTTTCAACGCTCTGCCTGGCAAGCCTCCCTGCCCCATGACCTCAGCAGTTTCTATGAGACTAAGTTTGAGATATGGTCTAGATGACTCTACATACAGAAATTATGCCCCTTAAATAGGAATTGTGAAACTTCAATGTTCTAGAATGAATAGATCTCTATGTTGTGAAGCATCTCGGTGAGTCTTACCCTCTTCCCGAGTCTCATGATTAACTTTTGCTTCTAGACTTTCACTATGACCCATCACTGAGATTCATCACCTTCCGCGTTGTCTTGCCACACCGTTTGATGAATTCTTCGTATGTCATCTCTTCTTTCGAAGTATATCGAAGTCTAAGAACACTTGTGATCAGTTGTCTCAACCCCTCTATTCCATGACGTGGTATGATCTCGCGCTTGTCCCCATCTCACACATTGTACAGTATGATGCGTGGTAACTTTCCAGACTCTGAGCCTGACAAGTAGGCATAAACGCAAGCCTGTATGATATGTTCGTTGGAAAGGCTTAAGACGAACTTGATCTCCCATATTGTTCGATTATCCATGTCGTCATTGCTCTCGGTTGCGGAATTGTTTACAATATCTGCTCGACCACAGAGTTGAGTTTCTTGGCCATCGATATAGAATTGCTGCTGCATCTCAACTTCAAAATCCAGCTTTCGGGCAGAACCCACCAGCTCACTATCAAGTCGACGCCGAGCAAGGCTGAGGTCTTCGGGCTTGATCCAGTCATACTTGTGGTCTTTCATCTGAATCACGCGCGGTAGATAGCCCGAGAGACTCGCTTCATACTCGCAAGCTTTCCGGCAAAGCCAAGCAACAAGCTTCTCGGGGCATTTTGACAAAGTTTCATCAACCTCTCCTTTACTTGGTCGTCCTAGTGACCTTAATGTTCCGGCTGTTGCTAGTTCCAGAGCTGCGGCAATAACAAGGCCATTGATGTCGCTAACAGACTCATAGAACCCCCTTTTTAGATCCGAGGGTACCACATTTCTTATGTTGATGTGTTCATGGCGAGGGAGAGGAGGCGCTATCCTGTCTACATGAAGATGGCGCTCGACAATTTTATCAAGAGCATCGCCCTGGACATACCGCGTTATTTCACGGGCTCCGCAAGATTTTGGAAGCATAAGCCCCAACTCTAGGGGGCGTCCAGGTAGATCAGGTTGTGGAATTTTTGTTCGTATCGTTGTCAAGTTGACTATCTTGGCGGTGTCGTACAGAGAATCGAGGGATACACAAGGCATCATCTTACTCTCATCATTGTGGACCAATACGAGTTGTTGCAGAGAGCGCGTTAGAGCCACAAAAACTTCGTTGGGACAGCTGTCATCTGGCAAGTCGCGGCCGAAGAACTCGAAATAGGAGGCATCGATGCCAAGAAGAATGACAAGTTTACGCTCTCGACCCTTGAACTGATGTATCGTAGAGATGCACAACTTTCCTTTGATCACCTTGTCGTTGAGAGGTGTTTCCTCATCAGGAGGTACATGTATCGGCAAATCACAGACCTGAGTCAATGCATTTATAAGTTCTTGCAATGGTCCTCTCGTACGAACGGAGGGTGCTATTATCACGCAGTTCTCAGGCTTGTAACGTTTTACCAGGGGGGAAATCGCTCTAGCCAATGCCAAACTGTCCCAAATATTGCATCTCAGGACAATGGGCTTTGGACCACGCTTCGAGCTGGAGATGTACTGCTCTCCACCGAGGAAGACACGGTTGATGAACTGGACAGTCGATGAGGACAGCCTGAAACTGTTGCCTAACTGAACTTCTGCAAAGGGATAGGGACTGATTGGGCCTAGCACCTCAGGGGCCAGAGTCAGATAGCGAGGGTCAGCACCGCGAAAGCGGTATATCGATTGGCGCTCGTCGCCGAGGACGACTATGCGCGCAGGCTGGCCTCCTTTCCTAAGGTTGTTGGCCCGGACAAAGCACTCGACTAGCCAGAAGGTTTCTGGATTGCAGTCCTGAAACTCGTCCAGTACAATGATGTCGAAAGGTGTTGAGGTCCATCGTGGAAGTTTGCTGCACTTATCGATATTCTCCAAGAGCTTGATGAGTGCTCCATCACTCGGAACCACTTGTCCAAGGAGGACACCCGCCATGCCATGGAAAGTGTATACATCGCTATTGTGGTACTTGTTCAGACGATGAGATGTTTCACTCTGAAGCCTCTTTGAGAAGAGAATACTGCCAATTCTTTTATCAGGGTGTGCAGCCGCAATAGCTTCTATGGTGGCGGTTTTGCCTGATCCGGGTCTTGCTGATACCACGACATTCTGGTCAGCGCAGAGTTTTGCGATCCTCAGTTGCTGAGACGATGGTTTGAAGGCTGGTTTTGTGCCCACAGACTGGAGCCAGCTGTGATTTCTGGTGAAGAACCGAGAAGAGCCGATTTGGCGAGTATAATATGACTTTTATCGTATTGTTAGCTTGATTTCCTTTGGAGCAAGTATAGCGATACTCACTGTTGGCTGTCGAAACCAGGCTGAGAGCAACAGATGCATTATGTTGACTCGTACTATAATATTGATGACATCTCCATATTTATGAAAGGCGACAAGAACTGCTGCAACTGAAGAAAGTCCCAGTACAGTGACTCCTGGTATGTAAATATGTAGCAAGCGGCACACTCCTTGGTCTGATTAGTTAGATGATTCATGATGCATTTCGGATTGTCTATCGATTGTTCTGGTCAAGGAAGGGAACATCTTAGGACCGCTGTGTTAACCTAGTACATTACCTAACCACCAAACGATTGACTAATATCAACTAGCAAACAAACTGCATTGCTTTATGTTCCACCTTCAACCTCCAAAGCGACTCCTTAGATTTTATCCAGAAATGGCACTATTAATCTCTTTATATCCATGAGACAAGAGGTTGACCCAAGTTCACAGGCAACAGAAACTGGGAAGATGCATCGAAAGGCACGAGACTAGGGTATCCGGCCCAATAGAAATGCTGATGGCGAAAGCGCGGCAATCTATTGGGGATCCCCTCGTCCCTATTCTGGGTCACAGTAGTGTGAACCTAGCGTTCAGGTCAAGCAGAGTGGCTGTGCAGATGCAGCTGCAGGTGAGGGAGAAAGGAAGGCTTCAAATGCAAGGTGACAGGAAGTGGAACTCAGCGAGGCCAAAACAGTGTGAGTTGTTGCAGAGGACAGGCTGTTTTTGTGTCCTCGGCACAGCATTTCCCTACTGTGATGCACAACGAACACGCGATACACTCACTGCCTCTCAGTATTACAGACTTGGAGGCGAGATTGCACAGCAAGGAAACGGTTTCGTCAAGATGAACCAGTCAGATCACAATTGCGTTTCTGGTATCGAGTTGTGCCAGCAGATGGTTTCATGTGGCTACATATTATGTTATGGAACAAAAGGGAAACAAACCATCACAACAGGAGCCACGCCACGAATTCACGTCTCATCAATAAAGTCAAGCCCAAAAAAACACACCAGCTGGAAATTCCGAGCTACGCAACCAACTTCAGCCGTGCTAGCAGTAAACGAAGCAGGGGTTCCAAGGACCTACACCAAACCAAATACAGAAAAGAGTCCTCTGCTCGATCTTGGAAACCCCAGGATCCTTGTCGTCGAGGGTCCCGGCCCACTGAATACTTCCGTCACAAGCAAAATTGAGCTCCCCCGGACCATCAATTACGTAGGTCGTGTCCAGTTGCTCAGCGCGGCAGGGATAACTAGCCAGGGAGTTTGGTGATTGGCAGGGGAGGGAGGGATCTAGGGAGACTTGAGAGCCTTTCTTGGGATGGGTTGACTTATGAGAACACTATTCACTGGTATCTAACTTTTGCAGATAATACCTCAGTGTTGCAGTACTCGGCTCAAAGCATTTATGTCTCTGGAGGCACTGTAGCTGAGAAACAGTCTTGAGCAGAGTTGATTAGCTTTGGAAGCTCTACCTGTATTGCGGATGAAAGGATAACTGCACAAACAAGAGAAGTGGTCAATTACCTCCACTATTAGTCTACAGATGTTGTTTCACAGTACCACGATACTTTTTGCAGTCAGTGAATGCTGATCATCATCGATACGGTGCCTAGGTGCTCTGCCGCTCGCTCGCTCGGCCCGCAATCAACACCCTCTATTGAAGCTCAGGCACCCTCCAACTCCACTGTATCCGATCACTGGCTCTAGCTTGCAGCCTCTTAGCCTGGTTGCAGCTGTCTACAGATGTTGACTCCGCTTTCTGCTGATAATGATCGAACTCTCTCGGCTGCTTCAATTTCCCTTGTTGAGCCACAAATTAGCTCCCTCCCACTAGCGAGAGTAACTTTAAAATGACACTGCCATATATAGAGCCATGTGCTTGTTGCCAAGTACTTACTTGGTACCCTTTATCAGTTCACTTTCCAGTGCCTCGACGATCACCGCAAGCTTGGAAAGAAGCCACTCAACCGGGCTGCAATTGCGTCTGCGGGTTGCACCACTGGAACAGCCCAGGCCCAAATCTTGGTCTTCCATGTCTTGTCTTGTCTTGACTTGACTTGTCTCTTCTTGTCATCTTCTGCCAGGATTTCTTCCACCTTCCAATCCCTTGGCTTGGTTTCTTACATACCTCCGATCCTTCTTTTCCAGGTTTCCCTCTCTTATTTTAACTGTTCCCCTTTTCTTTTCGACTTCCCTTCTCGGATTCCCTTTCGTTTTCCATACCACCCCTCCCTCTGCCGTCTCAAACAAGCTGGTGTCTCCAGCTCCAGCTAGGCACGTAATCCACCTAGAGGCAACCTAGCCCAGCTCAGCTCAGCTCCAAGGTAGTCTGTGTCCAAGCTACCAGCTACCAGGCTTTCAGCTGGCTACACGGGCATTCGCAACCTCACCACCAAGTGAATCGGCCAACGCCATTACGACGGTCGTTCGGAATCGGCCTTATAGTTTGAATGCTTCGCGACGGTGCGTAGAGCTTGAAATACGCCAATTGACGACTGCGAACCGCCCGAAACAGACCCCTCGTACCAGCACGTTCCAGCAGCAACCGCAGCAACGCTGCACTACACAACGTCATGTCTACCGCAAAGGAAGCTGATGAGCTGAAGCAGCAGGGTCTCGTCGAGGCTGCTGCAGACCCTCAAACAAACGTCACCGCAGACGATGCCCAAAAAAAGATTGTAGAGTCCTCTAGGAATGCTGGTGTCGCTGCTTTCACATTCGATCCTGATGCGAGCCCAGAGCAGAAGAAGGCTCAAGCCAATGCGGTATGCCCCTCTCCTCTTGAAATCGCGACCTACAGCTAACGCGAACCATGCGCAGGCCATCCCACCTGAACTTCAGCAAAGTAGGAGGCCCAAGGGCGCCGCAATTATCACCGACGTCGATGACGGCACCGGCCCTATCGAAGATCTGCCAGAACCAAGCAAAGAAGGGGCCTTGGATGTAGCCCGCGACGAGCAGGGCAAGCCGCTCGCGGATGGCACTGACCCTAAAGCCGAAGAAGCCCCCTTCTCGCGAACAGGATGGGCTCCTCGACTAGGATGGCCAATTGACGATGCTACCGAACAGGAGAGTCTCCTCGATCACGCGACATGGGTCGAGGGACAGCTTCCGGATACCCTCTATGGTGGTATGTCTCAATTCAACTATATGCGCATACAGACCACTAACAAGGGCAGATTGGTACCACAACACGGGCGTCATCATTTTTGCTTGCATCTCCTCCTGGCTTGTAGCTGTCTTTGGCGGCGGCCTTGGCTGGATCATCATCATTATGGCCTTTTGCTCGACCTACTACCGAACGTCCCTGCGACGAGTGCGACGTAACTTCCGAGACGACATAACCCGCGAGATGGCTCTTAAAAAGCTCGAGAACGATAACGAGTCCCTCGAATGGATCAATTCATTCATGGTCAAATTCTGGCCCATTTATCAGCCCGTTCTTGCTCAGACCATCATCAATTCAGTCGATCAAGTTCTGAGTTCTGCTACTCCGTCATTCCTGGACAGTCTCAAGCTCAAGACCTTTACTCTAGGCAGCAAGCCTCCTCGTATGGAGCACGTCAAAACTTACCCCAAGACTGAGGATGACATTGTTATGATGGACTGGAAGTTCAGTTTTACTCCCAACGACACAGCCGATATGACTTCGCGCCAGCTTTCAAGCAAGATCAACCCCAAGGTTGTCCTCGAGATCCGCATTGGCAAGGCCATGATCAGCAAGGGTCTCGACGTCATTGTCGAGGATATGGCTTTCTCCGGTATCATGCGCCTCAAGATCAAGCTGCAAATCCCCTTCCCTCACATTGACCGTGTTGAAATGTGCTTCCTGGAGCGACCAACCATCGACTACGTCTGCAAGCCCCTCGGTGGTGATAACTTTGGTTTCGATATCAACTTCATTCCTGGTCTCGAGAAGTTCATCCTTGAGCAGATTCATGGCAACTTGGCCCCGATGATGTACGCGCCCAAGGTCTTCCCCATTGAGGTCGCGAAGATGCTGGCTGGTTCTCCCGTTGACCAGGCCATCGGTGTCGTGGCAGTGACTCTCCATGGTGCTCAGGGCCTGAAGAACACCGACAACTTTGGTGGAACCGTTGATCCTTACGCCTGCTTGAGCTTGAACCGACGCCAGGAGCTTGCCCGAACTAAAGTTGTTCATGATAATTCCAACCCCAGGTGGAACGAAACCCACTACATCATTGTTACCTCTTTTAACGACTCGCTGGACATGCAAATCTTCGACCACAATGATTTCCGCAAGTCAAAAGAACTGGGTGTCGCTTCTTTCCCTCTGGAAAGTGTTGAGGAGCTCAATGTTCATGAAAATCAGCGGTTGGAGGTCATCTCTGATGGCAAGGCTCGCGGTGTTGTTTCGTGTGATATTCGCTTCTTTCCTGTCCTTGAAACCGTCAAGAACGCTGAGGGACAAGATGAACCTCCACCTCCATCCAACCAAGGTATCCTTCGATTTACTGTGGAACAGGCCAAGGATCTGGATGGTACCAAGAGTCTTGTAGGATCTCTCAACCCTTACGCGGTTATGTTCTTGAATGGTAAGGAAGTCCACCAAACCAAGAAGTTGAAGCGTACCAATAACCCTATCTGGGACAATGGTTCTAAGGAGATTCTGATCACGGATCGGAAGAAGGCTAAGCTTGGTCTTACAATCAAGGATGACCGTGATCTTGCTGGAGACCAAGTCCTTGGAAAGTACCAGATCAAGCTCGATGAGATGCTTGAATGTATGGAACAAGGCAAGGAATGGTACAACCTGCATGGTGCTCAGACTGGCCGTGTCAAGATGATGGCACAGTGGAAACCAGTCGCTATCTCTGGCGTGGCCAGCACTGGTGGCTATGTCACCCCCATCGGTGTGATGCGTCTCCATTTCAAGAAGGCTACTGATCTACGAAACTTTGAGGCCTTCGGTAAATCGGATCCCTACACTCGAATTCTGCTCTCTGGTATTGAAAAAGCACGAACTGTCACCTTCCGCAACGATCTCAACCCTGAATGGGACGAGGTACTTTACGTGCCCATCCATTCTGCTCGCGATAGACTTGCTTTGGAAGTAATGGATACAGAAAAGGTTGGCAAGGACCGTAGTCTGGGAATGGTCGAAGTCTTCGCCGCCGACTATGTCGTACAGGACGAGACTGGGGAGTTTCTTGTCAACGACAAGAAACAGCTCCGTGAAGATGGTCTGCGTCTGCATGGCAAGGGTATCGCTAAAGGAGTTCTGCATTACACTGTTGCCTTTTACCCCTGTCTCAATGTCGCTGATCCTGAGGAGGAAGATGAGGAGGAGAAAGAAAAGGAGAAGGAGAAGGAGGTAGAGAAGGACAAGGATTCCTCCTCCGGTGAAGAACAATCACCTAACCCGCAGAGATCCAGCGAAGCCGGTAAATTCAACGCCAGCCTCGACAAGCCAAAGGAGAACCAGCTGGAGCCGCCTACGCCCACAACTGTTGGACGCCCCTCGATCGAAGCGCCCAAGGGTCCCCGTAAAATCCGATTGTCTCCTGAGGAGCTTCTCAGGTACGAGAGTGGCCTGCTCATCTTCAGACTCATGGAGGCAGAGATGCCAGAAAGCCATGGACTGCTGGAGGTTCTTGTAGACGATATGGCATACCCGTCCTACGTCTCTTCAACTGCTCGTAGCAAGCACCACAAGTTTGAAGAGATTGGAGATTGCTTTATTCGTGAGCTTGACTTCTCCCGACTGACACTTCGGGCTCGCAAGAAGGGTGATGACCAGGATGACCTCATGGCCTCGCTGGCTGGCAACACACTGGAAACTCTTAAGCAATGCCTGGTAAGACTGACTTTGGATCTCACTGTGTAGACATGAAAACTAACTAGCCTCTTTAGAACAACCCGACAACTCTGAAACTGAAGAGCGAAGATGGGCGCCCCGCGAGTGTTAAGGTCAGCCTGAAGTACATCCCGGTTAAGATGCAGCTTGACCCGAGCGAGAGTATCAATAACATGGGTACACTGCGCGTTGATGTTCTTGATGCTACTGACCTTCCCTCAGCTGACCGCAATGGCAAGAGTGATCCTTACTGTAAGTTCGAGCTCAACGGCCAGGAGATCCACAAGACCAAGGTGATAAAGAAGACCCTGAATCCCACATGGAATGAATACTTTGAGGTCAATGTACCCTCGAGAACTGCTGCACAATTCAAGCTCTCTGTGTGGGATTACGACTTCGCAGACAAACCTGACTTCTTGGGTGCTGCCGACATCAATCTCGAGTCTCTGGATCCTTTCAAGCCATCGGAGACTAAGTATATCCTTGATGGCAAATCGGGAAGCGTACGCATCCGACTCCTGTTCCGACCCAGCTATGTCCAGCGATCACGACAGGGCACATCCACTTTCGGCAACACTTTCTCGTCTGCTCCTGGTCGTATCGTCACTGGTGTTGCCGGAGCGCCTCTCAAGGGTGGTGTTGCAGTTGCGGGAGTTGTTGGTCACGGTGTTGGTAGGGGAGCTTCGTTCCTCCGCCGTGGCATCTTTAACAAAAAGGACAATGGGGACATCATCGAAGAAGATGGTGAGGCGTTTGAACCTCAAGGCTTGAGCTCTAATGGTACCGCAAGCACCAACGGTGGTCTCCGCCGGTCACCTGCCATCAACGAAGAGGGCACATCACCTGGAACTCGGCCTTCTACAAGCAACGGCCATGTTCGGGCAAAGAGCATTGGACAGTCATCAGTCCATAGCGCTAATCCCGGAGCTGCACCAGGAGGCACTGCTTCCTTTACTGTGGTCGAAGCAGCAGGTTTCCCTCCCGCATCGGATCTGTATATTGTCATCACGCAGATCAACCCCAAGGAGAAGACAGTGGGCAAGACCAAGCACTTCAAGTCTACGAATGGTCAGTGGACCTTCGGCGATACATTCAAATTTCCATGCTCGCCCGACGCACAGTTCAAGATCGAAGCGAAGGGACAGCACACTTTCAGCAGTGATGATGATCTGGGCGAGCATGTTTACTTTGTGGACGAGTCAGGCTCATCTGCCGCCAAGGAGCTCACAGTTGGCAGTGGAACCGTGACACTGAAGAGCAGTTTCCAACCAACAGAGTCCCCCCTGGTTCCCGACAGTCCCAAAGCCCATCTTCGCCGAAGCTTCATGAGCAAGCGGGATGGGCGAACCAGTCGGGAAGTGACGCCAAACCCTTAAGCAGGAACGGTTCATTAGCCGGGTTATGACAGGGTGTTTCATTTCACATGAGTCTTGAAGCAATTGAGACATTATACTTGACCTTTCGCTTTCAAGTGCTTGTTTCTTTTTGTTTTTCTTTTGTTTAATTCAGATGCAAATCTTAGGTAATATCTGGGCCGGCATTGAAGAAAGGAGACAATGGGTTCTTTCACGAATCGAGGAGGAAGCTTCTGCCAAGAGGTGCAAGGCATAAATTGGTATGTTTTATGTCAGTGAATTGGTGGGAGTCAGTGAGAGTGATATCCCTTGATTGATGGTTTTCTTTGGCGTAAATTGGATGCGAGGGCAAGGAATTGAGGAACCTGGGGAAACTTGGTCAGAGACTAAGAAGCGATCAATGAACAAATAAAATACTTATTTTTAAATAATATGTAACATCCTACCTTATCCCTTTCTTTAGATGCTGTAAAGATTTAAGATACTGCCTGAGGTACGTACTTGTAGCTGGGTTGTTTGAAGCCTTGATAATCAGGCATTCACCACCAGCCCACCGTCCCGTCACCTCGAGCGTCACAGTCACAGGAAAAGGTACGTACCGAAGTTGGAGGTGGCATTCAGTTGACGCGCGCAACGGAAGCTGCCTGAGCCTCAGCTTCCTTGTCTGGAGCTTCAATTCCCACTTCCACTTCCGCTTCCGCTTCCGCCTTCAGAGCATCCATCATCATCCACGCACGTCGACGTCAACGTCAACAACACCAATCTCGATCACGATATAACGAAGACATCACGACCAGGGAAAAGGCTTCTCTCCGCCCTTTGCACGCCACCGAAGCTAGGATTCGAGGCATACAGCTCTAGTGAAGGATTACAAGACGATTAACTTCCTACTACTGCTTCTCTTTCAATAGATCCAAGATGGATTCTCTTGTTTCGAAATACAGCCGACCGGCATATGAGCAGAATGAGCCTTTTGAGGACCAGGATGAGCTGCTGAATTCTATGGGTGATCTCTCGCTCAAGTTTGCCATGCCCCCCGTTGCTCAGGTTCGTACCCTAGGCGTAACTTGGCTACTATGAATATTATACTGACTGTGTCATTGTAGCCCTCATCATGGCTTCGCGCTGCCACTGACGACCGATCGAACCCCAACTGCCCCATTAAGATCGCCCACGGAACCACCACGCTCGCTTTCCGTTTCCAGGGCGGCATCATCGTTGCGACCGACTCCCGAGCCACTGCTGGCAACTGGATCGCCTCGCAAACCGTAAAGAAGGTCATTGAGATCAACAGCGTCCTGCTAGGAACCATGGCCGGTGGTGCTGCAGACTGTCAGTACTGGCTTGCCTGGCTCGGCATGCAGTGTCGCCTCCATGAGCTACGACACAAGCGTCGCATCAGCGTTGCCGCCGCCAGCAAGATCCTCGCCAACCTCGTCTACAGCTACAAGGGGATGGGCCTCAGCATGGGCACCATGTGCGCCGGTGTCACCAAGGAGGAAGGCCCTGCTCTCTACTACGTCGACAGCGATGGTACTCGCTTGGCGGGCAACCTCTTCTGTGTCGGCTCGGGTCAAACATTCGCCTATGGTGTTCTCGATGCCGAGTACAAGTACGATCTGTCGGATGAGGAGGCTCTGGAGCTTGGAAAGCGAAGTATTCTGGCCGCCACCCACCGAGATGCTTACTCTGGTGGTTACATCAACCTGTACCATGTCAAGGAAGAGGGCTGGGTGAAGCACGGCTTCAACGACACTAACCCCATTTTCTGGAAGACCAAGCTTGAGAAGGGCGAGTTTACCAACGTGACAAGCGCACTCGATTAGAGGGTTCTGGATTAGAAATAAAGATGCTGCCAACCTAGGAATCGAGACGTGCAGACAGATGTAGCCTGGGTGATAGAGGTGGCTCTTACGCGTCTACAGGACCTGAAATCCAGAACGACCGTGTAATATATCCAACAACGGCTTTGTCCTGCCAAAACCAGGTATCCTAAACTCCAATACCTAGTAGTGATGTCTACATAAAGTCAAATTAACTACAATACTATACTATACAGCATGTCATGCCAACACCGCTCATGCTGGTAGCATACACGATCCAAATAGTCTCACGATTTTCTCATGAATTCTCAGGAGTTGAGCCCTTGGTGTCTCTTCTCACCCACCCGTCAACCCCCAATATCCCGTCCCCGACTTCAGGATCCATGTACCATTTTCCAATGCCCGTCACGGTCAACTCAGACTCATAGCCAGCTTGATACATCTCCATACCCGTCCAAGCAATCATGGCTGCATTATCTGTACAAAGCTCTATAGGCGGGGCAACAATTTGTATGTCCCCAAAGCCCCTTACAGCCAACATAGACCGCAGGACATGCGTAAGGAATTTATTGCTCGCCACTCCACCCGCTACAACTAGTGTCTTTGCAGCTCGAAGCTCTGGCTTGTCATCGAGGGCGATACATAATCTGCCTGCGAGGTGTGTAAAAGCTGCCATCATAGTATGCTGTGCCAGTGCCCGGCGTTCAGGTAGAGACATGGAAGGGCGGGAGGTTGCGAGATCGTGAACGTGTGTGTAGATGCTACTGAATGAGAATGCAAGTTTTCTAGTTTGTCGAAATGGTGTGGGGATGTTCCACTCGTACCCTGTGGACGGAGGAGTCATCTCTGCGGAACGGGAAGCTGGTGGTGTGAAAACAGCGTCATAGGCAGAAGTCGAGCTATTTTCTGGTGGGAAGGCAAAAGCTTCAAGGAGGCGACCGTACATGACATGCTCGCTTGCTTCGAAAACCTCGGGAGGTAGGATATCGCGAGCTGTTTGGTCGAGAAGATTGCCAATAGCAATGTCGCCGCTTGTAGCAACGATAGAATGCTCTGTTAGACCTGTTGAGTGAACAAGTTGAGTGTGTCCGCCTGAGACAAGTAGGGACAGAAATGGAAATTCTGGTCCCTCTTTAGAGATTACCTCCTCGCCCATACTCATTCCCAGAGCCCGAGCCAGTCGCGGCGTCAACGCATGAGCCTGCATATGATGAACGCCTACCAAGGGGACACCCCAAGCAACAGCCAGTCCTTTTGCCATATCCAGGCCGATTCCTAGATTCGAGCGCATCCCAGGCCCACGAGTCACCGACACAAAGTCCGGAACTTGCCTTCTCACCCCACCAGCATCACAGGATTTCTGGCTATCGTCTTCAGCAGCTGGCAGAGTGTCTATTGCTCGACGCACAAGAGGTGCTAAAGCTTCACTGTGGCCCTTGGCCGCTACAATTGGGTGTATACCCTTGAACGCGCGGTTATCAGAGGATATGCGCTCATCGAAGAGGAGTTCAGTTGATTCTGGTGTATGTCGAAGAACGGCAACGCCCGTATCATCACAGGATGTCTCGATGGCGAGGGTTGTGAGATAACGAAGCCTTTGAGGCCTGAAGCCAAGGAGAATGCCCTTGTGACCACATTGAAGAAGAGAGCGCATCTGCGCGAGAATCTGGGGGTTATTGAAGGGTAATGATGGACAGACCTGAAGGCATCCAGTTACTTGATGTGAAGTTATTTTGGGCCACGGCCCCAACACGGAACGGCCCCACTCATCGGACAGAGTGGGGGGGGGGGCGAACAACATCAAAGACGGATCTTAGTCTACTAAGTTGAATCATGACTATCATTTCTAAACATCGAGCAGATATAATAGAAGCAGAGATGAGCTAGTACATTTAACTGATCTCTTTTGATAACTAGTAACTAAAATACCCTTCAGGGTTGAATATTCCACGACGCCCTTTCCAATGCTTTCATGTTAGATGCATATCTAAATGCATCCCATCATTAATCAATTAATAGGTTGATGGTGAACATCTTCACACCCAATTCACCCATTGGCATTTACATCCTCCGGTCCCGCCGTCGAATCCGCCAAATTTTTCGTCTCCTCGAGACCTTTTGTTGATCCACGTGCCACCAGCTCCTATGTCGTTGGCCAGCAGCTTAGGGTTCTCTTCATCAATCTTCTGTCTATCATCGATAGGCCAGGCCCAGACAAACTTTTTCCCTGGGTCTCCTCCATGTGTATCCATCGTTACTGTCACCGGGTACGGCATTGTTCCTGGTCGAATCAGCTCTGGCGATCCGTCGATGGCGCCTTGCCCAGTCGGATCGATCAGCTTCGATGTGTTGGCAGCCAGTGTGCGTGTCCAGATTTGAACGAGAAAACGTGTCTCGCTCCATGTCGCGACGAAATCAGCCTCTGTCTCTCGACAGCCACCGTCCTCATCTAAGGGGATGTCTCCATCCTTGGTATCATTGAGAACCGTTACCGACTTAAGGAAGATGGTCCGTTTGAAGTAGGTGTAAAAGCCATAGTGCTCGGTCGGAAGCCCGCGGTCGTAGAGCCTCACTGGCTGCTGTACCGGCTGTGGGAGCAGGACAGCTGGTTTGGGTGCACCATTCTCGTTGAGATCAGGGGATGGGAGCACTTCAGGAAGGCTAACATTCACGTCCAATTCTTGCCTTTTGGTCAGCTCTTTGCGGCTACTCTCTTCGACAGAATTAACCAGACTGATGTAGAAAGGAGTCGCCTCGCCACCCTTTTTATCGGATTTGATATTGTCGGTTGTATTTCCCAGAAACCACATCTCCTGGAATTTGGGTGGACTGGGACTGGGCTCAAAGTCGGGCGCCTCCCGTGCTCGGATAGTGTCTCCTGCATATGCGGCACCGCCCATACCTCGACGCTCCTTCAACGAAGGGGGATCTTCGTTGGGAGTTTTCCAATCATTGCGGGTACTGTTGTCCCACTGGATCTGCAGGATAATGGTTGGCTGGTCAGGCTTGTAAGGCTTCACCGAGTCATGCTGCTCCTTTGGTAGAGAACAACTCCACATGGTTGATGGTTCAGTACATCCACTCCTCGCGACGGTATTGTCCGGTCCAACGATTGTCAAGTCTCCAGTTGGCATGGGTGGGAAATCCGTCAAGTTGACCCAGATTGATGGCACTTCGTCCGAATGCTTGGGGCGTGTCAGAACAACGCCTAAAGTGATCGAAAGAATAATAATGGCAAGAAGAACTCCCAGAATAATCATCCAGACGCGACGGCGCTGTCGACCCTCGCGTCCAGTCCGACCGAAGCAACCCCTCTCAGGAATACATCCTCGACCTCTCCAGAAGCCACCAAGGCGCCGAGCAACAGCCTCTTCCTTCTCGTTGCGTCTTCTCTGGCGCTCTTGTTTGGTGGCGTGTTCGGCTTGGCCATGGGAGTATTCACGGGGTGCAGATGTGCCCAGCGGTCGTGTTGGGAGAGGCATTTGAGAGAGACGCAGGTTGTCTCGCGGGGCCGGAGTGAGTGGAATATCGGTTAGTTGTTCAGCTCGTTGGGATGACATGGTAGAGGAGAGACCAGGAGACACAGGACCGGGTGAGGGGGGGAACTGGCTTTGAAGTGGGTGTCCAGGCGGGAAAACAGCCCTGTACCTTACTGGAGCAGCCTGGCTCTTCTTCTCGGGAGGCGAGTATGCAGGCAGCTGTTCCCCGGTACTTTCTTCTTCTTCGGTCACAAGTATTCGTGGTTTTTCTGAAATAGATATGGTTCCAGGAACGGGGGATGCCCTTGCAGTTGAAGGTCCAGATTCACTCTCTTGGGTATGCTCAAAACGGGGAGATGGTGTCCTGCGTGGCGTCGGTTCCTTGACAATTGGTGTTTGAAATGAGCCAGGAGCCAAGCTCGGTGTAAGATATTCTCCTTGAGGAGGCTTGGTCTCCTGCTTGTTCCACCATTCATCCCCTCGGATAGTCTTTGGTGAGTCAGTATACACCTTTGGACTGGTAGTGAATGTCAGTCTGTTCTCCATAAAAGGAGTGACAACATGATGATCCCACCAGCCACGGGACTTGGATGCAGCACTATCAGGCGTCAGTGCTGATGTCTTTCCCCTTGCTTGTTTGTGCGGGCTCGAAGTGCCATCTTCTTCAAACAGTGTGCATGGCGTACCGCCATCAGAGTCATCGGGGGTTCTGCCTCCGAGTTCCAAGCTGATGAGCCTCTGATGAGCTGATTTCTTAAAGTTTGCTGGAACCGCAGGCACGGGTGGAACATTGGTGGCCGTTGTCGTGCCGGGAGATGGAAACTGCGAATAAATGCTTGAGGCGTATCGAATGGTGCTGAATGAGGAAACGGTGTCGGGTGTATCAGGTGACCACACTGACTTCTGCTGAACTGGAAATGGAGATAGGTTTGAAGAAGAAGGGTTTCGAGGCAAATACGGTTGTGCTGGAGCTTCAATAGGCGTCAGAGCGGCGTCATACCGGGAAGAGTTGCCCGCTTCCTCAGATGAGAGAGCCAGACCAATGACGATGGGTCTATCATCCGGCGAGAGCTTATTGTCTGGTGTACGTGCTGATTGAGCTGGCTGGGCTGATGACAGCGGCGAAGCAGTTGCTGGACTTTGGTCCTTGCTCTTCTTGAACCAATTCCAATTTCCTACTGAAGCTGATGTTGGTTCTCCCTCCAATGCCTTTAGAGCAGCAGCATCTACAAATTTCCCAGCTCGTCCTGCCGGCGTTGGCATGTAGTTCTGGCGGCGAAATGTTGACATATCCGTGATGAGCTTGATGCCTGCCTTGGCATTCTGGACCTTCTGTCTCTGGCGTGATTTGACCCGGACAATTCTTGCAGCAGAGGCTCTTGATGCACGTCGTGTTGAGGGTTTGGAGTTTCGAGTGGACACATTCAGCGGAGTTGGAAAGACTTGCTCCCCAGCGTCGATGGGCGTGATAGGCTCGTCATCTTCCCAATCCTCCCACTCTTCTCGACGCCGTGGCTGGGCTTCGGAGTACGGCGGTGGGTGTACCGGGGCTTGATTATGAGTATCGTTGTTCATGATGTAAAGACTAGTCTTTGAATACAGAAAGGGAAGCAAAATGAGAAGGAAAGCTAACAGTGTCTAGTGTTTAGACATGTATGGCTGGCGATTGAATGGAAATTGTATCGTCTAGTGTTTGTTTTTCCACAGATGACTATATCGTCGTTGTTTGGATGAAGATTCAGAATGTCAAAATCTTGGCTGTTTAGATGATAGTCTGTTGTTGGAAGCAAACGATACAGAAAAAGAGCCAGTTAGTATGTAGTAGAACAAAGGAGAGAGTGTGAACAATAGGATGTGACAAGAATAGCTTGTTCACAATCAACGACCGACAGCGACAATAAGAAGCCAAAAGAGAGAATGAAAAGACAAGTTATCACTTGAGGGTGAGGAGAACGGATAAAACTACGACATTAGGGAAGTGAATCAAAGTGAGGATGCGGCCGATAATAGCACCTCGAGCAACTGCATGCTGCAGTGTTGTTGCTTGTGGATCTGAAGATGGTCCCAGGTAAAAGCACCAGGATCGAGCAGAGCCAAGGGCGCAAAGCATCTTGATTGGACTCTAATGAGAAGCCCGCATCGATTCGATGCATGGCTAAATAAAGCATTCGAGGTCCAAACGTTGAACAATAGCTCATAGGCTGTGGATTGAATGACCTGGGGCAACCGAGAGTGTGGAATAGCCGCCATCCTTCTGGGGCTCGAGTGTGTGATTGGTCAGTTCTAAGCGCCGACATTGGCGTGTGTGTGATTCGTAGGCCGTTGTATTGGCGACCACGCCTAGAATCTGCGACTGGTATACGTATATCGAACCAGAATTGATTCGACAAGGACTAGGGAGATTGCTCTTTAGGTAAAAGCCCAAGACGCGTCTCTGATGGAGAGGCGGGAAAATGCTCGATTGGCTATTGTCGCGATGCAGAGTGTATTCGGGTGGAAGGGTCCGGTATCCGGCTGCTGTTTGTCTGTCAATCATACACACATGTTGGATACAAAAGCGTTGGTCTTCCTTCTCGAAAAGGGCCACTCGGCCTGGCTTGTGGTGTTTGTTGGCTGGTCGAGACAAGGTCTGTTATGAAATCAAGCCACGCTCGAACCTGGTACTGCTATTGAAGCGTTGATTCGGATGGGTTGAATCAGGTCAACTTTGACATCTTCGGTCGTGATTTCAGGTATATTGACCATGAACAGTATGACTGGGCCAACGTGAAAGGTCCTTGTTACCACAACTTGGATACAATTGGTACCTATTTGGCATGCAGTGACTTGACAACCTCTTGTTTGTTGACGCGTACTCAAAACGAAGAGATTCCTTCTGAGCCCTCAGCACTGAACGGGTCGCTGAACTGGCCTGGTCAAATCGAGTTCACCGTTCTCCAGAGGCCATCATGGCCATTCGGGACAATGTTGCATCTCATGCCGGTGTCTCATGATTCGGCTCTGGAGTATCCAGGTACGCTTTGCAGGAAGCCGCCAGTTGGAGACACTTGTCTGAGGGCTTCCTGGTTCATGGTGCATCCACTGAAGCTGCGAAGAGGGATCAAACATCATCTCTAGGATGCATCACGTGCCAGAGGACACCTCATTCTGCCTGGATTTGTCAAAAGAAGATTGACAGGAAGGTTTGTGCACACCATCCATGCGTCCTATTTGACAGATGAGATGACAGCGATGCGAATGCTCATTGGAGGCCCAAGTTGTGATTGACAGGTACAGGCTTGGCTTGTAGGTTTGGTTTAATGTAACCCACCAAAGCTAATAGAAATGAACATCGGCATATACAAGATCGGAGGCGAGATTGGAAGAGGTAATTACGGTAGTTGCAGACTCCCATCGTGAGCATCAGGCACGGGCATTGGAAGTGTGTATGATGTCTGAAATGTCCTCGCGACAGAGGCTCTTGGTTTCAAACTCAATTCACTCTCCTCATTAGCTGATTACCGCTAACTCTTGGCTTTCCGTTGACGGTTACACCCCCTGAACCTGAAATTCAATGAGGAATGTGGGGTTCTTGGGCTGTCAAAATGCCACGAAGGCAATCAGAAGTAAGAGTTCCACATCAGTGAGTTTATACAATCTCAGCATCAGCACCTGGAGAAAGAAGTTCTAGAGGCAAAGAAGAATCACCAACCCAAGACATTTTTGCCCTACAAGACAAGTACCTACTGGTTCAGACTGGCAGTGCACTCTTCAATCGCATCTTTACAATCAATTGTCTCGGCAGATTGGAGAAGATGAACTCTGACGTAATTCCGCTCTTTTTTTTTCTGGCCTAAGATAGGGGTCCAAGGCTAAAAAAATAGAAGGGCTAGAGGGGTTAGAAGAGTATAGGAAATTTAACTAAGGCACCCAGGATCCATTACTTCGAAAAATGTCGCCTTTTCCAGTAGATGTCACTCAATTCCCAATGCAACAGTAGCGAAGAGGCTGACTGCAGCTTGTCATCTTCTTGGAGACTGACAAACAGGGGATCTTTTGTTACACAGAGATGGAGTACGGTATCCCCTGGCCTTCTCGAGAAAAGGAAAGTCTCGGGATCGGATTAGAACCAAGTGTAGCATAGTTATTTTCTTGGCTCTGATAGTCCAGGATCCCCCTATTGTTTATGAGAAGGGAACCTTGAAGCAAAAGGAAAGCTCACCCCCTGAGAGCTGTGCTCGTAGGTAGGTAGTTGGTCTTTGCTTGAATTTTCTTGGCCTCTGTTACAATAATTTGGACTTGCTGCACTCTCATCCTTTCCTAACTTTGACTTTCCACCACGAAGCGAACCTACATTGCTCGTCTTATTGACCGATACGATGCGATACGAGGTTCACATCCAACACAGTGACTGACTCGGCTAATTTGTTAGTGTACTCCAGTCAATGCAGCATCTTGCATCTTACTCAGATCCAGTTGCGACAAGACTCGATTGCATTTACACCGACCGTTGTTCATCGTTACTCCCGCAGTCGCATCGCATCGCATCGCATCGCATCGCATCGCATCGCATCACTGCTCGTTCAATAATTACACCTCAAAACATTGCGATTCAGTGCATCACACTCGTTTTATTCCTCGCTACCGGTGCATTCTGCGATCTGCGGTTGAATCCAATCCAAATAATCACACCGAATCCTTGAGAAGCTCCATCACTGAAGCTACTGTACCTACTAGACTAGGATAGTGTCGATACGATAAAGCCAAGAAAGAAAACTGCGCCATCATTGCCCTGCTTCACTGCGGATTCTCTCATCATCCACCCACCACGACGGGAAATTCTAATCTATTTCTGTCACCACCATCGCGTTGCATCGCATCGACCATCCCGTATACCTGCCAACGTCGCCCAACCCTCGTATACGGTGCTGCCACCCATCGCCCCGTCACGATCCCCGATATTCCATTCCGTCTACTATATTCTGACTCTGCGCCACATTTCCAACTGAACAGTCGCGGCCGTGGTTGGCTACTTTGGAGAACGTCTGGATACTCTCCCTTGCCAAGGTGGAAAAGTCGGGACGTGTGTGGCGTCAAAGCGAACTTCTCGTTCCTGCGACTCTGGGCAGAAGAGGCGGAGTGGGCGAAGGAGAAGTGGAAAAGAGGGAAGGGGGAATAAACACACAACACCAAGCATTGCTATCACAGCAATTTGAGCCTCGTGATTGCGACCCTCCACGAGAGTTGCTGCCCCTCACCCTCCACTTCGCGATAACCGGCATAAGCGGCAACCTTCTTAGAAGTCGCCGATTGCGACGTTGCTCAAGCTGGCTTCATCACGCTCACCCTTCGGCTCTTCGAGCTCGTTTAGCGATCGCCCTTCCCGTGCATTTCATACCAGACAACGGTCTTCTGTCAGCCATATCGTGATCAACCCGGGCTTGCTATCCTCCGATCCCCAGAGGCCACAGCAGCCTCACAACAGTCCTTTATCTCCAGTTCCAGGTACGTACAGTTGATAGTGACGCTCTCCAGTTGTCTGGTCAATGTCTCAGTTCTCATACCTTGAGGCTTCTTGGCGGATTCCCTTAAACCATGTTTTCGACTGTTATCCTTCCCACTGTCTCTCTTTGCCTTAGTTTGTGCGTGGCCTCAGCCTTGACTTGTTCTTGGTCATCCTTGCTTCATCAGCTACCTAAGCACATTGCTCTCGCTTCTTCCTTTTCCCTTTTCTTTTTTTTTTTATAGATATATCTCGCTTGTCTTTGACTTCCATGGACCGTCAACTACAGTCAACCTAGTTCGCGGGCTAATCGCTGAGCCCGCCTCCTACAGATACCCCAGGTCCTTCCATGACCCTTTCGCGAAGCCCTTCACCTGTTCCCGGTGGTGGCTGGTCAAGTCCAGGCTTGAGCCTTGACAGTGGGAGGTCGACTCCGGCGAACGTGAGCGGCGGCCCTGTTGTATGGGAATCGGCCAAGATGCGACCTCACAACTCTAGCACATTTTCTTCGTTTTCGACTCAAAACAAGGGGTTCTTCAGCAGACACATGCGGCGACTATCGAGCAGTCTCCCGCAGTTTAACGGGCAGCGTGAGACTTGGAAGGAAAAGCATGGACGGGGACCAAGATGGATTCGAAAGGTGCCGCTCGCCGGTAGAATACGATCGATTTATGGGCGAATGGGCAGAAGACTAAAGATGTTCCTACTATTCATGCTGGCAGCGATGCTCTGCTATACCATATTCTACACAACCCGTAAGTTGCCCCTGGCTTACCTTGCGTCTTCGACTATGACTGATCATTTGCAGCTCTTGTATATTACTGGAGGAGATCGTTCGGTGGCGGCAACAAGTTTGTCATTATCTTGGGCGCAAATGTTGGAGGTGGTGTCATGGAGTGGAAGGGTGCCAGAGAATGGGCTATCGAGCGAGACAGCGTGCGAAACAAGCGAAAGTACGTCAACCGATGGGGCTACGACTTGGAAATTGTGGACATGAGCACCAAGAAGAAGTATGCGCACGAGTGGCGGGAGAGCTGGGAGAAAGTCGACTTTATTCGGTCGACCTTGAGGAAGTACCCCAAGGCAGAATGGTAAGCTGACCCTGACTGTGCGTATGGAATAACAGACTAAACGCGATATCAGGGTTTGGTGGCTGGACTTGAACACATTCGTCATGGAGCCCTCAGTATCACTTCAAGACCACATCTTCAACCACCTGCAGACAGAAGTCGAGCGCGACATCAATTACTTCAACCCTCGCAACATATCGCATCCTTTCACCCATCATTATCTGGATGAGGTCTCGCGAAGCCCTGTTGGAGATGGCAAGGCCAACTCGATCAACATGATCATGACACAGGATTGCGCCGGCTTCAACCTGGGATCCTTCTTCATGCGGCGCAGCGACTGGACGGACCGACTCCTCGACGTTTGGTGGGATCCTGTCACATATGAGCAGAAGCACATGCAGTGGGAACACAAGGAGCAAGATGCGCTGGATCAGCTATATCAATCGCAGCCGTGGGTGCGCAAGCATGTCGGCTTCCTACATCAGCGCAAGATCAACAGTTTCCCACCTGGAGCTTGCAACCCCGACGGCGGTCCCAAGGATAAGCATATCCACTATGAGGAGAACCAGCGCGATTTCCTGGTCAACATGGCAGGGTGCGAATGGGGCCGAGACTGTTGGGGCGAGATGTACTATTACCGTGAGTTCAGTTACTGGCTCAACCGAAACCCTTGGGAACGCTTTAAGGAGGATCTCATTGCGGTCATCTGGTTCAAGCTCACCGGCAAGAAGGTCAAGTTGTGAAGAGCACTTGAATGACGCTGTGAGATGAATGAAGCGACGATTTACTCGATTGTTGGGATATAGACGCATCAACTCGGCGAAACGATATACGGGAAACGGACACGAAAACAGTCTATGGTATGACTGTGCTGATACTTGCCACGGAGTTCTTGTACATGATTTGCACTTTTTCTTTTCTCGACTGCATATACCCACTTAGACGAGGCATTAGAAAGAATACCGCGACAGTCGCGAGATGTAAGGGGAAATCTCGGCTGCATATCGCACGGAGAGGTTTGAATTCGGAAGCATCACGTGCTTACCGAACCCTCATGGCATGAAATGAGAGGAGATCGAGAGTGTTTTATAGATATGAAAAGGTTGTTAGGTTGTGAAGGAGGATGTATGAAGAGTTTCATGTGGCTGTCAATTAGAAAGAACATACAATGTACCTTAATTACAGTACATACCCGAGCAGCTGGGATTGCGATCGGTCCGAAAGAAATGTTTAACCACCTACGGGGGAATTATCTGATACTGATAGGTATTAAGATGCGTGGAGTGAAACTGTTTCGTGTCGAATGAGTGAGATCCTCCGGAAGTGATGGGTGATTATTAGGCAAGGATAGTCCCAGACACAGATCAAGCTGATACAACATGCGTTGCGAGACTACAATCAGGGGAAATATCACGACATTCTAAAAGTCTAAAAGATGGAGGTTGTCAGGGTGGCCCTGGACCTTGAGAACGACGTCGATCTTGTTCGTCTATAGAGCCGAGATCATAACTACCGGGATGTGATTTCGGGACCACGGCACGGAAGAATAGACCAGGAGTTGATTCTCCGCCCGTTGAAGTAGACTAACCTTGTCAGGAGAGTGCGGATACGGTGTGTAGATTTCCATCGAATTCTGAAGGTTCAAAGTGGAAATGTTGGAGTATCGAAGAGGATAGAGGAGAAAGGAGGTGGCAGAAAGGTTCTGTGGTGAGGTCAGCAGCATGAGTTTGTATGTGTGAGTGTGTGAGTGTGTCCAAAAGTAGGCAGGGAGAAGGGATAGAAAGGTCTAGTCTTGCTTCCATTCCTGAGACTATGTTTCAGAATAGGTCATTGTTTGCATGAGTGTGGCGGCTGGAAAACGCGCGTCGAGGCTAAGAGACTGAAGTGTCTTGGTAAGGAATGAATTCAGCCTAGCTGAAATATGAGCGATTCAAGATGGGCTCAAGATCAGGTTATTTGAGGTCAGTTGGGCTACGTAAGTGTGAAATTTATGCTGAGTGCTTTGTTTGGATGTTCTTTGTTCTTGTTAGATTGGGCTTCAAACTCAACCTCTATGGATGAATGGCATCAGGTGGAGAGACAGGGATAGAAACGAGTTGAGCGCGCGGCTATAGAAGCGCTGTTATGGATACCAAAGTCTGGGTCCCTGATAGACTGGGTGTATGCGGATAGCAGTCTAGTTGTGTGATTCACGAATTCAGGAACAATAGCATTCACATAGATAATCAATATATTACAATAGAGAATTCCAGCAGAAAACACAACTCAGCTGAATGTTTCTGTTTCGTCGTCAGTTGTTTCTCATCCCATCTGAAAGCGCTCCAGCTCCACTACTCACTAAACCCCCCCCCCCCTGCCACACTCCACTGTAAGATAGCGTGCTGTCTAGTGGATGCAAACCCCTGAACCCGCCCGTCTACTTGACATCAGCCTATCACAGGTCCCGACATATCCATCTCCCTGCCTGAGCCGGCCATCTCCAGGCACGCCAAGCCGTATTATGGTTCCGCTAAGCTTTTTCTCCGTTGGAGTGATTGGCCTTGGCCCTCTCTGAATCGGACTCTCAAGCTACGCATCAGAGCCTCTGGACAAAAGTGGTTGTGGGAGATTCTATTGGTGACACTGTATTATATGAAGAGTCCTGACTCCCCTTGGCTATTGTTTCGGAATCTTTAGCATACGGACGGCCTGCACAGCACGAGCACTAGCATCCATCTGATCTCTGAAGCATGAACTGATAGAAGCAACACGGGGCCCAAACGAGACAAGGGGTGGGAGAGTAACAAAGAAACATGGCTAGTCTCGTTTCTCAAAATAGCTTGGCGTTCGAAAGGAGAGGCTGCAAGACATTCCGTCCCATATCAGAGACATAAACTTATACATAGCTCCCGCATTCCCTCTCCTTGGAAGCCCTTCCTTTACTAGACCATAACCAACCTCACTCTTTTTTCTCTTTTTCTCACTCTGTCTCTCTCTTTGTACTTCCCTTGCCTTGGCTTCTTCCGTCTTCAGTGTCTGGTTACTCTGGGGCTGAGCTGTTCTTGGGAATCTAGAGAAGACACATCCACTCCTTGACTTCTTTCTTGGCCGCATTCGTCGCCGTCACCGTTCAATCCTTTCGGTAGCTGGCTGACCGTCTTTGTTTTATCATTCTCTGCCATCCACTCTCTTTTTTTGTTTGTGCCTTGGTTTTGTTACTGTTTCCTATTGACTAGGAGCAGTAATTATATCGCTGGACTACCTACCTCCTTGGCAGTGTCAGAGCTATTGTCACTCACTTCAATAGCCTCCCCCCTCCAGCCCTCCCTCCACTTTTGGCTGGGGATTCCCTCATTCAGACAATAGTTCACGGATCTATTGTTATAAATCGTTTGGTTATTGCGCTCAACATTCAAGGCATCAGCCTCACTCTGATACACCACCCGACACGAATCATCTCTGTGAACGACTTCATCGCATTCTCTCCTTCACTCAAAACTTCAGCTTCAAATCAGAATCAATCTTGCGAATAATTAGAAACAACACACCTCTTCCCGTCTTTTCTCCAAAGACCTCAGAAGCAATGCATTCCTCCATCCTCGCACTGGGCCTTACGGCCTTCTTCAATGGTGCTTTTGCACAGAACAACTCCTACTCTCGGTACTCCCTCAAGACCACATACGACTCTTCCAACTTTTTCGAGGCCTTTGAATTCTTCAACGAGGAGGATCCTACACACGGCTTTGTTGACTACGTCGATGCCGACGCCGCTAACTCTGAGGGTTTGGCTGGCTATGTCGATGGTGCTGTCTACATGGGTGTAGACTACCAGACAAAGAACCCCTCCAACGGCCGAAGGTCTGTCCGTGTCACCTCTCACGACGCTTTTACTCACGGTCTCTTCGTCGCCGATATTGCCCATATGCCTGGCAGCATCCCTGGTGTCTGGCCCGCATACTGGATGTTCGGTCCCAACTGGCCAACCTCTGGCGAGATTGATATCCTTGAGGGTGTCAACACTCAGACTGAGAACAAGATCAGTCTCCACACTGGACCTGGCTGCAGCATCACCAATGACGGCACCACTCAGGGTACAACCCTCGAGTCCGAGAACTGCGATTCTGCTGGTACCTCTGCCGGCTGTGGCCAGAACACATCAGACAACCAGAACTACGGCGATGGCTTCAATGACATCGGCGGCGGAGTCTACGCCACTGAGTGGACATCCGACCACATTGCCGTATGGTTCTTTCACCGCGGTCGCATCCCGCAAGATATCCAGTCCGGTAACCCCACCCCTTCATCCTGGGGTCCTCCCGCTGCCAAATTCAACGGCGGTAAAGGCTGCAACATCGACGATCACTTCAAGGAGAACAACATCGTCTTTGATACTACTTTCTGTGGTGATTGGGCTGGCTCTCCTGATGTCTGGGGCAAGAACCCAGAGACTTCGTCTTTGGGAGACTGCAAGGACTATGTTGCCAACAACCCTGCCGACTTCAAGAACGCTTACTGGCTCGTAAACAGTATCAAGGTTTACGTCCAGGGAGGCTCATATGGTGGTGGCAATGGAACCACCGGTGGCGGCAACTCTGGCAGCGGTAACAGCGGTAGTGGAAACAGTGGTAACGGCAACTCTGGCAATGGCAACTCAGGAAACGGAAATTCTGGCAACGGTAACTCCGGTAACGGCAATTCTGGTAATGGCAACTCTGGTAACGGAAACTCGGGTAATGGAAACTCGGGCAACGGAAACAGTGGCAATGGCAACAGTGGTAACGGCCAGAGCGGAAACGGTGATGGCCAGACCAACCCACCCAGCAGTACTCAGCCAGGACAAGGCACTCAGAACGGTCAGCAAGGTCAGAACGGTGATGGATACTCTCCTGACAGTCAACAAGGCCAAGACCAAGGCAACGGCTATACCCCTGAGCAACAGCAAGGCCAAGGCGGTGGCTACAGCACTGGCCAAAGTTACGATAATGGCCAATACCATGGCCCCGGAGCCTACAAGACCACCAAGTCCCAATCAAGCGGCACCACAAGCTGGGACGGAAACGGTTGGCGAGTCGGGTCCAAGCGATCCGTCATCTCGAAGCGATATCTTGCATGAGCAGGTCGAGCTTCTCTTCTTTACAAACATATGAGATACCCCCAGACACAAGAAGGAAAGAAATAGGTCGGCGGTGGCGGCTGTTTTTACATCACATTTTCACAGATACTGAACATCTGTCAAAGCATTTTCGATTCTAGATTTCTTATATCAGCCCTTACTCTTCTCAGTACATATATATAGTCATCTCTTGGCTACAAGTGGTTGATGACCATGCGAGCATATGAAGTATTTAGCAATGCGAGTCTTACGAGCCTGCTTTGGGTGTTTTCTGTGATGTGATTGCTGAACGTGTATATTGCCAGAGGGCAGTTTTGAGAAGGGGAATGCTGATGATGTTGAAAGACGTTGAGAATGCCCCTGTTTCTTAGTCATATTGATCGGCGTTAGTGGTGTTGGGGATGGATACGCCAAACCCGATATGGCCAGACTTTCACCTCTTCTTGTCATTGGCATAATGCCCGTAGACATGACATGTTACTTTCATCTACTCACATCGTGTTAAGAATAACATTTGCTATTCCATTACATATCGGCAGAATTGAATAAGCAGTTATCACGTTGTTCAACAGTCGTTATCCTCACTTGGGTTCTTGGGTTGATCATAACCGTTATGCTAACTCAACATGTTCATACTCGAAGCGGGTCTAACCAACAGTTACGCCTGATTATTAAACTGTCGGACAAGTTTGATAATAATTCCAAAAACTCACGATAATTCAATCTCATCAGATAGTCGTTGTTCTCAACAGTTTTGTTGATTGTGATTTAAAACAGAGGTCTCCATCATACAATACAATTGAGCTCATCTCATCCATCACCTGATAGTTCTCTCTTCATCACACTACGACTCCTATCAACCACAATGGAGTCTTTTCTTGGTCTCGACCTCACGAGAAACTATTCCTTCTTCACAGTACGACCCTTCTCCCCTCATGATCAGCCCTCAACTTATACATTTTAGGTCCCAGCTGCATTCTTCATCATCACGTTCCCTCACGCCTACACCATCACCGCAGGTGCCAAAGGGACCTACGACAACTGTAACCCTCGCTCGCACAAGGACAGAATCGCCAATTGCCAAACTCTTGATAAATCTGTAAGTTTCATTGTATGATTGTCCATCGCACAACTCCCACTAACAATCGCAGCATAAACAATTCCTCCTCCGCGCAAAAGCTGCCACAGAAAACGGCCTCGAAACTATTGGTTGCTATGCAGCAGGTATCTTGGCCGCAAATTTCGCAGCCGTACCAGCGCCAACAATCAATATCCTCGGTCTCGGCTATGTTGTGAGCCGTCTCCTGTACAACATCGCTTACCTGTGGTTGCAGGATAATCCCCGACTATCACGGGTACGCAGTTTAGTTTGGGTAACCAGCATCGGGGTTATTATGTCGTTGTGGGTGAAGGCTGGAAACAAGATGCTATCCATGTAAGAAGAGAGCCACTTGAGGGCCGGTGTATAAATAGATAACAGAGACTGTTGGCGTTCAGTCTTCCGAAGTACAACATTCCCGCTCGGTCTTACAGTTCTCGGCGATTTTATTCGCCTTGTGAAATTCTTTGCCTCGGGTATAGTAGTTGAAAACCACATCTGCCGATTCCATACGCGGCTTTTCGCTTATTGTACTTGCTCTCTGTTGTTCTAGTCCATATGAAACCCAGCCACAGTATCATGTGAGGGTTATATACCATCATTTGCAACGCAAACAAGCACCTGTTGGTGAATCGAGTACAGGGAAGCCTTCTCGAATGTAGCACTTGTTTGACCAAGGTTCTGTATAAAGAACCCCCTCCTCTGTTGGAAACTTTGGCAGCAGAAAGTCTTTACCTAACTTCGACACAGAAGCATCACAACTTTCAGCATGTTCCCCATCAACTATCTCGTCTTACTCTTCGCCTCAACAGCCTTGGCCCTCCCTAACAACCCAGAGGCTTGCAACACTGATGTCCCTGCCGTCACAGCTGCTCCCAAGGTTTCGTTCGACTGTGATTACAGCTACTGTGGTGAGGATGACGATGTCTTATGGTGCTTTCGCTTCATCCCTTTCACTACCATCAACCCTACCCTTGGTCCTCTTCCGGGCGAGACAAGGGTCTCTATCGGCATGTGTGGTCCCAAGTCCGCAGACCCGAAACCAATGGATTGATTTGGTGGCGTAGGCTGTCCTGGGGATGTTGTGCGTCATGGTGGTGGATGGGTAAGCTTGGATATTTGAGCGATGTATATCAGATGAAGACGAGCTGAGGAACGAATGTGATATCTTGATCTAAGCTCAAACATGAAACTGTGGTTCTAACATCCAGCCTATAGCCCAGCATTATGCCTAGGGCTTCTAGCATTAGGTACTTATCAAATTAACTAAAAAAGAAATAAACGGTATTCCATCCCCCCATATGCTCCTAGGCTTGGGAAATAGAGCCAAATGCCAATCCAGATGCCTTACCCTGCGCCTTCCCATGCTTCGTTCAAGGGCGTGTACGTCTCTCTGTGTGTGCGTTTGTATTGATGCTCTTAGTGCATTTCGGCGCCTCCGAAACTCTTGTGTCGTGTCAGTGTGGCCCGGGCCTGGGTCGCTCTGGGAAGCTGGTCTTTGGTAGACTTGCGCCTGCTGAGAGGTCGACGTTCTGGGGCCTCTTCTGTCCCACTCCGACCCTGTTCGGCTTCGATCATAACATCAGCTGGCATAGAAGCATCATCCTTGATCTTAGCAACGAAGAATGATGCAATCAGGACACAAGCTCCACCAAGGGCGAACACAATAGAAATACTATGGTCTCCCGGTGTGCCTCTAGGCTTCTGCCAGAGCTTGAAGATGATACTGGAACCAACAGTTGCAATGATTTGAGGTGCTGCAATCGCCATGTTGTGGATGCCAAGGATCACTCCAGCCTGGTCGATTTCTTCCTCCTCGTCATCTGCGGTTCCGTCATTGTTTGCTCTGGTGGCCGCCAATCGCGTCTTTTGAGCTCGTATCAGGGCATCTCTCCGACTGATCTCGGCACTGATAATGGCCCATGGAGCCCACAGTGTCATCGCCCAGGTGATACCAACAAGACCAACAAGCACGGTGGCTGCCTTTACGGTTCGGACGAAAAGCGTGGCGAACATGCATCCAGCAAAAAGAAGGAGGGACAGGAACCAAGCACGCTTAAGAGTCAGGCCAGGAATGGCCAGCTTGTCTAACCACGAGGGCTTCTCATCTTCATCCGAGTCATAGTAGCCTGCAGGGCTCTCTCCTGGAATACCAGTGACTGGCTGACTATCATACGTTGGAGCAATGAAAAATGGAAGGAACACATTTGTGAGCAAGCTCACGATCGAGTTGATGAGAAGTGCAAAGGTACCAATTCGGGTCGCTTGCTCATACAGTTTGTTGAGCTGTTCCGGAGACATGTGGGGATTCGCTTGGAGATATGGTTCGACATAGATCTCTCCGATGTAAGAGGACGTATAGAACAACAGAGGGAAGAAGCCGACCCAGGCGCAGAACTGGACCTCGCATACCCTCTTGATCTGAGGCGGGAGGCGTTTGATCGACTTGAAAATAGTGAAGAAGAATGAGAAAACGCCTTGTTGTTCTTTCTTGGCGGGGCCGTCAAGTCGAGGATCTCTCTCCTTGATGAAGGCGGTGCTCACAAACACGGTCAAGGCAAGGGCAAAACATGCGATGGCACAGAGGATCTGGAATTGCGTCTTTCCAAGGAAGCCAAGATGACGAGTCAGGTCGACATACCCAGCAATGTATCCAACGATATTGCCAAATCCGGTGATCCGACTGGCCATGGCATTGGCAGACTCTTGCTGATGAGCTGGCGCACAGTCGACGATGAATGCACGAATGGACGCCTGGACGGTGTTGATGGCGAAATCGAGAACGTAAACGCCGATAACTGCGACCACAATAGTTGTTGTTTTCACATCTTTAGACTCTGGGTCAAAACCCATGAGTCTGGCGGCACCACCAACAATCTCTTTGGCCCAGGCAAGAAACAAGAGGGAGAGGATAGTGGCAATAGATCCCCCGATCATGAACGGTTTTCTCTTACCCATGGGCAGACGGCAATTGTCGCTGAGCATACCCACATATGGCTGAACAAGGGTGCCAGTCAAGGGTCCAGCAATCCAGACGAGAGCCATGAGAGATTTGCTCAAGCCAAGAGACAGAAGATATGGTGATCCGTTTGAAAGCTCAACAGACCATGCGATCTGGAGACCACCGATGCTAATGGTCAATATGAGCAAATACCATATGCTCTTTTTGACCTGTGAGTCGTCCGCTTCCCCATGGACATTGTTGGCATCATTATTTAGTAGAGGTGATTGTTCGTCGTAGCCTTGTGTATTGGCACCTCGAGCGATAGACTGGCTGCCGCCGGTTCTTCGTGGATTAGAGGATGAGGAAGAGGCTGGTAGCCCACCACCCCCAGTGTCTTCCGCACCCATCACAGCGGTGTTCGATAAGAAGTTGTAGTAACAAACTTGACAATCTCGAATCTGGAGGAGACACTCGATGCTTTAAAGCTGTTGCTTCTCTGGCTGCCGTAGGTAAGAGTCCGGATGCGGGGAGGGTGTAAAGTGCGAACTCAGACAATCACAACACGGCAGTTGTGTGCTAACAGACGAAGACGGTGACAGGGGCTGTGTCCGTCCGCGACCTGGGTATCTGCGAATGGTTATCACAAGCAAGATAAAGGCGCTGAGGAGCCTATTTCATGCAGACACGAGACAATATGACAAAAAGCAAAGAAAGAAGACGGTGGACTGTAGAAGACAGTCGAAGAGATGGTCGGTAGGCAAGGTACTTTGGTGAGTTACCTTAGGTTGAGCTGGCTGGATCAATAAATGTCCGTTGAATCTGAAACTATCATGTGGTCAAATCAAAAACTCACGCGACCGAAGCTGCGCCTGTCGTAGGCAGGCCTCAGAGTCAGGAGTCGGGCGTGGCAGGTAAAGAGAGGTCGGGTACCGTGCTGTCAGAGTGTGAAAGAGGTGCGTCACTGGGCCCGCCTCCAATAGATCGTGACGTTAATCATCAATTTACTGATCGAGGCCCCCGTTCCTGATTCGAATCGCTGTCTGGGGCTTGGAGGGCGCTATGTCATTGGTCACGGCACATGTCCAGGTGGTGCTGGCCACTGATGTCCCATGTAGCAGCCCCATCCGCTGGTGCTTCTTCTGTGGAACTTACCCTGTATGTAGATTTCACTGCATCAAAAATGACGGATAATATCAAAGACATGCAGCAATTTGAGCACGTCGAGGACCTTGTTGCCCGTGTCTCGAACTAATATCTACTGCACGTGGTGATGTGACGCTCAACATCGAAGCGGTCAGTAGAATATTTCTGTTGAACTCAGCCTAATAAGCCAGATGTGTGTAAACCAGCAGCATTCAACTGCGCCTGGGACAATGTATGACGACGTCCGATCAAAAAGATGTCCGGGAATCACGGTGGCCTTTTCTACTAGCTCCTGATATAAGTGGTCCTCTTACCAAGAGCCTCAACAGACGTTATCGAGTAGCTTCGTGCTGATGCTCCGTGTCTTATCATACATATACTATCAAATCTTTATTTGTTCGTAATTCGATACGTGTGAACTTTTCGGCGATATATTGCACCGAGTAAATATCAGAAATATCCACATCAGTAAATCAGAGATGCCTCAGGCTATTGTTTACGAGCAACAGGAATGCCTGCAGCTTGGCAAAAGCAAACCATGAAAATAAATACCCCAGTCACCGAGAACAGCGACAACCACCATGATGCAACCAGATATTTCCAGATGTACTGCTCACGATATCTTCTTCCCCCATGTTGAGACATGAACAACAAGCAGGAATCACCTCGCCACAAGGACGGAGCTACGCCGAACAAATTCGAAGCGAGAAGTGGACCAGAGGGGGGAATAAGACTTGGCGAGACTCAAAGATGGTCCACTAAGACAATCATCAGCGAATAGCATCGGCTTAACCTGAGCCTGAACGGTTGTCGACGGGTTCAATTGACAAGGTTGATGTTATCCCCACACGCCAAGACCAGGCGCTGTTATCTCTTCACTTATCATCGCCAACTCCGGTAGCCAAGAAGTGAACTTACGAGAAGGAAAAAGACATGAGAGAAAAAAAAAAAAAAAAGAAAAGAAAAGAAAACTTTGCTCAGAGGCAAGCCAAGTATAGCCGCCTCAATCAAAACCTCTCAGCCAACCATCAGAAGAAGGTGCCATGTTCGATAAGCTCAAACTTCAAGCAATTATCCGCGCTGTTAACGGGACGCCAAGTCCGGCGCCGAGAGCGGGTGGCGAATGAGACATGCTGTGGGCTGCAACGGGAGCCAACGGGAACGGCGATAGTTGAGTGCCTTGAGGTTAGAGGTCAAGACCGTGACAAACACCGGTCCGGTCTCTGCCGAACTCCGTCCTGCCGTGCCCGGAATGGTTGCAGAAGAAGCAAACAGTGGGAAAACGTTGAGTTTTTCTACCTGCCACTGGCCAGCTGGAGAGAGACTTTGTTGGTTTATTAGTAGTCCCGCAAAGTTGACAGTTGCAAATCCCGGCGACGGCTCCAACGGCTTCAACTGTCGCGCGACTAGCTACCAAAGACAGATGGAGTTGGCTGACCTCGTTCACAAGTATTAACCGAGCAAGGGCCGATTCCCCAGTACGTAATTTGCATCAGGCGGTTCGAGCGTGAAGAAGGATCTCCGTGCAAGGATAATGTGCATCAACATGCTCAGTCTTGGCAGAGTGTGGCATTCATCAGAGACTTCAGACTGCAGATTGCTCGGTGCCTGGAAGTGGAAGCAAGCCATTGAATTGGATGTCACTACATGTCCTAGAGCCGTGGCCTAATCTCAGAAACCTGAACACAGCAGCTCATAACGGAGCTCAACGGACTCAGCTCGGCGTTACCTTCTCACAATGACGCTACCTGATGACTTGCCTCGCAGAGTCTAGCCTGTCGTTCTGTTCACGACCCCCCGTCTAAACCCCAAGAACCCCCAACAATGCTAGTGGGCGAGTGGGCATAAAGTGGATGACATCGTGCGGGGGCCTCCACGGCTCGACTTTGTCGCCGACCCCGTGTTTTTAGATTCGAGTTGGAGTCTAAATGAGGTGCTGGTGGTGTCGAAAACGGCCAATGTTACACCATGCATGAGGCCCATTGCTGTGTTGCGGGATTCGATATCCAGATGAAAAGTCTGTTTTTAGAGGCGTCGACGGTATGAGACAGGTATTATTAACGGCTGATACACGAGGCGCCTTACGACTCACCTAACTCCTGAACGCCATGCTTCCGTTGACTTCCACATCGACTACCGGACACATTCGGCTATGGTTATATGTACTGTATGGTGGAATGGAAGAAACAAGGCTCGCTATTGGATCCATTTTCTGTCAGCCAAGCCTGGGCCAGTCGACATGCACGAAACTCTGGTGCCTGCAATCGTAATCTCACTTGAGCACCCTTGTCACTGTCAGAGCGATCAGAGAAATGATCACCGGCTAAAACCAGTAGCAGAGCCAAGAGGCAGAAAACAACCTTTCGCCCTCCTGCGGCCTGCCCCTTTGAGGCTGATAGTTTACCCAATAGTGGCGTAGGTTGTGTAGCCTCAACATGTGTCTGCAACTCCTGGATCTGCAGTGTTGCTAAAAGCTGTTACTTCCGATCCATCCACCACCACATGGTCAACCGCGGGAGGGTTGCGAGGGCAGCAATGTACTCTTGGTACCAAAATCAACTCCCCGGCCCGACATTACAGGGATTCTCCATACAGTTGTTCTGGCCAACACTGACCTCATTGAGGGTCAGACCCCGTATAAGCCGCCGACTCCTCCGCTATTCTCCGCCCCCGACACCCTCTTGAGCTAATCACAGTGCAGCGTCTTCATTTCCAGGGGCTACCAGACCCAGAGGCAATTCAAAGGACGCCCCAATGTACCACTTGTACCCGGGATCAGGGACCCCAAGGCGGTTCCACCTCCACAACCAAGCCCAGGTTTTCCAAGGCGCCACCAGAGAGTAGAACGCATGGATACAGGCCGAAACGACCGAAGGCTTTGAGGGGTTTTCCTATCTCCAGTCTCCAGGGATTCCCTTTAAATGTCCTGGCTGCTGCACTTATCTCTTTCCATCCATTTATGATAAACGATCGCCCATACCATCCCCAGCACTTTCAAAGTTGAGGATCCTGTCAATTCCAAGCTCATTGCCTCGATCATAACAACTCAACATACACTCATCGAGCCTACACCTTTCTCTATAACAAAACGAGACACCCTGTTTTACAGCCAACTACAACACATTATCCACAATGGCCATCCGAGAGCACTTCCGCCGCGCTGTGCGCTCCGACGCTTCAAGCACAAATATCGTCGAGGCCAACACCCCAGGAAAGATCACAGCTACCATGACCAAGTCCAGCCAGAACAGTGACAAGTCCGACTCATCATCAAAATCATCACTCGTCAACAAGCTGTCCCGTACCTGGACGTGGGGGTCTAAGGACAAGGATGCCACCAAGGAGCGCAAGACCAAGAACAAGAAGGGAAAGAAGATCACCCACCCTAGCGAGAAGCCGATGACCGCACAGAATCTCCAGCACCAGGAGATGCTCTCTCACTTCGACTTCACCTTTGGTGCCTCTTGTCCTGAACAAATCGAGGAGGACAATTTCATTGGCATCAGCCCTTGCTGCACCAGAGCCCCCAGTGTCGTTGACTTCTCACTGGAAGGCGACAGCGAAAGCGATGATCAGACTTCTTCCTCATCTTCCTCCGTCAAATCATCGTAGTCCATTTCCTGAAATGGCAAGGTCAGTGATAATGGATGGGCGGGCATGCGGGCTCGCCGATTGTCGACAGCGGCGAAACCTGGAAGAGTTCTAGAACACCAGTTTCAACGCCTGCCACCAAAAGCCCGCAACGTTACTCAGGCACACCAAATCACCTCCCTTGGAAGATCCTCGCCTTGAGCGTTGCATTTTATCCATCTAATCACGACTCTGGAAGCCGTCTCTGTTCACGACAATATCACCAATTGGGTGATGCAACCATCTCAAGATCAGCGCCTGTTCCAACCCAAACAGGAATAACAGCTGACGATCTGAGCAACACCACCTCAGAACTTCGCTATAATCATTGCATTAGAGCATAACAACAAAAGACGCCAAAACAAAAGCAGTGTGCATTGGCTGTCTTTCTTATCGTCTTCTTTGACGACGGTGTCTCGGGCACCGAAGGAAAACCGCATGAAATGATTTGAAACGCCACGACATGTGTGGTATGGAATATAGCATATTGGATTTAGCGACTGTCTTAAGGAGTTTTGCATATCACTTTGGTCATGCAATGGGCAAATAGACCAGAAGGCGTTAAATTGGATAGACCAATAAAAGTCTACTTGTTTTGCAATCAAATTTCTTTCCCTGTGTCATGTGAGGTTAATTCTACACGGCTGCTTTTAACAGTGCCAGTTCAGTACTAACTTGCTACCATAGTCGGCCAGGAATCCCTGAGTTGGCACAACAATTGGATCTATAAGGGATAATGATTAATACAATATCGCAATCGCACTCTCTTACTTATCTCACAAATAGTGCTCATGTCACAATTGTGCTGCTTTCAAGGGGTCAAATTGACTTTGTTTCAGCCCGAACAAAGAGCAGCTCCCTTTCACGTAACACAGGATGTTTCTGACAGTTCACTGACATGAAGAAACGATGTGTTGATAACCAGGAACCAGAACAATCATATAACAAAGAACAGAACTCGTTTACACGTTAATTAAACGCTTAGATGTGCCTAGTACTCATCTAGATACAGAAGAGTTGTAAAATAACTTGATAGTGGAAATTCGGATGTGACACAGAGTAAACCTATGGATATATACCTGTCGGTGCACCAATGGACTGCAACTCCGCTCCGTATTATCGTCGTTATCATCATTTATGTATCTGCGCTTACCCGCTAATGTCACTGCCGCTTGTTTGCGCTGCGTTATTGGCATCTCACCAAGCTCGAACAGCCATTTTACTAACCGCATCTTCTTTCGCCTTTGATATGGTCTCAATCATTTGAGGTTCCACCAAAGTTGGTACCTGTCATTGACTCGGGTCAGTAACTTTCCTGTTGTCAAGGCACCATCTCGTAGGTTAATGTGAGGTAAGTACGCACGCGCGCGCGTGAAGGCGGATTTTGACACTGCGCGCAGGCTCCTGCTGCGAAGACCACAATGGACCTCCACTGTGATTGACCCCATCCATTTCCATCCCAACATTGAATTAGGTACCTTAGGCATTGCCTGAGTTACTGAATCAAAAAGGCGCCTGGGTTGGTGAGCTCCTTCACTTGAAGATATTCTCTTCGCTTGCTTCATAATCTTCTCAACACCATCATCTTTCCCTGACTTGCTTCCTCACACCTGCATCGACACACCACCGTCGCCACTTTCGGGTATATCGTGTTCCCCTACTGTCGTCGCCATGTCGAGCAAGTCTTGGTATGCCCTCAAGTCCAAGGCCGTACATACGCGGTATGGCTTGACCAAGAACATTCAAGTCCTCCTTCAGGGTTTGGAAAGCTTTCACGCCGGAGTCATCGACGCGAGAGAGCTGGGAAGTATGGTCCGGCTGAGTCCTCGCCGTAGAGAATCAGTTGCTGCAACGATAGCCAAGTGCGCGCGCATGATCAACAAGGACCCCCAAGAGTCCAAGACCTGTGTCGACATCATTGAGATGTGCACCGAGATCCTCGAAATTGCCGGTAAGCAATCCCCCTAGTATCTGACCGTCCGTTCCCAAGAAGCAGCGGGTGACTCCCTGACCTAGACCGACCACCGCCCATCGAGGGTTTTCCTTTCATGAGACTACCTGCCGAGATCCGAGAGTATATTGTTGACTTGATGGTTGATACCGTCTTCAAATCGAAGGGTATCAAACCCAGTTCACGAAAAGTGAGTTGCAACTGTCCACAGCTGGAACGCGAATTCGGGTCTTTCCACACTCCTCAGATGAAGGCTTTGCCATCTATCCTGGGTCCAGCACTCAACCACGAATTCTTTCGCATCTTCTTTCGGAAGAAGGCTGTCCGTTTCCGCTGCTGCTGCGAACTTTTGTATCACCTCGACAGCAACCCACTGCTTGTGCAGAATGTCCGTGACATCAAGGTTCACTGGTGCGGACCCAAGTCGGCAAAAACTTTCAAAAAGCTTGCAGAATGTGATAAGCTCGAGGGTTTGACCATCAGCGTCTCGAAATCCACACTTGCCAACCTCAGTCCACGAGCCGATCTGATGAAGCAATTCTTCCCGCTCTCTTATCGTCATGTGAGGATCACCGACATTCTGGGATTGGACGAGATTTTGACCATTCGGGGCCTCAAAGAGGTGTCAGTTACCCACCTTCAAACAAGGAGCACCAATCTCACCGCTGAGACCGACAGAGCGAATCTCTCAGAGATGCTTGCTCATCAACTCAAGAAAGAAAAGGTTTGTTTTTCCTCACCGAGAGACTCCCTTTAATGCTGATGTCGGTAGGGTTACGACCCGCTTGACGAATTCTAGGTGGCCAGAAAGGAGCCATGGAAGCTGAGAATTTGCGAGAACGATGACATCCAACTACATGTGCAGAACAGGAAATGACTTGGCCCAAGTTTGGAGCAAGGCGTAAGGGATAGACGTACTAATGCTTGTCCTCATGGACAGATTGATTTGACAGGCTATGCATAGAAGGATGCGTGCTGGTACACAAATGAACGGGAATAGATTAGAATTATCTAGGGAATGTAACAACAGTCAAATTACGGAAGACTCCATTTGGTGAAAACACTAAAGACTCCGTACTCAAAAAACGTTGCAATATTGGTCTTGTCTTGTACCAGCACTGAGGTGTGGTATCCGGCTCAAGATCAGCTGGCGAGCTGAGCTGACCGAGCGATGGAAAAAGACGACAAAGTACGGATGTTGGGCTGCACAAGTTGACAGCATATGATGAATAATATCCTACCTGGCGTGATAATTGAAGTCCTTCATATTGGAGCCTGATGCAGACCCGAGGCGCTTCCTAAAGTACACTTATTTGTAGTGGTTCTGAGCGTTGAACCTGAGTAAATCGTATGATATAAAAATTTGAGTTCAGATTGGATGAGTCAGGGAGACTGAGACCCAAGCTCTGAATCAGATAGCTCACGTGACTTCTTAGATAGGCTTAGTTCTGGACACGGATCAACTACCATCCGCACCCAAGTTGTGCGCTCCTTTGCCCTAGTACCCACAGCTTTTTTCACCATAAGCGAGGGTTGCAACTCAGTCTTCTATCTTCTACACCCGATCATCGAATTCAACGAGCATACGGCAACTGCCCGGTAGAAGTTGCCCATCATGTCGCTCGTCTCGGGAGAGAAGTCGAACTTCCAGTTCGTAAGTCATCCTCTCCAGCATCATTTCATCGATATCGAATTCGACACCGTTGCGCTCGAATGCGCTCGTGCCATCCTGTTCAGCGTTGTGTGCATCGAAATCGATCATGAGAAATGAAACCCCAGAGAAGCAGATGTTAACGATGGACAGATTCTCCGTCTTCTCAACACCAATGTTGACGGAAAGCAAAAGGTTATGTACGCCTTGACCAAGATCAAGGGTGTCGGTCGCCGATACTCCAACTTGGTCTGCAAGAAGGCCGATGTCGATCTGAACAAGCGGTACGCGAGTTTTCATACCTACGAGATACTCAAAATATACTGACAATAATTCATAGCGCCGGTGAGCTCACCTCTGAAGAGCTCGAGCGAATCGTCACTATCCTCCAAAACCCTACCCAGTACAAGATCCCCACGTGGTTCATCAACCGACAGCGCGATATCGTCGATGGCAAGGACTCTCACATTCTTGCCAACGGTGTCGACTCCAAGCTCCGTGAGGATCTCGAGCGCCTCAAGAAGATCCGCGCCCACCGTGGTCTCCGACACTACTGGGGTCTCCGTGTCCGCGGTCAGCACACCAAGACCACTGGTCGCCGTGGCAGGACCGTCGGTGTCTCCAAGAAGAAGGGTGGTTAAACTTTTTATGGGTGTTGGTTATGGGTGGACAGGCGTGACGGCTGGTTTCTCCATCTTTCTGAGCATTTTGAGAGGTTTGCTTTCTGGCATATGCAGCCAAAGCAAGGGCTGTACTCTAGATCAGAGTCACGAATCAAAAGTATTCAAGTAAAGATGTTCAATGAGGGAGCAGGAAGTGTCCATGCTACAAGCACGTGAAGTTTATGGCTCTACGAAGTCAACGACAGGGTAAACTGGGGTCAACATGGGTATCGCTACGGAAAGGAAAAGATACTGGATGATTCTAGGCAAGGGTATCATGATTTCTCTTTTGACTGCTTAAGTGTGTTTGTTACTTAATCCTCGTGCGTGACAGCCATATCCAAAACCTCAACTCTTCCCTGTCCCTTGGTCTCATTGCCAATAAAGTCAGATAGGGGCTTAAAGGCCCCAGGTTCTACAAAGCCTACCACTTCCCATTCCGAACCAACGACATCTTGACTCTCGACTTGCTCAACGTAACTGAGAATCTTGTCCTTGACTGTGCCCACGGCCTTTTGCTCGCCGTCTTCTTCCTTGTTGGCCCCCTTTGCTCCTTTCACAGCTTGTTTGAGGACGTTGGTGGTACAGGCGATACGAAGCCTCATGCGTGCCCTCGCTACTGGGATGGGCTGATGAGCGATGAGAGCTTTCATAGCTTCAAGAGCCTGGCTCTTTGCGCTCTTGGTCGTGCTAACGCCCGTCCAGTTGTGCTGGGCCCTGGGCTTAGCTTCGCCCGCTTCTCCAGTCGCAGGTGTTCCAGTAGCACTTCCGGCAGCGCTCTTGTCGGGTGTCGCGGTGTGAGCCTGTGAGCTGAGCATGTCAAGAGCCTTCTCGATCATGCCAGATGTGTAAACGCGCTTGGTTCTCGGATCGACCAGTTTGCTGGCGACTATGCTGACAACCTCGTTGTGCACCCGCTCTGTCTGCGCCGCGCGCTCTTTCTCGCCGACTTGCATCTCGCCCTTTTTCAAAATCTCGAGGATGATGTCGTCTGTGGACTTGCCCTTGCCAAAGGCCTTGTCGAGATCCTCACGAGGCGCCGTTTGGCCCTTGGACACGTTGAGGAAGACGTTTGGGATCTGGAGAACATTATCGAGATCTGTCTCGATACCGGATCGCCACTCGAGGACCTTGTTCTTGTAGCAGGCGAGCTCGAAGCGCTTCTTTCCCTTCTTGAGGCGTACGAGGGAGACGTTTGTGAGCCTGATTTGGTTGGATGGTTGTTGGATCAGGCGAGACATGGTAGGCGATTTATTTATGAGATGGAAGAACTTAGAAGGGAAACAGAGGACGCTGCGATGAGTTGCTGAGCCTTGAGTAGAAATGAGGTAGTTAATAAAGACAGTAGGCACTTTCACCTTCTAGATTTACCAGAACTTTTTTCTGGACCCCGCCATCAGTCAGGTTTGGATTTCCTACTGCGTAATGCCCCGCACCAATAAAGAAGATAGGAAGGCCTTCGTCATACCTTTTGAGTCATAACGATATGTATCATACCTCGTAACCATTTATTAAATTTTACCACTTATAATGACCCATTCTCCCCTTTCTCGGTAATAAGGCATATGCTAAGCCTCCATGTCATCCTTGATTGGATTCCTGTTCTCATACTTATGTAGTAATTGTTGGAATAATGCGGATGGGCTAAACCTGCTGATATCTAGAATCAACATAACTTACATGATGTGAGAATCGCAAGATTTGCTATGGACATGGCATATCCCCTTGGTGCCCTCGACTGATTTTTCTCCCTAATCATTTCATAAGTAATAACCGTGCTGTATCTTAGCCACAGGCTAGATTCATTTCACCAAGCTTGTGAATAACATACACCTCGCCTCGTATGATATGACATGTCTTGGCCATCGGTCTGACTCTTCATTTGGTGAACAAGGTCTAATGATAACTGCTTATGCCTCTATCTGAAGACTGAGTCGTGTGGTGAGCTGTTAGCATCCGGTCTAACTACGGTTTCTGCATAGGATGAATGCTTTTGAGTAAATATGCTAACTACCTTGATCCTATAGCAGTATTTGAACAGAGACAACTCATTGCTGCGTGTTCCTGGAGACTAACTCCAATATACAATACATTTTCGTCTGCTGAATGACTTGTGAAATATCGATCGTTTTGACTGGGCCGCCGCTCTGAAATTGCTTCTTACTCAGTGGCTGACCATGTAGTTTAGAAACCAAGCTGGTGGAAACCTATGAATAGGGACGTATATGTGCTTCTCACGAATAGAGAACGATTCCTACATGATCTCTAGTGACCAGGATATTCCTCGAGAAAAGTTAAGTGATACCCAGCCAAGTAATGTTTATGCATTGGCTTAAGTCGAAGGGCGTGGAAGCTCAGTCAAGGGTAATATCTGAGCACGTACTCTAGATGTATGTGCTCAAGCTCGAGCTTGTTTTAACCTAGACAACTTTTGGCAAAATTAGTAAAAAGGAGAAACTAGGTAAGCTATATGGACATCGATGAAGCTATTGTCTTTTTGGTATGTAACAGGAGTAATATACTGCCTCCTCGATACAATTGCAGACATAGGGTAGGTAGGAACTTGAATAATCGGCCAAAGTTGAACAAGGAATATTAATAGAATGCTAAACCATGCAGAGGGTAAGCTGGGAACCTAATCCTTGGCCCATGATGACCCCGTCTAACTATCAGTTACAACTTGCCGCCTCACTCATGTTTCATGCCTAGAGCTGCTGCATCCATGTTGGTATGCCGATTGCGGTCGCCTCAGGTACTAGGTTGTGGTGGAAGGGACGTTTATTACCATTAAAACAAAGTACATGACTAAAAGCAAATCCAGTCCCCTTTGCGTTCCAGAGTCATTTGAGCAAGCTGCCTTGTGAGAATGGATGCTCTCCGATTCTGGCAAGCTTACAACCATGAATGAGACACACTTGAACCGAATCGTAATCAACCTCTGACCATGTTTTAGTGCGTGCATTATCAGTTCAGACGTGAACGGTGACACAGCAAACGGGTCCTGTATCGTCTACGTCACTGAACCGGCACCGGCTTTACACCCTGGCTACACCTAAATAATTGCTGGGGATCATGGAGTGAGTTGAGGGTGCGAAATATGGCTCAAGTCAGAGAACATTGGCCACTCCATAATCCTCTGCATCGGCAAGAACATTTATTCATCATCACGAGGCAGCCTTTCAACGGAGAGTTAAATCCCGAACACCTCTTATCAACGACTCATCAGGGTGAGATAGCGTCGTCGAGTCACGTTATCGAGCATAAAGTGGATATTTGAGTTGTTGGCGCAAGCCGCCTTCCTAGCTTAGCCTGGTCCTTTGGTACCTTGCGTATAGGTGACACGCAACGCTGCACTAACAGATACACACGTAGCTACAGTGGCTATCTGATAGCAGAGCTCCCCGGCAACTGCCTGAATCGCCCCTGCCGCTAGGAAGCGTAGCCGCTACGCGGGGCGTGTTGAGTGGTCAGCTGCGTTGCTCGGCGTCCCATCTGATGGAGGTCTCAGACGGTCTGGGGGAGCTTCCCCAGCCATATTACGTCGCTTGCCTGGCTTGCGCGTTTACTTCTCTCTCTTCCATCAACAACATCACTTTTCTTGTCCAACAACTCCTCCGCATTCTCTAGTCTCATCGCCATCTTCAGCAAAAGCAGTCACTGAAGCCTGTTCAAACAGCAGACAATGCGTTTGTCAACTTCCGCTCTCGTGCTGGGCGCTGCCTCTTCGGCCGTCGGCCTGCAAGAGCAGCAGGTTCTCGGCGGCGACTCCAAGCCTCTTGTCGATATCGACGTCAACGCCTGGACCAAGCCCCTCGAGAAGTTCTTTGGCGAGATCTCATCAGAGGCCAAGGCTGTCTGGGACGAGGTCACTCTTCTTGCCCCCGACGCTGTCGAGGCTTTCAAGAAGCAGGTCCTGACCCAGCCCAAGAAGGCCAACCGTCGGCCCGATGCCCACTGGGATCACATCGTCAAGGGTGCTGATGTCCAGTCCCTCTGGGTCGAGAAGAATGGCGAGAAGCATCGCGAGGTTGGCGGAAAACTCGACAACTTCAACCTCCGTGCCAAGAAAGTCGACCCTTCAAAGCTCGGTGTGGACAAGGTCAAGCAGTACAGTGGTTATCTTGACAATGAGGAGGAAGACAAGCACCTCTTCTACTGTAAGTTGTTGTCCCGACTCGCGCCCAATTGGTAGCTGAACTAACACCTCGGAGGGTTCTTCGAGTCCCGTAACGACCCCAAGAACGACCCTGTTGTACTCTGGCTTAACGGTGGCCCTGGCTGCTCTTCCTTGACTGGCCTCTTCCTTGAGCTTGGACCTGCTTCCATCAACAAGAAGATCGAGCTCGTCAACAACCCCGAGTCCTGGAACAACAATGCTTCCGTTATCTTCCTTGATCAGCCCGTCAACGTAGGCTACTCCTACAGCGGTGGTTCCGTCAGCAACACTGTTGCTGCCGGCAAGGACATCTATGCTCTCCTCACCCTGTTCTTCCACCAGTTCCCCGAGTATGCTAAGCAGGACTTCCACATTGCTGGCGAGTCCTATGCTGGCCACTACATCCCTGTCTTCGCCAACGAGATTCTCTCTCACGATGACCGTAACATCAACCTCAAGAGTGTTCTCATTGGCAACGGCCTTACTGATGGCTACACCCAGTATGCCTACTACCGCCCCATGGCCTGCGGTGAGGGTGGCTACCCCTCTGTCCTTAGCGACAGCGAGTGTCAGTCCATGGACAACGCTCTGCCCCGCTGCCAGTCTCTGATCAAGGGTTGCTACGAGTCCGGCAGTGCCTGGTCTTGTGTCCCCGCCAGCATCTACTGCAACAACGCCATGATGGGCCCCTACCAGCGCACCGGCCAGAATGTCTACGACATTCGAGGCAAGTGTGAGGATAGCTCCAACCTCTGCTATCCTGGTCTGGGTTACATCGCCGACTACCTAAACCGCGAAGAGGTCAAGGAGGCTCTTGGTGTTGAGGTCAGCAGCTACGACAGCTGCAACATGGACATCAACCGAAACTTCCTCTTTGCTGGCGACTGGATGCAGCCTTACCACCAGCTCGTCCCCAACGTTCTTGACAAGATCCCCGTTCTCATCTATGCTGGTGATGCCGACTTTATCTGCAACTGGCTCGGTAACCAGGCATGGACCGACAAGCTTCAGTGGTCTGGCCAGAAGGATTTCAGCCACGCCAAGATCAAGAACCTCGAGCACGACGGCAAGGAGTACGGCAAGGTCAAGTCTAGCGGTAACTTTACCTTCATGCAGATCTATGGTGCTGGCCACATGGTGCCCATGGACCAGCCTGAGGCTTCCTCTGACTTCTTCAACCGTTGGCTAAGCGGAGAGTGGTTCTAAGCCGGATCACTCTTGTATGAGGTGTTTGGATGTACACTAAATGAGAGATTGCCAAGACTGACTTTTGAATACGCGAACAAGGACGGCATTGCATGATTATGGGAATGGTTATTAGCTACAGACAGATACGAATTTACCATGTTTTACAATAATGAAAGATAATGTGAGGTGCCTTTGTGTTGGTCGCATGATTATCAATGTCGTAGTACTGTGGATGGCAAGCTGCATCCCTGGCCATGCTGGCCATGCGTACCTGACATGAATGCTACCGAGTGTACGGACGAGGGAAATCGGTATTATGTAACATCAGGAGACTTCCAAGTCCGACGGAGCCAGATCGATCTCCACTCCGGCCGAGTGACGGAAGATGAATCCACAATTACCGAGACAATCCGGTTCCTACTGACAAGACGAACTTGTTCGCATGAAGAGAAAAAGGACAGAGACATGGGATTGAATGAATATCAACAGGAAAAACCCGAAAGACTTATATGCTGCTTATTTTTGTATGACAATCAACTTGACAAATCTAACTACCAACGGCTTGTCAATGTCAACTCCGTGCCGGGTGGACGGCGGCCGGGCAGCGGGATGAAGTCAAGTTTCCACCATGTACAAAACAGACACGGACTGAGTGCGAGAAAGAACAAGATGACTGGGGCGGATACGGAGTACCCTCTGACGAGAGACAGCAGACGTCGAACAGCGGAGGAGGCGCCGGGAAGAGGGTAAAGATGCGCGGGCCAAGAGGCGAATGGATGGCGCAGAAACAAGGAGCTTCGATGCGTATGGATATTGTAGATTTGTTGAGGATCCTGGGGTTTGGTTTTCGGACAGCCGCGGGACGACGGTGGAGAGAACCTGAGAAGACGATATTTTCCTTCTCCAGCCCCTGTAGGTTTGACAGGTGATAGAGAAGGACAAATTTGTGTGATTGTGTATTTCTCTCGTGGCAGTCCTTTATGACAGCAAGGAGATATATATCAAACATAGCACTTATGAGATACAGGAGGCTCAATAATTCAGGAACGGCACTAACAATGTGTGGCCAAATTCTCACTCGGTTCTCAACCAAGTGTTAGCCTGTAGCTACACCGTAACGGCTGAGCTCCAGAATGTTTCAAAGACAGTCACACGACAGCACAAAGCAAAACCACTTACACGACAGCATTTGATAGCTTCACTCAATAGAAGGAAAGGAAAAAAAAAGATTAGTTTGACTTAACGGGTCCCACATGGTCATTGCATTAGCGTATCCCCAACAAAAATCAGCCTCCAAGATGGACAGTAGCCGCACTCTGTTTACAGATTTAGAGCAATTCCCCGCGTGCTCAAATACATAATAACAGATAGTACTCACACATGATCTATACTGGGAGACTAACATTTGCATGTACTGATCTGTAACTCTGCTTCCATCAAAGATTCTCCCTGATCCATGGTACTCTAGTCCAGAACCCCCCGTCCCAATAATCAATCATTGACCGGAGCAAGTGTCGACGTCGACCAGAGATCCACGGTGACCCTTGTCTCTTAGACGAGGGCATCAGAAATAGGCAGTTCAGTTGTTAGGAGGATAATGACCGGCGGAACTTTGCAATCGCTAATCATGAGCCCCTATTATTAAATTATTATTATTATTGGCATCATTGCTATTGCACCGTTTGAAGATGCTGGTTTTTGGAAAGGCAAGGTAAGGTAGAAAGTTATTCCAGGGCTCAGTTGCGGCACATCTGCCTCAGCTTCAGCCCCACATTGCCACATTCATCCATGATATCCGGGACTTGTTTCTGTATCACACAAATGCTTCAACGTCAAAGCCACAGGTCGCAATCATGATGATCAATTTCCACGACAAATACGGTAGTAATGTACATAAAAACACGTGGGATATATCTCAAGATGCAAATATTCCACTTTATATAAGGTAATGTAGGTTTGTAACACGCAATCTTGGTAAAAAGGTTTTCATGATGACAACTTGTATGGATATAAAACAACACTCAATTAGTAGTTGAGACCCTTGATACCAAAAGTACCCTTGTACACCGAGCACAACAGTGATTCAAGTGCACATGCCAAGTGAAACCTCGCATTGATAGGTTAATACAAGCGTATTTACTTACGGTAGGCAGCCCATTTAGGTCCTCCCGTCCCGGGCGGCGGCAACGGGTACCACACTTGGTAGACAGGTGCCATTTTCATGTTCCATATTCTGGAAAACAAGACCCTTTCATCATACCTGCCTTTTGCCTCTAGAACAAAGGCACGGTCTCAATGGATCCAATCCCCGGCCATTCTAGGAAGGCCGGACCCCCAATTGATCCCCTTGACCACTCACTACCTTGGGTACTAAGGTAACTTACAAGTCAAGATCCGAGGCCCCCTCCTTCCGGTCCGCTCCAGCTTGAGCCGGGGTGGACTTGAAGAAAAAAAAAAGAAGTTAAAGCCAACGTCTTCTCCTTTACCTTCACCCTTTAAGAATAAGACCCCAGCCTTTTGCCTCTTGCCCTTTGCAGTGGTCTCTTCTTCTCTTGCTGGGCCCTTCTGAACTTGATTTGTCTTCACCTTGCCTTACCTTAGGTACTCATTCTCATCACCCCCAAGCTCGAAATCTGTGCTTCACTTTTACAATTTGCACGGGCTCAACCCCAGGTTGACTATCATCTTTCAGCAGACGACTATCAAGCTCAATTGATCAGCTGGACCTCCTGCGTTAACTCTTTCACCAACCAAATCTCAGACAAGACTCATAAACCGCCGTCATGGCTGACCACTTCCAACTGCTGCGCTCGACGCCCGATTCGAGCCTCTTCAGCTTCCCTCCTGCAAATGCGCCAGCCCCCATTGCGCCCGCTGAGGTTCCAACATCAATTCTACGGCCATTCAATATCCCCGAGCATATCTTTACTGGTGCTCTCGATGCCAAGGTCCCCCTGACCATTGCTATTCTATACGCCGTGACTGTCAAGAGCCTCAACATCTACAACAAGTCCAACGGCAAGAAGCCATGGGCTATCAGCAAGACCCGTCCTTTCTTTGCCTTCGTGGTTCTTCACAATGTCTTCCTCTGTGTCTACTCTGCTTGGACATTCTGGGGCATGCTTGGTGGTATGAAGAGGAGCATTGTCAACCCCACAGGTCCCCAGGGTCTTGCTGGTACGGCTGATAGTTTCTGTCGTCTTCATGGGTCCTCTGGTCTCGGAAACTCCGTCTACTACAACGAAACCACGAGCTCATTTGTGTCTTCTGCCGAGAACGCTGCTATCGTTGATGGTTTGCCCAGTGGAACTGTTGGGGGTCGTCTATGGAACGAGGGACTGGCCTACTATGGCTGGATCTTCTATCTCAGCAAGTTCTATGAGGTCCTCGATACATTCATCATTCTAGCCAAGGGCAAGCTTAGCTCTACTCTCCAGACATACCACCACGCCGGAGCCATGCTTTGCATGTGGGCTGGTATGCGTTACATGTCTGCACCCATCTGGCAGTTTGTCCTTATCAACTCCTTCATCCACTCCCTCATGGTAAGTCCCTATCCGAAATCTCTAAATCAAGAATCACAACTGACATATTTCAGTATTTCTACTACACCCTGACTGCCTTTAACATCCGAGTCCCTACTCCCGTCAAGCGAACACTTACCTCGATGCAAATCACACAATTCCTTGTCGGCGCAAGTAACACTGTGGCTCATTCTTTCATCTCTTACAAGGTTCCGGTCACCATAATTCAGAAACTCTCCGCTCCAGTCGGCGCTACTACAGCTACTCCTGACGCCAGCCAAGAGACCGTTGTTGACGGCGCTGTCGAGTCCCTCAAGAAGTTCATTTGGGGTGCTGGTGAGGGTGCCGACCCTATTGCCTCACAGGCCGTCAGCGCCGAGGCCTTCGCTGCGGAGACTCAATACATTACTCAGCCATGTATCATGACCACTGGCGAGACCTTTGCTATATGGCTCAATGTGTTGTACCTTGCTCCTTTGACTTACCTTTTCGTCAGCTTCTTCATTGCCAGCTATGTCAAGCGAAGCAACGCTGCCAGCAAGACCTCTCACAAGGGAGCCCACGATGTCAACGCAAACATTGCTCTTGCCGAGAAGGCCGGCTGGGATGCTGCCAAGGGCATCGAGAAGGAAATTTACGATGGTGCCAACATGGCTAATGGCTCCTCGGACGAGGCCTCGCGCGCTTCTACACCCAAGAAGGCCAATGGCAAGTCACGATGAAAGGCTTGAAGAGGAAGAATTGGAAATAAAAAGAAACAATAAAAAGAATAACGAAAACAGAACTGTGGTCTTGTCTCTCATTTGGGTGGTAACGGACCATTTCTTTCTCTGATCCTAGCAAAATTTAGAAAGCGTTTTGTGTCTTAAGTCCAATCTGATATAACCTGTGGGATGGTATGAAGAGCGAGTTGATATCAGCCTGAGTTGCAACAAGAAGAAGTTTCAAATTGGAGTTTTGTTACGCATTGCTTTGAGCGAATGTTCGTGATTCTCAGGGACATCGAAATGTCATTGTGCCAATCCTAAGGGAGGAGGCTTCTCGATTTTAGGCATTTGTATGTTCCGTAGTACTCATTTGTATGACTGTTCCTGGACAAACCTGTCTATGGCGTTTGGGAGAATGGATCATGACACGGAGGCCATAAGTTCGTTCATGATAAGTGACGAACTCGCATTGTGTGTTTTCCCAAACCCGAATTGGAGTATCCTTATCACGAACTTTAGTCTCTTTAGTCAGTAACGTATCTTGCAGGCAACACTGGGAGCTCGGAGACTCCGATCTTTATAGTCATGTAGTTCTTACCGTTACAATACCGAACAGGGGTGATCACTTGTGCTTCATGTTGCATCGACAGATGTGGATCAACTAGTTATATATCACCAGGGTTTGTTAGCTTTCGTCCATCACCACCAACGGAATGCTCAAATTCACAGGGAGCAATGACAGATATGAAAATGGGTGGGGAAATTTGTAGTTTGTAATCTAGTTGATAACAGTAACGGACCATCGAGATCTGGCAGCACCATAACCAACTCAATCTGGCCAAATAACTACCTAATTCTCATCATATCATAAGTTCCCTTCCGTGCCACGTATGGCAATGCAAATTCCAAAACCATCTATAATTTGAACCAGGCTATGGGAGTTCATAAGACGCCTTTCGAGAAAACAAAACATTAAATAGCATGACCAGCGGAGCATTCTGTATATGCTCTCTCACAGGACTGGCCGCTGAGGTAATCATACCAGGACTAATAACCGCAATGTAGCAGCTCATATCGAGTCTGCTTTCCAGGACGCCTCGCTGTAAATAAGAGGAACTCATAAAAACCAGATGCGAGGGGCAAGGCCAAAAAGTGGCCGACGGAGCCGCTGCTTGACCATGAAGGTCAGCAGGAAACGTGTATAATGGAGAGGATGAAGGATGCGGTGATTGGCGACATTTGACAATGATCCAAGTCACTCGTCAGAGAATTTCTATCGATCTATAATGCTTCTGTGGTGGCTTTATGAAGCTGACGGCTTCGGGTATCTTATACTGCAACTTCGGCAGGTGTGTCGTAAAGAACGTGGTGGGCAGTGGTGTGTTGGCGTATCGAATCTCCAACAAGTCCGAATCGAGAATGACACTGAAACAGGAGTATCTGCTGGCAAGGACGATCTCAGCCTCAAGTAGGACAAAGTACTGGATATTTTTGTCTTTGGATAGACAGCTCTGTTGTCGGCAGTTGTTTGATACTGGCGGCAGCGAGTAAGACTGTCGAGTTTTGCTCAGAAAGTGCTCCAGTTCCAATCCCTAGGCACACTGGCAGCAAGTTCAGGGCCACGAGGCAGTTCGGAGGCGTCTCCAAAACCGGTACCGATGGGAGTTGAGGGGGTAGGGTTGGGCGCATCCGAAGAGGCGGCACTCGAAGCACGGCTGCTATTTCGTGTATACCAACTCTTGAACTCTTCACAGCAGTGGCGACAGGTTCGGAAAAGAGGAGCGCGAGGATTGAACTTGGCATCATGATCGAGAGGAGCGGCAAAGGTGGAATGTGAGTCGCAGAAAATGTGGCCGCACTTTCGGCAGTGGTGACGCCGAGTGAAATAGCTAAAAGTCCGCTTGCAAGTCGGGTCATCACAGACAGTAGATTCGGCATCGGGCTGCAGAAGAATAATGTTAGCTGACTGTAGGAAAGAAAGAATGCGAAATATGCTGGCAACTGGTGAGGTGAGGTGAGACATGAGGGGGTCTAGGGTTGTACGAATAGGAGCGTTGAATACATCTGAGACAATGGCGCATGCAAGTAGATGTTGTGCGAAGAAGATGGAGCGACGGTTTGTTTTTGCTTTACTGACCTTCCAGTGCTTGCGAGTAGGCTGAGCCTTGACTTCGGGGAACATCTCGGGATCGAAATCGCCGTCAATGCTGCTCTGAGTGCTATCGCCGGTTGAAACACGCGCTAGCTTGTTGCCGAAGACGGACATGCCGGGGAGGTTGATGAGGCTGCTGTTGGTACGTCTCAGGGCGCTATCAGGCTCGGTGCTGGAAGTAGAAGCAGCATCATCAATGGGCATTTTATTGGTCTTGGATGGAAACAAGTTAGGGCGCAGAGCTGCAGGCATATACATGGGTCGAGTCTGTCGTGCATGATGCGCTCTGGGAGAAGTGGGAGTTGACGAGATGGAGTCGGGGCTGGTGGACTCATTGGTGTTGATGGGTGAAATTTGAGGTCCAACCGAGATCTGATATGACTGATTCCGTTGATGCGTAGGGCGCTGCTGGGGAAAGAAATGGCGTGAGTGCTGGTCGCCCGGAAGAGTGGGCATAATGAGGTCGGCAGCCATTATCGTGGATTGAGTGGAGAGTAATTGTTGATATGCGGAAGAGAGAGTGTGTTTTAGCTCGTGACGTTTTGTATCGTAGCAAATGCAAGTTCGCTATGGGAAACAGGAGATGGCTGCTGCTTATTTGCACAACGCTTAGAAGTCGAGGGAGTGGTTGGACAGACAGAGAGGGGAAGTGGCGTAGAGTTATCTGTACGGATAGGTAGGGATATATGATCGATTCGGTTTTGATATGCTACGACTGTAGTTGAACGGGAAGTTAGATGAGCAAGAGTTGAGCAAGGGCGGGCCACGCAGAGTTTAAACCAAAGCGAACTGGCTCAAGGAGGGAGTAGATCCTGGGAACACAGCGCGGGCAACACCGTCGCGTGGAGACCGGGGGCGGAAGAGGTACGTACCTCTTGTCTGCAGAACTGACTGGGGATCCTAACGTGCTAGCCCAGCACTTGACTCTTAGCGCATGACAAGGATGTGGCCTCTCTTGCATGTGGAGATGGGAGGCGGTAGGCGGTGGAGCTGATGATGGAGTGGGCGTGGCTTGAAGTTGTAGTTGCTGCTTGGCTTGACTTTTGGAGCAAAGCGCCCTCTGGCAGTGACCGGGGTCTGCCCTTGCTGCGTCGCTGTCGCTGTTTCTCCTCTTGAGCGTCGTCTCAACGGCTCACGGTCAATAATGTCTCAGTAGCTGTCCAGAATCGGGGTAGTCGAGAGTCCCTGTTCAAGAGCCTCCCTTTGCTGATGCAATTTGACAGGTGTCGGACGCTCTACCTTGCCTTGTCTGGTCAATGCCACACATAACAAGATCATGTCTTGCGATTTTCATACCGTGATGTAATTCAGGACTCTCGCGACTCAGTCAAAAGCTCGCGGTATCCGGATACGGTAAAGGGTCTTGAGAGATAAACAGAACAGTTGCTCGATACTTGTGCGTAACTGTGGACAGGATGTTTTCTATCTCGGCGCTCTGGTTGGATGGCTTCGGCGTTCGCTGGAGACAGAATCCAATCCGGTGGGTTGACCTGGTCGATCAAAGATTTATGCCCCTGTATGTCAACCATCTACAGAGTACGTACGCTACAAGAGCATTACGACAAGCGATTCATTGTGACGGACAGCTTGTGGTTATCCTTTGATGACAGGGTTCGACGAGGACTTTGAATGAAAATATCTGTAGTAGGTAATTGATCTCGAATGCCGGCTGTGGGTGGTACTGCCGGTTCCATGTGGTGATACACTACGTACCTACCCTCGGATACTGTGCTCGTGTCTGCGTGTTGTGTTCTCGACAACAGGATTTCGGCTAAATCAAGAACCGGAGCATTCGAGTCAGGTAACGGGCTGCATATTTGAGCCACAAGGTCCGTGACATTCTCTCCTTGAGTTCCGAATCCTGTTACTTTCGAGGTCTTCCCGTCTGAACAAGCATGCCTGTTCCCGTCGGATCTTGATTGATTATACTGTATAACGGCAACGGCTATGTTCAATGAATATGTGTGGCCAACTTGTCCGGTCCGCGGGGCTGACTATCGTAGGGCGGCAATTGGACAAGCGCGCTCTTTAGGCCAAGCATGTTTCCGCTAGATAGGGAGCCTGGGGCCAAAGTCAAAGCCAGAGCGCTCTGCAAGGTTCAAGGGTCGAGCCACTAGAGCCTTTCTTACGGATGTATGTTGTTTGATTGGGCAGCTGCGGTTCCCGGCTTTGCAACAGGGAGTTTTTGGTCTGTTGTTGGGTTGTGTTGGGTTGAGTTGTGTTCTGACTGGCAGAGACAGCGGAGTTTCTTCACCGTCATCTCGCAACACCATACTCGGAGCACTTGAGCTCAAGCCGGCGACTACCGAAACAGAATAAGGGAAGGGAAGACAACGGTATCGCCGAACGTTAGTTGTTGTCCGTTGCTGAATCTTTTATCTTTTGGTCATTTTGATGATGTTTGGAAATGAGCCAACTGTTACGTACAAAACAGTAAAGGACCCATAGATTGCCGAACACGCTTATGATGGATTCAGGACAGAACCCATCTTTGGGGAAAGAGGGGCAGAGCGGTACCTGCTGGGCGAAATACCCAGTAGCCAGTCTACCAGCTAGGTACCTTAAGGTGTAGGTAGGTAGGTAGGTAGGTAGACCTCCCAAGCCTCCATTGGCATTAACGGTAACAGTGGGCAGTTGCAATTCGACAAATGCGGTTGCAGCTGCAGCGTCCCATCGTTCACTCTTCACTGGTATCTCAGCAATCTGCAATACAACGCACATACTTTTTGCCTTACATGCACGGCTGTACATACGAACATACTATTGACGTGTATCGACAATTGTTTCTTTTCATAGCAATATCATCGTGCGTCGTCCTCTCTTTCATCGCGCCCGCCCCTGTCCAACGCTACCTCCCTAGGTATGCATGCAAATGGATCGGTGCTTGCTTTCTATTCTGCCTTTTGATTTGACAGGATCCGAGATATCATGATTGCCATGACACAGAAATTACAGGGCCGAGAACATGGGGCTTGAGTTGATGCTGGCAATTTTGACGATGGATTTCTTATCCCGATCCGATCGTATGTACTGTACGGATAATGCTGCGATTAAAACTCGATCCATGCAAGGTATGTATCTGAAAGGGCTCATCTTCTGCCTGATGGGTGATGAACAGCATTATGTTGGTCATGATCTTCTTGCACAACACTGGGCACGTTTTAGACGATCACTAGCCCAGCCGGGCGCTCAACCATTTCCCCGCCTACCAACGGTAGCATTTCAATATCATCTTGCATCGTCTCTCAGCAGCTATTTCTACCTGACTTAGGAACGAACATTTCACAGCAGCATCATCCCGCCCCTCCATTATAAGTTTTACCTTTCGCCAAAGGGCACCCATCGATGATTTGTGATTCAGGTCCAGTCTCATCACTGACTAGTCATCTACATACTACATACTTCCCCTTTACATGACATGTGGTTGGCTCATTCGGTTCCCTCTCAAACTCCACCTTGAAGCAATTCTTCCACTCACCCAATCCGTTGCCGATCCACATGGGCTGCACTCTTAGAGGATCACCAACGGGCTTCACTTGATCAGGCAGTCGGGTTAAGCCTTGAGGCAAGCAGCGGCTGGGCTGCAGAAAATTCTATGATTAACAGACAAGCTCAAATCATTACCCACCGAATCCACTGCTTACTGGGTTTGTTTGTTGCGTGTCAAGCTGGGACCCTTGTGTTATTCTTTGTCTTGTTCTTTTGAGCTTCTCTATGTGGTCAATTGCCGTTCAATGGTCTCGTGACCTTCCCGTCTGGTCGCTGCTTCAGGGGTCTTCTGTTTCACTTGGCCTTGAGCTCCGAGATGCTCGGCCGGTGCACGGCCATGCTTTCTTCTCTGGTCACTTGAGCAATCCGCAACCCCTCAGTCTTTATGGAAAAGACGAGGAATTCAGACAGCTCAGGATTCTGTTAGTCCTCATACCGAGTGCGCTCATTGTTAACATTACATTCATGCCATTGCTGTTCTGGGTAATTTCTATCGGACCACCAACGGAACGGAACATCGCTAAAGTTCGTGGCGTAAATACATATGGTAGGTAGGCTAGGAGTTGCGGCTCCTCGGCGCTTCATCATTCCCTGAGCGTCTTCCGCTAGGTTGTTGCCACTTTCTTCTCGAATCTTGGAAGCTCTTGAGACTGGAGAACGATTCATTTCACGCCACCTGAAGTTCCACCGTGTTGGCCTGTGCAGGTTTTTTCCATCTCCACGGTGGATGATTCTATACCGCAGCGCGCTCCGTACTTAGCCAGATCCTTGTCCAGTTATTTCTACTCTAGGGGCTGCCGAGATTCTGTGGGACTTCCACCGAGGCTCGCTGGCTCGTTGCAGCCACGTTTCCTAACTCTTCTAGCCTAGCTTCCGTCCTTAATTCGTGGCGCTGCCGACCTGCCTTCTCCGTTCTGCCCGTCAACGTGGGGAGTGGAAGCTGGGGCGCCTCTTCTAGATCTGCCATGTCCAGCCAATTATTATCAGTTAATCACGACTGGCTTTGTCACCGGCTCCCTGCCTTGTAGTCTTTCGGACACTGAGGCGCTAAAAAGGTGATATTTCTGGTAAGAGGACACAAGGGCTCGGCTTTGATCGGCCATGTTCGAGACAAAATGATCGACAGTCATTTCCAATCAAGGCTGACTAACATTCGCATATCGCATCTTGCCAGAAATTCAGGGTCCAAGCAAGTGGTCCAAGCTGTGAGCTATAAGATGTAACTAATAAGATTATACCTACATTATGGAGTAAATCAGGGAGCATTTACGTACTGCTTCCGGAGCCACGGAGGGTCTCACTAAAGTATGAGTCTACACACGACTGTGGAGGAATCCTCGAGACGGAGAAGCAAAGGTCAAGGCATCTAATCTCAGACAACGACAATGCGGAGGCGTTTGCATGTGGTCGAACATGACAACTCTGGATACCATGCTGCAATAATCAGGGAAGTGTCAATAGTGTTTGGCATCAGACACAAAAAGGACATGTGAATTGTCCTGCTGATCTGTCCATTTAAGACATTTCGTTCATTGGTACTGAGAAGTCTAAGCAACATTCAGGGTCCGAAGAGGCCTCGGAATCCGATAGGTAATCTGCTGCTTTCACCGCTGATCTGCGTAGTAAGAGCAGGACCATCCTGTTATTCGGATAGACACAAAGATAGTAGTTCACACGCTCTCTTGGTGGCTGGTTGAGGCTGGGGTATCGAACTTATCCATAATAGTTAGCCAGCCAGTCGATTCGAGACTTGACCCAAGAGCACAGACATGGGCCACAGAGCGTGCAACATAGTTCCCCATCATAAGGACCATTTTAATGCTCAAGTCTGACCTGTTAGCTTACATGGTTTTCAATACTGTCGTGATCATTGTGACTGGCTGGCCGTAGCCTAGACCAGACTGTCATCAGGGTCCAGAATCGATGACCAACTGGGTCTCACTCAGAAGAGGGCTCCCATGGTACCGGCTTGTATCGAGTTCGCTTCAACCGCTAAGCCCGGAATCTTGATCAATTTCATTCCAGTGGTATGAAAATGCTGGTGTTTCCAGCGAGTTACATGGTAGTAAGTGCCCAAGGCTTGCCTCAAAAAAACTCCCTTCTCATCAAAGAGTTCCTGGTCTACTCCGTAGGCCAACACCATTTGACTTTATTAGGGCCCGGAGTGCCAAGACTCTAAGTGGATGATGTGCTTTACCTGTATCGGAAGTCGACCTTCAACATCCCCTGTTCAGTTGCGGCTCCTCGGCATTCTTATCAGTTATCTTCGATTGGCTGTATCTTGCACCGTCTCTTAGGTTTGACATATGGACTTAGTAAAGGCTACATGCGGTCCTAGAGTGGTAGAAAGCTAAGCTGAAGATTTGCCTGAGGCATAAAGATGATGGTTAGTTGGTTCCGGTCTTTCAACCCGTATGAGCTACTTGATCAACCAAGAGGTTTCTACAAATGCACAACACAACACAACCCAACCCAACCCAACAAGGGCATCGATTGACGGTATGTGCCTACAGTAGGTAGGTACATCTCCTCCACCGCCTTTTGTTCCCCTCCTGTTTGATGCACATCGTCAACGCCTCACAAGGGTCATGTGCAACAGACAATTCCCTCTCTGCATGCAATGCCGAGCCCTGTCAGCCTGTCACATTCTTATGTTTCTCGCTCGTCTTGAATAGGAAGTTTACTGCTTAGCTATCGGATTCCCTGCCAGGGCTTTAATCTTGGAGGTGCCGGGCGGCTCCGTTGGTCTCGAGTTTAACCTGGCGCTTCTGCAGCACAACCCTAGATTGCCGTTAAATGTCTCGACTGTAGCTATTGTCTCCGAAGAATTGCTTTTTCCCCCTTGCCTTTGTGGTCATGGTGGCTTCCGCGGCTCCTGTTTAATCAATCTCGCGATCAATATCACCCGCAGATGAGAGGTGATTAAACGACTCCTGCATTGTGGCTGAATCAAGAGGATCAGGTATTCTCAAACGTCCCATCACTGGGTGGAGAAGACGACTACAGGTTAGGGAGCTTCTTAGTGTACATTGATGATTGTATGTTGCTTCCTAACTTCTGCGCATAATTGTGGTCTTGGGCTGAGTTCTACCAAGACCCTATGTCTCAAAATGACAATTCGTCGGTCTTAGAGGTGTGAGATGAGGCGGATTAGATGAGTCACGCTTTCTGTTTCGTTAAAGACGAGACCTACTATGTATATGAGGTTCTATCACACCGTATAATGGTAGTTGCTTATTCCTATTATGTGGTTGGCTAGGGCTGAGGCTTACTCCATTTCCCATCTCCCACTCTTCCCCCCATCCTTGAGGACAACTCTCAAACCCTCAATAACCATGCCCTTATCCACAGCCTTGCACATATCGTAAATTGTCAATGCCGCCGTAGACGCCGCCGTCAGCGCCTCCATCTCCACCCCCGTCTTTCCGTCACACGTGACCGTGGCAGCGATCTCTACTCTGTCGTCACCCCTGACGTCGAGATCAACCGTGGCCTTGGAGAGCGAGATCGGATGACATAGTGGGATCAGATCTGGAGTTCGCTTTGATGCCATGATGCCAGCGATCCGCGCGACACCCAGGACATCTCCCTTCTTCATCTGGTTGTCTCTGATGAGCCCAATCGCTGTGGTGTTCGAGAATCGGACGGTGCATGCAGCTTTGGCGATGCGTGATGTCACTGTCTTGTCTGATATGGAGACCATCCGTGCCTCTCCAGAGGCAGAGACATGTGTCAGCTTTGCGTTGTCGCTGCTGTCCTGTCCTCGGACATGGCGAGTATTGGAGAAGAGTCGCTGCTGTGTGAAAACAGATCGGCCAGCCGCGAAGCAGGGACCGTTACGCAGAAGGGATTGTATTCGAGGAGGCATGGTTCGCAATGACGAAGACGGACTAATGGTATCTACAACAAAAACTCAATTCAGTATTACTTCCAACTCATATAGGAGGGTATCTAAGCCTCAAAGTTTAAGTAGCGAAACAACCCTTCAATGCCGCCCCATAAGTGCATGATAGTTGCCCCGCGAACAATCTGTGAATAACGTCTCTTGAACCATACACTTGAGTCTGACACTGCGAACCATGCGTGGAAATTTTGCAAAAGATGAACACAGGAGTGTAATCACCCACCTATCAAGATCATGGGCCTATTCTTCATATGCTCCAGCTCACCGATGCCCGCATGTTTTGCCTTCTTTCTCTTGACAGCAGCACCAATGACTTCGAGCAGCTCCATCTCGTTAGGTGCCAGACCGAGAGGAGTCCGGTCTGACGTCAATAAGTCCCTCCGCCGGTCCATCTCGATCTGTTTCATGGCATCGAAAGCCTGCTCATCGATGGGCTCGCCACTGTTGGACTTCCGGAGGATATCCCGTAGAGACACCTCAGCATTGCCAAACAAGCACACCTTGAGGTTGCCGTCACCTGTTATTCGAAGACGGTTGCAAGTCCCGCAGAAGTTGTGCGTCATGCTCGTGATGAAGCCTATTCTTCCAGTGAAGCCTGGAATGTGCCATGTCTTGCTTGTATCGTTCTTGTGATCCTGCACTTTTTGCAGTGTTGGGTACTTTGTCCTGATGAGGTCCAGCATCTCTTGGTAGCTAAACATCTTATTTTTGCTCCATTTGTTGCCGTCAAATGGCATGTACTCGATGAAGCGGACTTCGATGTCCTTTTCTTGCGTCAGGTCCACGAAGGGGAGCACCTCTCTGTCGTTGACACCCCTCATGACCACGCAGTTGATCTTGAGCTTGATGCCAGCACCAAGTCTGTTGAGCTCAAGAATCCTGTCGATGCTCTTCTGCACGGCCTCGAAGCCTTTCCTCCTTGTCATGATCTGGAATTGCCAAGGATCCAGAGTGTCGAGGCTCAGGTTGACACCCGTCAGTCCACTCTCGATCATGCTGTCGAGCTTCCGGTGCAGAGAGATGCCGTTGGTTGTGATACATATTTCCTTTAGGCCATGCCGTCGCAGCTCTCCAATCTGGTGCATCAGAGGGAGGATATCTCGCCGCACAGTCGGCTCTCCTCCCGTCAATCTGATCTTAGTCACACCCTGCGAGACAAATACGGACGACAAGAGGACAATCTCTGGTGTCGTCAAGAGCTCTCGGTTTGGCGACAATGGCACGCCTTCTTCAGGCATGCAGTAGACACATCGCAGATTGCAGCGCTCCGAGACAGATATGCGAAGGTAATCATGCTGTCGGTGGAAAGTATCTGTGAGGAAGTCGGAGAAGGGTTTTGGATCTCGGATGCGCCGGCGGCGAGACTGTAGGAGGTCGATCTCTGGTGTTGTAGAGGGAGGTTCGCGGGGTGCCTCTTGGGGTCTCGCAGAAGCTGTCGCAATGGTTCTAGAGGAGGGACAAGCGAGCAGCACTCGCGAAGGAGCCGTTCGTTGTAGGGTAGTTTTAGTTTTGGCTGAGACCGAAGCTCTCGAGCCTAAAAGGCGAAGCAACGACATAATTCTGAGGCGTTATGATATCTAAGTAGTTATGTATTTGACAAGTGGGGGAAGAAAGATGGTTACATATGAGGGGTTCGCTTGCTATGATTCCATCGTTTCGTGCTATCGCAATCACGATGCGACAATGACGAGAAGAGAGAGCAAAGAGGTTGGCAAATGAAAGAATAAGCTGACTTGGTGTCTCTGTCGGCCGTCGGCGCTTCGTTTAACAATAGTTCCAACCCTAGGTACCTACCTATCATGACCTAAATAGGTCAAATACGCAAGTATGAAGTGTCTGTCCCTCTTGAGCTATCCAATCTTATCATGGGCCCGCTCGCCACAATCCGATCCCCGCGCTGAGTAATGGAAATAGCCTCCAGTCTAACATTAGTTTAAGCCGCGGAGTTGCACAGACTGCAACAGTAACGTTAGTTCGAAAGTGGAATGATAAAGATACTGTAACTTGTCAGCGGTGACAGTTCGGCCTGAACTCATGATGTTGTTGCTTCAGGGGATTCTAGTCAGGTGGAATACTCGTTCGACATAGAATTGGCTCTTCTTTCAATGCCTACTTCAGAATGCATGGGACTTGTTCGCGTGCATGATACAAATTCATCATGGAACATGCGTATTGGACCCTAAATTGATGACCAATTAGGAAACACTAGCTGACCTATGTATGGGTAAGGATATTCATTCCCATGATGCGCCATACCTTATCATACGTAAATTAGTATTTCCGCATAGGTACTAATCCAAGAACTACAGTTTGTTAAGCAAGGGAACCTTGCGAATGATATAAGAATATCAGACCGCTTAGGTCGAAATTAGCATGATATAAATATATACTGCCGTCTAGCTCAAGTTTCTTAAAGACTTTATACGCAACTGAATGTTGAAGATGAGTATGGACATCGATAGAGACACCTGATCCGATGCCAATTTATACGGCGGGTTGTGATGTACTAGGCATATAGCCGCCTGATTCAAACGCACCCAACACAGCATTATAGGCTGGCATGCGCAAGATTTTAATAATAGATGAGTTACTGTTGTCTATACTGATAAATGCAAATAAGATTCCTTGACCAATATACGTACCTGTCCACACAATGGAAGGTTAGGTTGTTCAGCGCATTGAAATCAGGAACCCTCCACTTTGATAGCCGGTGACGCTAGCACAGATGAGGAAATATCAAAACATTAAAACATCCCCCACCTTTAACTGCTTCCTCATTACACTATCAGATTGAAGATTGAAGAACTGAACCACTCAAAGAGCATCGATGCTAAAGACCATCAAAACACGAAGAGAACTTGATAGATCGAAGAAAGACTTTAGCGAGACCGTCGCCTGACTTCCCCTTTTTCTTTTGGTAGTCAACCACTTATAACCCCGCCCTCACGATTCGATTACCAGATTTCACTTCTCTCACCTCTCATCTACAACACTTCTTCAGGTGACAGTCGTGATGCATCCCTCACGTGTCTTCAAAGGTAGAAATCTACCTTACTATACCAATTCTAGAATACATTGATTTCCTGGGCTCGGATCCCCCTTCTCCTCCTTTTAGACAGCACCTGAGACACTGAACACTACTAACCAGGATTCACAGCATCACCTCATTGCGTGCCCAGCCCTGACGGAAGATTTATTGCTACACTATCATCGCAGAGCATCACAGTGCGCTTGGCTCTCTCACTTTCGATCGCGCATGTGGTCAAATTGCCCCCAGATCTCACGACCCCTGTAACCACGCTCGCATGGTCACCTTCATCGTCCCGTATCCTTGTTGCAAGTGCCGACCAGATTCATGTCTCGTCAATAGTTGACTCGTCATTTCGTGCCACGATCAAGAACCCTGCAGTTGGAGGTGGAAAGCAGACACTTGTGCAGTTTGGCGCCCACGATGACGAGGTCTTTGCCTGTGCTGCATTTGGCCTCAAGTTTTCCATTTTCGATCTATCAACTTCTAAAGCTATCGAGATAGGCAACCCCAAGTTTTACCTCCCCTCATCCGCCCCCAGGGGCTTTTCTGTACGACCTCAGACGTCACATCTTGCCATCTTGACCCGAACAAATGGTCGAGATGCTATCAGTATTCACCATCCCAAATCGAGGCAAGTTCTGCGATCTTGGTACCCGGAAACAGTCGACGCTCATGGCTTGAAATGGACCCCTGACGGCCAATGGCTTCTGCTGTGGGACGCCCCGGCACATGGGCATAATCTCTTGCTCTACACACCCGACGGCCAGCCTTTCCGTTCTATTGGGGCGTCCAGCATCACGGGAGGCGAGGATGCCGACCTCGAGACGGGGATTAAGAATTGCAGTCTCAGTCCTGACGCGTCGCTATGTGCCATGGGCGATGGCAGTAGAACTGTGGGCGCTCTCAGCACGCAGACATGGAGAGGTGGCCTGAAACTTGTACATCCCACTACGGTTGTCCCCAAGGACACCCTGCAGGTGAGCTCACTTCATCTACGGCTTGCTTCGATTCTCACAAAATATCCTAGGTCTGGCAGGAGCAGCTGAACGATTCGTCCCACGGAGGGAGCCCGTATACATTTCTTCGTGCGAACCAGATGGTTGCACCTCCGAACCGACTGATCGACGGCAAGATCCCTAACGAGGTCAGAGCTGGATGCTCTTCATTGGCCTTTGACGCATCTTCAACTCTGTTAGTTACCAAGCTTGATGATACCCCTACCACGCTGTGGATCTGGGATGTCACCGCAGCTGAGCTCCGGGCAGTACTGATGTTTCACTCAGTCGTGGACTTTCATTGGCATCCCACTGCCCGTGAGCTTCTTCTGGTGACATGCCAAGATGAAAAGTATCGCGGTGTGTCCTTTGTTTGGGACCCGCTGTCCGAAGGTCCCAAGCCAGTCTCTTTGGGCGCTCATCTACCAAACGGCAAGATTGTTGGAAGGACTAGAACAACATGGATCAACAGTGACCCCGAATTCCCGGTTGTGGTGATCTCAGACGCGCAAAACGGAGTCTTAGTATCGTGCTCAGATGGGGCACAGTGCCCGACTCCATGGCGTGAGGGGGCGGTTGGTGATAGAACCATGGGATCGGTACAGGATCTTGGAGATACTGTCGACATATCTTCTCTGATGCCAGACGACACATCCACCTTGGACGATACCTTCTCTTTCAAGCACGTGTAGAAGGAGCGTCGCCAGGGCCACCTCTGTACGGCACAAACTGAATCACCACCTTTAGGAAATGGTTACGGCTTGGCACGTGTAAGGTTAAAAAGGATGGAAGGACAAGGCTGGACTCTATCGGAGATGATATCCCGCATTTGAGTCATTCCAGTGGCTAGGGTCATGTTACACGAATGGCGCTTCCATTTGATGTCAAGGGCATGACTGCATAACGAGGCTGTCATAAAAGGCGTGTAGTTTCCTCTTCTCTCGTGGTAGCGACAGCTTGCAAATTGCACCTCCAATAAGCAACGAATCGAATCCACGTTTTGTTGGCGCCACGGAAGCGACATGCACGTATGGTTGCGAAAAGAGACCTCAAGTTACAGGCTGCCACTGCTCTTCTCACCGTGAGATCAAGAGAGAACTTTGGTACCTTGCGCCGGGCATTCGATCATCGCCTTGATTGTCGATGGATCTGTCACTACCTACCACCGAGCTAACTAATATTTCGTCAAATGGTGGAGCAGTGATCGCAATATGATATGTCATTATCTCATGCGGGACTCAACCCGGTCCTCTGCATGTCGACCAGGGAGAGACATGCCTAGACATTTACGGCTGGTGGCTTGGATTGATCTACAGCACCTGGGCATAAAGCTGAGTCGAGGAACAACGTCTACGAGAACCTGCACCTTTTGAAGATTTCTATCTAGCGTCGAAGCGCGAAATGAACACCCTTACTTCCGCAACGACATTGAACCCTACGGTTTCGGACGATCTGCCTCTAGCTGGAACCCCACATCTCGAGGCTGAGAGTCAGGATGCATGTCGAAACGCCGACAGGGATCTCGGGTTACACTGCACCGTTAATCATCCAGGAGGAGGCGAGCTTGCCAGATCCAGACTTGTTAGTCTCAACGTTTCTCGGCGTTCTCTCAATACTGAGACGATATGTGCCTCTGCAAATCGCCCATATTTCGGTGTCCTTTCCGGACCCCGGGGCGCCCAAATTATGGCCCGCGTGCTGGGATCGAATGCAAGCGAATCCAGAGCTGGTAAAGAACGATTCAAAAGCAACGTTTGGAAGATGCTAGACGGGTTGTTGTCTCTTCTGCTTCTATCTTGCCGCTCTCATGCCAGCTGTTGCGAGAAGCTAGATATAAAGCATACACACGGCCTTTGCTTGCCATTGATTCACAATATGATCGAGCCTAATTCGAAGCTTCCAAGAGCCTTCATTCAGAGCCCTGGAGAGCAGCGCGACTCAGTGACAAGATAGTACAGTTGACCAAACTCATAGTTGCCACTTTTCTAGTGCGCACTCCCAGTTGCTTCTCATGTCATCGTCACACAACTTTTGACTTTCTTTCCAAACTCTTGTAGCATCGCGCAAGAACCTGCTCGGAACTGGAAACTTGTCGGCTTCGTGCAGATTCCTTCATCCTATGCCTGCCGAAGCTACAGTCCAAGCGGACGTTGGTCCCGGCGATGAGACTGGCATCTACTACATTACCATTTGCAACGTGCGGTCTTTCCCTATCCATCATGACCTGTGCTACGGTAACAAAGCTAACTATTCTTTCAGTTACCATTCGCAACCTCGTGGCAGGAGTTGAAAGATTGGACACGTACAGCATGCGTAGTGGACCATATCGAGGTCTTCCAGAGCAGTACCTCAGGATGGGTCCGAGTCCGGGGAAGAGAGAACTTTGAAAGGGCATGGGGTAAGCATACATCTCGCAAGACGAATATCTGGCCGAGCTAATGTGGTAGCAGCCCTTCTCAACGGTGGTGTTTTCAAAGGTCGCTCGATCATTGCGTCCGACAGAAACCGTGAGCATTCTATCAAAATCAAGGAGCTTGCTACACCACCGCAAGCTGTCATTTCACAGACACTGCAGTATCAAGCCACACCTCCCAGCCCCTATTTCCTGCCAACTTCGATGGCTATGTCTCCGCAGTATTCTGCTGCACCTGGGCAGGTAAGCTAGCCTATCTGAAGACACAAGCTTTGAAGAGAACCTGGTAATGACTCTTTGACTCTAGTACTACATAGCTAGTTACCCTCCGGGCAACAGCCCCCGATTCACCACTCAGTCTTTCTCGAACCCAAGCTACTCCCAGCAGCTACCAGTTA